GCTGCTGGCACTGGTGCTGCGGCTTGGGGTACTGATGCTGTCCCTGCTGGTTCTGGAGGCGCTGCGCGGCCGCGGCCGTACTTCGTTCCGCTCCTTGAGCAGGTTCTTGGTCTCCCGCCCTCTACTGGTCCTGCTCCTCCCTTAGAGTGTCCACAGCCTGTCCAGTCGCGGTCACAGTTACAGCCAGCCTCCCCCTTACCTGCTCCTTCTCCCTACACTGGTCCCACTGGAGGTCTTGCTGAGCGTCGTGAGCCTGCGTCTCGTCCTGCGTCGCCTGTTCGTGCTGTTCGCACTAGTAGTCGTGCTCCGCGTCCGCATCCTCCTGCCATCCTGGGCACACACCAGATGGCACTGCGTCCTTCCACTGCTCCTCTGCGTGTCCCGTTGCCATCTCCCCCAGACTCCTCTCTTCCTGTCCTTGCTGACCCGGAGTCTGACTCTTTTCATGCTGCCAGTCCGACTGTCACGCGTCCCCTGGCTACTGTTGTCACTGACCTTTCGTTCGAGTCCACTGCTGCGTCTGCCTTGGTTGCTGAGCTTGTCGACTTTGCTGCTCGCTGTCGTCTAGACTACGCCACTAGTCTTGTTGCTGAGTCTGAGTCTATCTGTCCTCCGTCCGTCGGGGGTGAGTGTGCTCTTAGCACGGACGTCCTTGAGGACAGGCAGGAGGAGTTGCAGTGTTTTGCTGCTGCTTTGCCTCATCTCGTGTCCACGCTGATAGCCCCTGAGGGAGACCCGAATGCACCAGACATCCCGACTCCTCGATCGTACGCTGAGGCGATCGAGGGTCCCTACTCCTCACAGTGGCAGTCAGCCATGGACGTAGAGATGGCTTCCTGGAAGTCCACAGGCACCTACGTCGACGAGGTTCCCCCACCTGGGGCGAACATCGTCAGTGGCATGTAGATTTTCAGGGTGAAGCGACCGCCGGGTTCTCCGCCTGTCTTCAAGGCGCGTTACGTGGCTCGAGGCTTTAGTCAGCGGCAGGGAGTTGACTACTTTCAGACCTTCTCTCCCACCCCGAAGATGACCAGTCTTCGGGTGCTGCTGCACATAGCCGCTCAGCGCGACTACGAGCTTCACTCTCTTGACTTCAGCACAGCTTTCTTGCAGGGCAGCTTGCATGAGGAGATCTGGCTGCGCCGCCCACCTGGCTTCACTGGGTCGTTTCCCCCTGGTAACTAGTGGAGCCTACGGCAGCCAGTCTGCGGTCTCCGCTAGGCGCCCCGTGAGCCGCACGACACACTGAGGACTACACTTGCGGCTCTTGGGTTTGCTCCTTCTACTGCCGACCCGTCGCTGTTTCTGCGCACCGACACCTCTTTGCCGCCGTTCTGCATCCTCGTGTACGTCGACGACTTGGTCTTTGCCACTGCTGACACTGCTAGACTTGCCCACGTGAAGTCCGAGCTGCAGAAGAGACACACGTGCATAGACCTGGGTGAACTGCGCAGCTACCTTGGCTTGCAGATCACCCGGGACAGAGCACAACGCACCATTACCCTAACTCAGTCACACATGGTGCAGCAGGTCCTTCAGCGCTTCGACTTCACGTACTCCTCGCGTCAGGCCACTCCTCTGTCTACTCGCCACTCGCTCTCAGCTCTGCCTTCAGATGAGTCCGTAGAGCCGAGTGGCCCGTACCCAGAGCTTGTTGGCTGCCTCATGTACTTGATGACCTGCACACGATCTGACCTTGCATACCCTCTTAGCATCTTGGCACGCTATGTTGCTCCTGGGAGACACCGACCAGAGCACATGGCTGCAGCGAAGGGGGTGTTGCGCTACTTGTGCAATACGTCGGGCATGGGGCTAGTGCTTGGAGGGCGACATCCAGTGGTCCTCACAGGTCACGCAGACGCTTCTTGGGCTGACGACCAGGCTACGCAGCGGTCGTCACAGGGTTACACCTTCAACCTTGGTTCCGGCTCTGTTTTGTGGCGGTCTACCCGTTCGTCTTCTGTTCTCGGCTCTAGCTATGAGGCTGAGATCTACGCGGGGGCCATGGTTGCACAGGAGCTACGCTGGCTCACCTACCTGCTGACTTACCTAGGAGAGCCGCCTCGTTCTCCTCCAGTTCTGTACGTAGACAACAACGCCATGCTGGCCTTGTGTCGGGAGCACAAACTAGAGCACAGAACGAATCACATTGCTCTTCGCTACTTCCTTGCTCGTGAGCTGCAACAGCGTGGTCAGCTGCGCCTTGCTTACGTGGCCTCTGAGGCCAACACTGCTGATATCTTTACCAAGGCACTTTCGCCTTGTGATCACCAGCGCTTCCGTACGATGCTAGGTCTTGTGCCTACTTGGCCCCACTTGCTCACTTCTTGACCTTGCTTGTACTGTGATCTTTCTATACTTGCACTTGCTTGTTTACCTTTATATATGATCTTGCATGTGAACTGGCCTTCTGGCCTTAAACTTGTGCTCGGAATGTGTGGTGACGTTGTGATCCACCCTGAGCTTGCTTTGCTTTGCTTGACTGGTCTTGTGACCTCTTGTTCTCCCCCACTTTGCCTATGGGGGTGTGTCAAACTTGTATGCTATAGTCTGTGTAGGCTGTAGTGGGGTAGACAATATGGGGTACAACACTTTTACGCTTTTCCTACTTGTACCCACCTGCTTGCTAGTTCATTCATTCCTCGTTCTTTCACAGGGACGTCCCTGGTTGGAGGGGGTCTGAAGCCCTTGATATTATATGAAATTCGTCTGATCGTTAAAAGTGTATTTCGAGTATTTGTTCCAATGTATCTGAAATAAATTAAACTGTTTGTACTTAAATGATTATATATTACATACCAGATTTTATTTGATTAACATAGTTGACAACTCTATCTCATGAACCAAACAAAAATAACAACTGCGCATGAAACTGACGATGTTTCATATGTACATACTATAAATCCCGTGGTTATGATGATTTGAATCAAGTTGAAATCACATGGGTCGCGAATCGGGAACTCGCGTAACTTTGCAGGTATTGATTCGTTACCAGCACACATCTGCAAGATGACACAACATGCAGACTGGATTTGCAAGTGTGTTAAGAGTGGCGGAAATCAAAATTAAATACCAAAAGTATCAGATTATGAAAGTTGTGTCAAAATATTGGCATGTTTTTTTACGAAAATAAAACGTTTATTTATTAAAAAATATAAAGGGTCCCATAATCGTGCAATATGGGATTTGATTTGTAGACATATTTATATTTTTCATACATAGGAATGCAAAAAAACATGTAGAATTTCTTATATGTTTTGTAGAGTTTGTTTGCTCCATAGACTATAAATTTATCTGCAATTTGTTTTTTTGTAAGCACTGTATTCCCAGAACCATCGGACTTTTATGACGATTCTCGGATGTCACAATTTTAACATGATAACAAGATGCTGATATGAAAATGATTATTATATATATGGAAAGAACCTTAGCATATGAATGACTATTGGTAGACTTCTTGGAGGATATTGGGGAATGAGAGAAAGGATCAAGTTAAAATCTGGTATCTCAAATCAGTAGACTCGGCCTTCTTTTTAATATTGAGAAAGGCCCGATTGGAAACCGTTGTAAATTTGCGTGGAGATGGGAAGTGATCGGAAGCCTCTACTGTAACGACGTGTATGGAATAATGCGCTGTACTGAGTTGAACTTGTTGCTGCGGGATATCTCGTACAGCTGTTCGGCTTATCATCAACAGTAATCGGGGGTAACTTGCTGCAGCATGCGGTTTTCGATCAAAATCTGAAGGCCGAGCCAGAAAACCTTAGTGCTGAACTCACGCCCCACAGAGAGAACCAGTTGACGCTTGAAATTGGTGGAACCTTTCCGGCGGATGAACGCAAATCACGGTTCTTTCGAACGGACAGAGGGACATGCTCGGATGAGCTTCAGCTGTGCTGTGCTGGCTGTTCCGGCAGAACGTTGATGTTGGATGGGCCTCCTCAAGTCGGAGAGGCGAGGGTACGGCGCATCATTGCAATAACTCGGCTGGAGACTGTACAGAGAGCTGTTAGGGTGCGTGCAGTTGAGATGAGAGTAGGGCAACTGCCCATGAAAAGACCTTTCGTCTGTGAAGTGCCCGAAACAAAAGCAAGTACAGCGGTAAGTGATTAGTACTGTACCTTGCTGAAGTGCCCACATCTGGCAGCAAATGCGTTGCGGATCAAACTGTAGAGCACCATCAAAGCTGGGAGTTTTGACTTGAGTTACTTACAGTGTTCTTCGGGACCAGCAGCGACCTCGATATTTTTTCCGGAATGTGTTGCAGGTTGTCCTTGTTGGTTGGCATGACAATCTTCCCGTGTCACACTCGCTCGCACCTCGCACAATTGGCCTTGGACCCTTGCCTCCCTTCCTACAGTGCATCCCTCCGTTCCATTCGCTCCCTCCCTCCCTCCCCCATTTTGAAGTCACCAGAAAGTCAAGGAACTACGAGATTGCCGCGCTTCACCGCACTTGAACCAAGTAAAACCCATAAGATCGCAAACAACCTCAACTTTAATAGCAGGCGGTCCTGTGGCTGACCCACCTCTCCCCTGGACTGAATCAGAGCCAGGCACAGAATGGGAAGCTGACCATTTTCGGATCTCACCTCATGCACCCCGTTCATGAACTTCCGCTCCATTTGAAGCGACCATATGTTCACCTCTCAACTAACTAGACTATCTCGACAACGTAGATCGACAATATTTTGCGAGCTGTACGCCGTTTTGGCGCTTCGAGCTTGAACCATGTCGTCGTTAAGTCGAGAGCTCGTGTTCCTAATACTACAATTCCTCGATGAAGAAAAGTTTAAAGAAACCGTTCACAAGTAAGAACTCTTAGAGACCTGTTTTAAGATTTTACCTTCTTCACACAAGAAAACGCCCAGTACTTACGCTTTTTGCAGCCAATAAAAGCATATATGAAGAAATCATATTCCATTTCAGTTCGCGATATAGCATGTAGGAAAATCATGTGTTTTCCAACCTTTTTACTCTCCCATCCGCGAACCGACGCAGGCTCGAGCAGGAATCGGGCTTTTTCTTCAACATGAAGTATTTCGAAGACCAGGTAGTGGCTGGCGAGTGGGAGGAGGTGGAGCGCTACCTCGCGGGCTTCACCAAGGTCGACGACAACCGCTACTCCATGAAGATCTTTTTTGAGATCAGGAAGCAGAAATACCTCGAAGCGCTGGACAAGTGCGTGGTTTGCCGTCCTCGGTGCATCGATTTGTCGCTCCCCGCGTTGATTTCCACCTTATTTAGTCACCCCCGTTTCAGATGGTCGTTTGGGTTATATGAGTCGTGATGGGTATTTTGGAATAATGGACGGGCAGCTTCCGAAATAAGTCGCGATGGAGCGGGGACGACATGTCTGACGTCAGCGGTGACGTCATCATGTCGAGCTAAGCGTGTAACCGTTAAGACCTTGACTGTGATTTCGGGTCACAACGGGCTCGTCCGTCATTTCAGATCTTCGCGGTCGTCTCTTCGTGTTCCAAATTTTTTGTTTTGGCTATTTCCATTCTCCGATTCATTTTGCGCGTGGACCAGTGGCCGTTGCTGGCCGTTTGTCCCTCCTGTGACTCCGCTATTATTGCATTCAACTTGTTACGACATTATTGTATCCTCCCCTGCTCGCTCGTCGGTTCTCAGGCAAGATCGAGCCAAGGCTGTGGAGATCCTGGTGAAGGACCTCAAGGTGTTCGCATCGTTTAACGAGGAGCTCTATAAGGAGATCACTCAACTACTGACCCTGGACAATTTCCGGTGCGTTTCCGCGTCTCGGGTCGGTCAACGTCTGTTCCGTTCTGTAACACGTTTCTTTTTACTGCGCATTGGTCTAAGTCTGTTCGGTTCTGTAACGCGGTTTTTTGGACTGCGCCTCCAGCCATTAGTCAACTGTCAACAACCATGATTGATTCCCTTAATCAATTTCAACGCTGGTCACCAGCAGTTCTTCGCGTACTTGACTCTGCCCATGGTGCAGCCAAGTCTTGACTCAACGACCATCGCCTTTTCCACCATTCGTATGAGTGCTCGCGACAAACGCTTTCTCGTCCCGCCTCGTTCGCCACGTCGATTTCCCCCCCCTCGTCTCTCCTTTCGGTTCCGCACAGCCCTTTCTGCATTGCTCGTAGCTGCAGCGAGAACGAACAGCTGATCGAGTATGGGGACACCGAGTCGGTGCGCAACATCATGCTGCTGAACTATTCCCCTTTCCCCCCCTCCCCCCTCCCCTACCCCTCCCTCCCCTCCCACCCCCTTTCCCCCCCCACCCCCCACCCCCCCCACCTTCTCCACTCGTCCCATATTCTGCATTGCTCGTATTGTGCAGCGAGAACGAGCAGCTGAGCAAGTACGGAGACACCAAGTCGGCGCGCAACATCATGCTGCTGGAGCTGAAGAAGCTCATCGAGGCCAACCCGCTCTTCCGCGACAAGCTGCAGTTCCCCAACCTCAAGAACTCGCGCCTGCGCACGCTCATCAACCAGAGGTGCGTTGCGTTCTGAGTCGATTCCTTAGAGTCGATTCTTTTGAGTCGACTCGAAAGCAGACCCGAAAGGCACAAGCTGCAGTCCCCCCCAACCTCAGAACTCGCGCCTGCGCACGCTCATCAACCAGAGGTGGGGTTGCTTGCCTCTCTGTCTTGATGCGTTCAGTCCATAATGTGCTCAAGTCGCTGATGGTAGCTAGTTCAGAGAATCGACTCCTTGGTGACGAGACAATGACGGCGCTTCCTCATCAAGTTACCTACAGCCTCTGCCTCCTCATCGCTGTGCGAAGAAACCTCTCTCTCTACCTCCTCTCCCCCCACCCTCCCCCCCCCCCCCGCCCTGTATCTCCATCCCCATCCCCACCAGTCTCAACTGGCAGCACCAGCTGTGCAAGAACCCGCGCCCCAACCCCGACATCAAGACCCTCTTTGTGGACCACACCTGTGGCCCCGCGCCCAACGGCGGGCGCACACAGCCGCAGCAGCCTGCTCCGCCCAACTCGCTTCTCTCCGCCGTTCAACAGCAGCAGCAGCAACAGCAACAGCAGCAGCAACAGCAGCAGCAGCAGCAGCAGCCGCCTAAGGCCCATCCGTTTCCCCTGGGACCGGTTGGCGTGGGCGTGGGCGTGGGCGGGCATGCGGTGAGTCTAGGGATAGGAGCCCGGGGGAGGTTCAGCCTCACAAATAGGAGTTTGGAGGTCAGGTGTGGTGGTACCGGGGGGTGCAGTGGTGTGTGGCATGGTGAATGTTGGGGTGCCTGGCATCCCGTCCCTGCAAACTTGTGCCCACTGCTCACAGACATCCAATGTTCTTGTCACTCCCTTCCCCTCCTCTCCAACCTTTGTCTCCCCGCCCCCGCCCCCTCACCACGTCCGTTGTTCCCCCGCCTGCAGCAGCCACTGCAGCCCTTCCAGCCTGGGGGACCATCCGCCTCCGCCCTGGCGGGGTGGATGGGCGGACAGCAGCCTGCAGCTGCGCCTCCCCCCCACGCCGTGGTGCCGCCCCCCCCTGCCAACCTGCCCCCAGGCCCCAACCCAGGTGCGTGGCTGTTAGTCCTGTTGTTTGATGCCCTGGAGCTCGCGACGCGACCCCTTTGTGTGCTTGTGCATCCTGTTTCTACTGTTCCCTTCCTTCGCCCGGTGGCCTGGATCGTTCCCTCCGTCCATGCTGCGTGTCTGACCGTTCCCTCCGTCCATGCTGCTGGTCTGACCGTCCTCCGTCCATGCTGCGTGCCTGCTGTCGGCCCCACTGCAGCTATGTTGAAGCGGCCGCGCACGCCGCCAGGCAACCCAGTGGCAGTGGAGTATCCGGGCACAGGGGACTCCGATATGGTGCTCAAGCGGCCCCGGGGCGGCATGGACGAGGTGAGAGGCTCTTGAGGGTGTGGGCGAGATGAGGTGCTCTTAAGTGCGTGATAGAGGTGAGGTGCTCTTAAGTGCGTGATTGAGATGAGGTGCTCTTAAGTGCAGGATTTAGGTGAGGTGCTCTTTGAGGGGTGTGAGAGAGGTTGCTTGTGAGTCAACTCAGGCGCTGCGCCGCCAGACAACCGGTGGCGGTGGAGTATCCAGGCACAGGGGACTCCTACATGGTGCTTAAATTGCCCAGGGGCGGCATGGACGAGGTGAGGTGTTCTGATTGTGTTCAACAGGCATGGCACAGGGCACAGAGCACAGAGCACAGAGCACAGGGCAGCCTTCCTTTTCTTAATTTCCATTCCTTAATCCAATGCCCCACCCCCTTCCACCTCCACCCACTCCCCACCAGGTCTACGGCCAAGTCCCGCCCAATCAGCAGCCGCCACCTGTCCCAGGAGCAATCCCAGGCCCGCCAGTACCAGCAATAGGAGGCAACGTAGCAGGGGCAGGCCTAGGGAGTGCCGTAACTGCCGCCGCTGCCGCAGCAGCTGCTGCAGCGGCAGCAGCAGCAGCAGGGGGACAGGGGCCAGTGGCGCTAGGAGCAGGGGTTGGTTCAGGAGGCGGGTATGCAGTGGAGGATCTGCCCAAGACAATTGCGAGGAACCTGAACCAGGGCTCGTGTGTGATGACCATGGACTTCCACCCGTACCAGCCCACACTGCTGCTCGGTACACTTTCCCCTCCAGCCCCTTCCCACCTGCCACGTTTTTCCATGTCTGTTTTCTTTCGTCTCCTCCTGCTTCCCAGTCACCCCCACCATCTTCCCTGGTGTTCCTACTTTTTAACCTTTTAAACCTTCGTCTTTGCCAGTTCGTCGCATGTGAGTGACATCTGCTGCCATGTGCTGCTGTCCTTGTGCGTCCCTGCTTGTCCCTATCCTGCCCGCCCCAACCATCCCTGTTCACCTGTGCTTGTTGCGTGTGCATGGTTGTTGTGCGTGCATGTCTGTATGCATCTCTCTGCATGTTTGTGAGTGTGTGTGTGCTCGCATGCGTGCATGCGTGTGTATGCGGATGTGTGTGCATGTCTGTGTGCACTCGTGCTTGCATGTGTGTCTGTGCAGTGGGCAGCAACACGGGGGACGTGGCGATATGGGAGGTGGGGTCACGAGAGAAGGTGGTGGACCGCCCGTTCAAGCTCTGGGACCCCCAGCAGTGCTCGCCGCAGTTCCAGGTGCGCGCAACACTCTCAGGTGTCTTCAGTACTCCCAGGTGCTGACGTAAGCTGTCAGGTGCTTGCTGCAATCCCAGGTTCCATCCACAGCTTGATTGACCTCCACTTCAGGTTGTTAAGGGGCAATGAATGAACAGCTTTTGCATTCCCTCCCTCTTCCCGGCCCTGCAGACGCTATGGATGAAGGATCAGACCATCGCTGTGAATCGCGTCATCTGGGAGCCTAACGGGCAACTCTTTGGTGAGTCCTCGCCCCTCTGCGCCCCCCCTTTGCTTCCGTTTCTCGCCCCTCTAATCCTCCCTCTCTTTTTATCCTTGCACCTTTGCGATTCCCTCACTCTATCCTTGCCCCTTCTGGCCTGAGACGTTACAAGTGTTGGCATCTCATCTTTGCGTGGTATGCTGCTTGTCTTGCTCGTGGTGGTGGTGCATGGCAGGAGCGGCGTTCTCAAAGCACATGGTGCACATCTACACATACCAGAACCCAAGCAGCATGGGACAGCACCTCGAGGTGCGTATGTTCGCGTGCCATAGTGACACTTTAAGCAATGTTAAGGACCGTTTTGAGTGAATAGATAACTTTTCAAAGCACATGGTGCACATCTACACATACCAGAACCGGATTATCTGCACCTCAAGGTGCGTGAGGTTGTTGAGCTCAGTGACACATGTAGGAAGGTCGGGGTTGATGCTTTCGCTGCATGCTGATGATTATCCTGCTTGCCCATGCTCACCATGCATGCTCGCTTCAAATCCCGAGGTCACCTCGACACGGTTGTCACTAGCAGATGTGTTGTTGCTGTGTGGTCTTGCCTGTCGGCGTGTGCAGATCGACGCGCATGTGGGTGGAGTGAACGACCTGGCCTTCTCTCACCCCAACAAGCAGCTCTGCATCATCACATGCGGCGATGATAAGACCATCAAGGTGAGTTAACCCGTGCATGTGCGTGTGCACATGGATGTGCGCGTATGTGCATGTGCTTGCGCATATGCGTGGGGATGCATATGCATGCATCCGTCCCATGTCAATCGACCCACCCAGACCACATGGCCCCATGCCCCATTCCCCATGCCATATGCCCCATACCCCGTTGCCCCATGTTGCATGTCGCATGCCTCATGCCCCATTCCCTCCCCGTATCCACCATGCTGCACACCGCCAGGTGTGGGAGGCGAGCAGTGGGCGCAAGCTGTACACATTCGAGGGACATGAGGCTCCCGTCTACTCCGTGTGCCCGCACCACAAGGAGAACATTCAGGTACGGAGAATATTCCCACGTCCAGCCACCAATACCATTGTTTTTCCTTTTCAGTTATGCCGATTCTGTTCCCATTCTTTGCTATATCTTCCTTCTTCCCTCTCCCCTCCCCCTTCTCCATCTTCCGCCCCACCCCTTCCCTTACCGCTCCTTCCCCTGTAGTTCATATTCTCGACGGCCATAGACGGCAAGATCAAGGCGTGGCTGTACGACCACCTGGGGTCGAGAGTGGACTATGATGCCCCGGGCAAGTGGTGCAGCACCATGGGGTACTCGGCTGATGGCACGCGGTGAGTCACAAATAGACTTGAGCCACATATTCATTGGCTTACTCTCAGATGTCGCCTTCCATACATGAGCAACAAGCTGTCACCAGGCGTAGAGAGTGGAGTATGATGCCCCATGGGGTACCCAGCTGATGGCACGCGGTGAGTCACCAGTGCCTCCAATTCGAGCCACCAGTTTTTTGGCTTGCATGCATGTACAAGAAGCTGTCACCAGGCTTGGACCATGGCATCAAAATGGGACCCTTTCTGCTGTTGGCACACAGTGAGTGGTGCACCACCTGTTGCTGCACCTCACCTTCCCCACCACCCACCCACCCCCCTCCCTCTCCCCCGGCCTCCTCCGCAGCCTCTTCTCCTGTGGCACGAGCAAGGAGGGCGAGACGTCACTGGTGGAGTGGAACGAGAGCGAGGGTGCCATCAAGCGCAGCTACCTGGGTTTCCGCAAGCGCTCGCTGGGCGTCGTGCAGTTTGACACCACGCGCAACCGCTTCCTTGTCGCCGGTGACGAGTACCTGATCAAGTTCTGGGACATGGACAACACTGCCGTGCTCTGCACACTCGATGCTGACGGTGGCCTGCCAGTGAGTGCTGCGCGCTTCCACTCCACCAGTGAGTGGGCCTCTCTTGTGAGTGATGCTCCTTTCTTTGTGAGTCTGCCTCCCTGTGTCTGCCTCTCTGGCGACGAGTACCTGATCAAGTTCTGGGACATGGACAACACTGCCGTGCTCTGCACACTAGATGCCGATGGTGGCCTGCCAGTGAGTGCTGCGCGCTTCCACTCCACCAGTGAGTGTGCCTCTCTTGTGAGTGATGCTCCTTTCTTTGTGAGTCTGCCTCCCTGTGTCTGCCTCTCTGGCGACGAGTATCTGATCAAGTTCTGGGACATGGACAACACTGCCATGCTCTGCACACTAGATGCCGATGGTGGCCTGCCAGTGAGCGCTTCTCCTCCATCTCGAAGCCACTCTGCTTGCCCAGGGTTTAGGATAGGTTTACGTGCTGGGAACGAGTAGCCCATCAGGTTCTGCACCCTGCTTCACACGCTCATTGCCGACGCCGGCCGCTTCACAGCCAGGCGATTCCATGGTTGTGGTTCAAATGCGATTCTACTGATGGCATAGCAGCAGTCCCTGACACGCCTCTCTTCATACTTCCTCCCCCTCCCTCCTCCCCACCAGGCGAGTCCGAGAGTGAGGTTCAACAGGGAGGGTTCTCTCTTGGCGGTGACGGCAGCGGACAACTCGGTGAAGATCCTTGCCAACGACATGGGCCTGCGCCTCCTGCGCAACCTCGAAGCCGCTGCTGCCACCGCTGCAGCCGCTGCTGCTGCCGCCGCAGCTGCTGCAGCCGCCCAGAGGCCTGTGGACACCAAGGTGGGTCGTCTGTGGGCTAGTCAGTCTTGCTTGACTTTTGAGATGTCTCAAAATAGACGACTTTTGAGACGTCTCAAAATAGACGACTTTTGAGACGTCTCAAAATAGACGACTTTTGAGACGTCCCAAAAGAGACGACTTGTGAGACGTCCCAAAAGTCGGCTGCAGCAGCTGCCCAGAGACCTGTGGACACCAAGGTGGGTGCATTGGTGGGCTAGTCAGTCCTGCTTAGATTTGTGGATATGTGAGATCCCGCTCCCCAGCCCTCCTGCTTCGTGCATTCCTCTGCTTCCCTGATTGGCCCTTTGCGTTAATTGATGCGTCTCTCTGTCTCATGTTTGCTCTCCTCCCCCCCTCCATTTGTGCGCTACAGCCGCCACCACCCGCCCTGCCCCAGCCTCCATCACAGCAGCAGCAGCAGCAGGCAGTGCAGGCAGCAGCAGCTGCAGCCGCCGCCGCTGCCGCCGCCGCTGCTGCTCAGGCGTCTCAGCAACCTCCCCCTTCCCAGGCGCCATCTCAGCAACAGCAGCAGCAGCTTCAACAACAGCAGCAGCAGCTGCAGCAGCAACAGCAGCAGCAACAGCAACAGCAACAGCAGCAGCAACAACAGCAGCAACAACAGCAGCAGCAGCAGCAACAGCAGCAGCAGCAACAACAACAACAGCAGCAGCAGCAGCAGCAGCAGCAGCAGCAACAGCAGTTGGATCGCTCGTCCCCTGCTTCTGCTCTTACTGCTTCGGTGCGGTTCTTACACGACTTTTCTCCTAGTGCATTGCTGGTCTCTTGTGTGTGGCTTAGGGCGTGCTTCAGCTCAGACGTTCACAGACTCTTGTCCTTCAAGCATTCTTTCTTCTCACCTTCTCACGTCACCCCTCCAGTGCATCCCCTCTCTCTCCTTCCACCTCTCCACCCGTCCTGCTGCCCTCTTTTCCCTCAGTTCCCTTCCCCACTTATTGGGGCCCCGTTCCCATTCCCGAACCCTTTCCCTCCCCCAACCCTCCCTCCACGCCCCTGCTCTGCTCACAGCAGAGGCTGCGGGAAGATTTATCTGTAGTTGCTTTAAAAAAAAATCCCCCTTCTCCTCCCCCATCCTCCCTCTCCCCCAACCAACCCCCCTCTCCGCCAACCCCCCCTCCACGCCCCTGCTCTGCTCACATCAGAGGCTGCAGGAGGACGGGCCAGACAAGAAGGGATGGAAGCTTACTGAGTTCTCGGAGCCCTCACAGGTAGCCTCTCTCTCCGGCTCCCCCTCTCTCTCCCGCTCCCCCTCTCCCTTCTCCCTCTAACCTTCTCCCCGTCTGTCCCACTCCACCTTCTCCACCTCCCCTCTCCTGTCTCCAACCTTGCTTTTGTCTTCACATTTGGCCTGTGAGTCCCCTCTCCTGCCCCTCATCACGATCTGCTTTCACTGCTCTCTCTGTCTCTCTCCATGCCCTTAACCACTACTTGCCTGCATTTCCCTCTTGTGCCGGTGCTTCCCTCCCTTCCCTCCGCCATCCCAACCTGTCTTTTCCCTCCGTCACTCCGAACCTCGCAGGTCCGGGCCGCCCGCCTGCCGGACAGTCTGCCGCCCAGCAAGGTGCTGCGTTTGATCTACACCAATTCAGGTGTGGCACTGCTGGCGCTCTCTGCCAATGCCGTGCACAAGCTGTGGAAGTGGCAGCGCTCCGACCGCAACACCAAAGGACTGGTGAGTGTTACACAAATTATACATATATTTACATCGTGATATGCAGATATCATACCTTTATAGCTGAATGTATTGGGTTTACTGTAGTAAGTGCTTTCTGCCAATGCTGTGCACGAGCTGTGGAAGTGGCAGTGCTCCAGCTGCAACACCAAAGGACCGGTCAGTACTATGGGAACACAAGCATATGCATTTAGAGAATTTTTCTATATCATTGTAATTCTTTTAATTCGATATAATGCCGTAGGCACCGTCCGACGAGACACTTTTCAAGAGGCGGAAGTGTTAGTTGTTCGATGCTTCTGTAACTTTGAGTACCTGTAACGGTCCTCCCTTTCGTACCCATCACACGTGCAGGCCACTGCGAGCTCTGTCCCGCAGCTGTGGCAGCCGGCGAGCGGCATCATGATGACGAACGACATGGGCGATGTGAGCTCGGATGACCGGGAGGGAGCGCACCCGGTGGCGTGCATAGCGCTGTCCAAGAACGACTCGTATGTTATGTCCGCCTCGGGGGGCAAGGTCTCGCTCTTCAACATGCTCACCTTCAAGGTGTGTGCGGGTGTGTGTGAGGGAGTGAGGGAGCCCATTTGATGGCGTGCATTGCGCTGGCCAACAGCGACTCCTACGTGCGCGCGCGCGCGTGTGTGTGAGGGCGCACCCTGTGGCATGCATATCACTCCCCATTGCCCCTCGTTGTCCTGCGTTGACCTCTCTTATATTGTGTTGACCAGGTGATGACGACGTTCATGGCGCCGCCCCCAGCAGCCACCTTCCTGGCGTTCCACCCACAGGACAACAACATAATCGCCATCGGCATGGACGATGCCACCATCCAGATCTACAACGTCCGGCTTGACGAGGTGAGGACTCTAATTGGGCGAGTGGTGGTGCTGTAGCAGGGCAGGGGCCCGGGTGGGAAAGCACTTCCTCTGCGGTAGCCACTTCCCTGAGGCAGGAGTGTTCCACCCGCAGGACAACAACATCATCGCCATCGGCATGGACGATGCAACCATCCAGATCTACAATGTGCGCCTCGACGAGGTGAGCACTTCCTTGGCCCTTGATGGGGTCATGAAAGCGATATTACCAGTTCCGCAGCAGCCACCTCTCCCAGTAGCAGCGTTCCACTCCACCGGCAGGTCAAGCAAGGCACGGGCATGAGCGCTGCTGGTTTTCTTCAAAACTTCTTCAACTTGCATTTTTTTTCTTCCCTCTCCTGTTTGATGGAAAGCACCATGATGTAGCCATGGGATTGCTCTAGGGCTGTAGTGGGTAAAGGTGTGGTACTGTTCCAGCAGCTGACGTTCCCTCCACCTGGGCCATCGCCGTCCGAACAATGTGCATTAGACTCACATTTTTCCTCCCCTTCTGGCCCCTGCACCCGCCCCACTTCCTCCCTTTCCATCCACTCCACTCCCCCCTCAACCCCCGTCATTCATGGTAACAGGTGAAGAGCAAGCTGAAGGGGCACAGCAAGCGCATCACAGGGCGTCTTTCTGAAGTGCCATACCTTCCCCCCCCCCTATGGGCCTCCCTCCTCTTCCCCCTCTCCCCCCATCTCATGGTAACAGGTGAAGAGCAAGCTGAAGGGGCACAGCAAGCGCATCACAGGGCTTGCCTTCTCCAACGCCCTCAACAGCCTCGTGTCCTCTGGGGCTGACTCGCAGGTGAGGAGAGGAGAGTGTGATTTACAGGTGAGGGGAGGAGGAGGGTTAACTTATTGAGCTTCCCTCCTCGCTTCGCTACCACTGGTTCCTATTCCTATTCGTGCCATGGTGCTTATGAACTGATCCCTAGTGACCTCATACCTGGTCCCCTTTTCTTACCCTTTTATCTTTCCCCCACACACTCTTCAATCAGCACCTGCTCTTATCTCCTGCCATCCCACTTTCCTTCTCTTCTCCCCCCTCTACCCTTTTTCCCCTGGGCTCCCTCCTCTTCTTCCCCCCTCTTCCCCTTCCCCAGCTGTTCCTCTGGAGCACAGACGGGTGGGAAAGGCGGAAATCGCGCCCGCTGGCTCTCCCGTCGCGCTCGTCGCCGACGCAGCAGGCGGACACGCGGGTGCAGTTCCACAACGACCAGCAGCGCCTGCTGGTGGTGCACGAGTCGCAGCTCGCCATCTACGACGCCGCCAAGCTCGACCGCCTGCGCCAGTGGCTGCCCCGCGACCTCGGCCCGCTCTCCGCGCCCATCACTGCCGCTGCGTATTCGTGTGACTCCTCGCTCGTGCTTGCTGCATTCGCGGATGCGACTGTGTGTGTGTTTGACGGGGATAGTCTTCGGCCGCGGTGCCGCGTTGCTCCTTCGGCGTATGCGCCGTCTGTCGGGTACGCACGTCGCGCTCACTCTTCTCCCTTACCTTCTCGCAATGCTTATGCACGTTGTTTTCTTGCCACGTGCTCCCTTTCCCTTCGCGGAGTATCCATGCCCCTTACATGTTCCTTCTTGCATTCTGCTCCTACCTCACTCTCCTTGCCTTCAGTTGTCTCAACGCAGGGCTGTCTGAAGCTTCTCTTCTTCCTTTCCCTGACCCATCGTCAATCCCTTGTGTTCGATGCGCTCATCACTTTTCCGTGTTTGCAGACCGGGTCTTGTGGTGCCAATGGTGGTCGCAGCTCACCCGCAAGATCCTAACCAGTTCGCTTTGGGTCTGAGTGACGGTTCAGTGCATGTGCTAGAGCCTTCTGATCCTGATGGCAAGTGGGGCCCACCCCTGCCTGCTGAAAATGGTTCTGGGGCGGGTGCTATGTCGACAGGTGGGGGAAGTGGAGGTGTGGACCGATAGGGAATGCTGATGGGGATTCTAGGGTGGCTGTGTTCACTGACAGGGGTTAGGGAAGAAAGGTTTGCCAGAATGCACACGGTTCTGGCGTAGACCTTAGAGCAATGATTTTGTGGTGGGACAGTAGAGTTGCTGAGCTTGTGGATAGTAAAAAGGCTCAGCATTATTTTGAAGTGCTGCTCATTAGAGTAAAGCCTGCTATTCTTCGGCCAGCCTTTAGGAAGTGAGCACATTTTGAAGCATGTGAAATGCATGTCTGATTACTAACTGTTAATTTGAGTGTTTGAAACGATTAAGCATCACTGCGTGTAATTCGCTACACCTAAAATGCTCGTAAAAGGCTCGTGGCAATTTCAATGTTTCGAAAATGGCTTCCCGCCAAATTTAGGCACCTCCCTCTTCTGCAGCATTCTTCACCTGCACGACTCCGTTGTTTGCCTTGCCTCCCACTAAGTGTTTTGAAGCAACGCTCTCTTCAATTGTTTCCAGTCATCCCCGCACCACTCACACCGATAAAAGCCTTTCATTCCAGCAGGTTGCTTGTATGGCTGCTGGTGGGGGAGCCCACGAGGCTCTTTTCGCGTTGAGAGTGTCCTTGTGTCCGAAGAATTGCGATACTTCCCGCGCTGTCCGTTTCATGTCATATTCTATTCCCGTTCTTCACGCGTTTCCACGGTTACGCACTAATTTTCCTCCTTACCTGTAGTATTTTTTTTCTAGTAACACAACCCACCAGGTACCTAACCGCTCGTAACCGCTTGTAACCTGGCAATAGACTAAATAGCTCCGATCTGGAACCTGGTACTCAAGTCCGAGCTAAAGAGTCGAGTTCCGAGACGTCTGAAGACACGTCTCAAGGCCTGGTTGTAGCCTGGCATTTGATTATCTAGGTCCGAGCAGCAGCGATAGTCATGGACGCGGGAGCCGACTCGTGGCCGGTGGGCTCGCTGGTCCTCGCTAAGGTTCAGGGTTATCCGCCATGGCCGGCTCAGGTAGTTCTCCTCAACATGCAGCCTTTTCACCATTTTTCGGTATTTAACCTTCAATTATTATGCACATATTTGTTCGTTCGACGTGCTCGAGATTCTGTTACCTTTCTTGTCCCTATGCTGAATGCATCGACCTTTCAATGATTGCCGTGTCTCCTTGGGTTGCTTCGGAGCAGGTCATGGATCCGTACAAGTTCAAGAAAGAACCGCAGGAAGGAAAGATATTCGTCCTGTTCCTGCAACCGCGACAGATGTGAGTCTCTTGATTCCCACAAGTGTTAGTTTCTTAGTTGCGACTGATCATATGTTCTCGACCACGAGAAGCGTAAGTGCCCGGGTGGCCGTCGTCTATTCATAGCGTTGGTAGCATTCTGTGCGAACAAGAATCCGTTTGTCGATTATCATCCGTTCGCGTTGTTTATTCCGACCCCGCTTCAGTGCTCAAATGACCGGGTTGACTCGTCCAACCTTCCTTCCCCGCATGTCAGCCGTTTTTGCAATGCCACTCAAGCTGGACAAATTTGCAGATACGCGGCGAAGGAGCACGCAACGTACTGATACCGGAAATTTCCCCTCCTCATCCCCTTTCTCTTCGCTTCCCCTCCCCCCCTCTCCCCTCTTCCCTCTGCTCCCCTCCTCCCCCTGTGCCAGTCGGTTCTGCGGGCCGGACGAACTAGACAGGTTCGAGGGCGAGGCGCGGGAGAAGGCGATCGCGCGCAGCCGGCGCAGCAGCTGCCTCCCCGACTACAAGGGGGCGCTCGATGCGTGCCTGGCGCAGGAGGCGCGGCTGGCGCTGCTGGCGCAACGCCAGCAGGGCGCAAGGCAGCCGCGGGCAGAGAGGCAGGAGCGGGGGGAGAGGCAGGAGCGTGGAGAGAGGAAGGAACAGCAACAGCAGCAACCGCAACAGCAGCAGCAGAAAGAGCAGCCGCCGCCACCGCCGCAGCAGCAGCAGCAGCCGCAGCAGCAATCCGTGCGGCAGGCGAAAGGAGAGGGAAAGGAAACGCCAAAAGTGGAGCAGGGGGAACGAGAGGAGGAGAACAAGGGAGGGACGAAGGGAAGGACGAAGGGAGGAAAGAAGCAGAAGGGTGCGAAGGCCCGAGGGAAGCGGAAGAAGGAAAGGGAGGAGGAAGAGGTGGAGGAGGAGGAGCAGCGAGAGGAGGAGACGGAGAAGGAAGCAGAGGTGGAGAAAAGGAGAGAGGCGGGTGCGAGTGGGCAGAGCGCCAAGAAGAGGAGAAAGGAAGGGTGAGACTCTTGGCAAGTCACATGCTCGTTCGAACTCATGGTTTCTGGCCTTTCTGACCATCCTGCTGCTGGCTCGTGGGGCTTGCTGTTGCGTTGCTGTGGTGTCCTACTTGAAACGAAGTGTTTTTTACTTTGACTCAATTCGCTGCAACCTTTGCTTGTCATCCGCTTTCCCTCCTTCATACCTTCAGGGAGGTAAATGTGGCTGACGTGGCACGGCCAGCGGTTGACGTTGCAGAGGTTGGGCTGGAGGCGGGAGCGACAGGAGAGGCAGAAGCCACAGGAGCGGCAGGAGCGGCAGGAGAAGCGGGAGAGGCAGGAGCGGCAGGAGATGCAGGAGAGTCGCTGATTGCAGATAAGAAGGATGCGGGAGGAGCGATGACGGAAATGGAGGGAGAGGGCATGCACGCGGGTGCTGGGGCGGAGGCGGAGGCAGGGGACACGGAGCAAGAGGAACATGAGGAGAGAGAACGGCCGGACGGAGTGGCAGAGGGACGCGCGGAGGGACGAGCGGAGGGACCAGCGGGAGGAGAGGCAGAGGGAGGAGCAGAGGGAGATGCAGAGGAAAGAGCAGGACTCGGGCCCCAGGGAGCATCGTTAGGGACGGAGAGGATTGGCCCGGGCGATGGTGAGGCAGAAGCAGGCGGTGGTGCGGTGGCAGGGAAAACGGCCAAGACAGGTGGTACTTTGAGTTATGGTAGGAGAGGGGGGAAGAAGGGACGAGGGAAGGAGAGCGGCAGAGGGGTGGAGAGTCGAAACACAGGAGAGGATGTGGCGGCGAGGGTAGGTGCAGCAGCAGTGGAAACAGGAGCTGCTGCTACGGGTGCAGCACTCGTGGGAAGCAGAGCGACAGCAGGAGTGGTGCCAGAAGCAAGCGGAGATGTGCTGCTGACTCCTCCAGTTGAGGGGGTGCTCTCGACGCCTCCTGGGTTAGAAGTGCTCTCGACCCCTCCTGGAGGGAAGGAGAGGCGGGCAGCTGCGCAACGGGCTGCTGCTGCGCTGGCTGCCACTTCTGGGGGCAAAGGCAGAGCGGGGAGAGGGGAGGGGAAGAAGGGGGAGAAAGAGGAGAAGGGGGAGAAAGGGGAGAAGGGGGAGAAGGCGGGGGAGGAGGGGGAGAAGGGTAAGGTTGGAGGAGGGACAGGAGAGGCAGGGAAGATGAACAAGGGAAAGAAGGAAAGGAAGGTGGAAAAGGCGGGGAAGGGGAAACAAAAAGGAAAGGTTGAAGCGGCAAGGGCAGGAAGAGCAGTGACAGGAGCAGCAGATGAAGAGACGGCTGATGTGAGAGAAGCAGAGGAAACTGCAGGTGGTGACAGAGTTGCGGCAGTGGAGGAGGAGGAGCAGCAGGGGGAGCAAGAGGGGGAGCAGGAGGGGGAGCAGGAGGGGGAGCAGGAGGGGGAGCAGGGGGAGGAGCAGGAGGAGGGTGAAGAAGAGGAGGTGGGGAGAGCAACAGGAAAGGGGGTTAAGGCGAAGAAGGGCGGGGCTGTGGTGGAGCGCAGGAGCACAAGGGCTCGTAAAAGTGAGGATGGGGGTATGGCTGAGAGGGTGAGGAGAGGTGCGAAGGGAGGTATGAAGGGAGGTATGAAGGGAGGCGCGAAGGGAGGCGCGAAGGTGAGTGAGCGAAGGGCGAGTTTTTTGAGAGGGAAGGGTGCGAAGGGTGAAGTGGTGGAGAGGGAGAAGGGCAGAAAGGAGCGTGAGAGAAGAGCGAGTGTGGCGAGAGGGAAGGGGGATGGGAGGAGAGGAAGGGGAAAGGGAGGGAAGAAGGAAGAAGAGGAGGAGGAGGGTGCGGAAGAGGAGGAGGCTGGAGAAGAAATGGAGGTGGAAGAAGGGGAGGTGGGCGAGGGTGAATTGGAGGGAGGAGAGGACGACGAGGAGGAACGGGTGGAGGAAAGGGATAAGGAAAGAGGGGAGAGGCGAGCTGAAGTGGAGGGAGAGGAGGGAGAAGGTGGAGAAGAGGAGGAGGACGAGAGTGTGAGAGAAAATGGCTCAGAGAAGGAGAGTGAGGAGGAGGAGGAGAGTGAGGAGGAAGAAGAGGAGTATGTACCCAGCTCACAAAAGGGCAAGAGGCCTCGTGCAGAGGGGGGGGAAGTCAAGCATAAGCAGCAATCTGTCGCCGCACCTCGTCCCAAACCTGCTCCCAAACCTCCCAAGGCAGCGCTCAAGGCTCTTGCCAAGCCTCGCGGCCAGGCTCGGTCCACCGCTGCTGCTGCTGCCGCTGCTGCTGGGGCTTTCATTGTAGAGGGTAGACCCACCGTTGCAGCACCCAAGGGAAGGAAAGCGGAGAAGCGAAGGAAAGGGAAGGAGTTGGAGGGGGAGAGAGAGGCGCAGGCGGATGGTGGGGAGCATGGGGTGGAAGGAGAAGAGGAGGGTGTGGGGGCAGGGCGGGAGGAGGGGCAGCGGAAGGGAGCAGGCAAGCAGAGGCAGCAGGCAGGGGCGGAGGTGCCAAGGGGTGATGGTCGGCTCACTGCTTCTGAACGAAGCCTTTTTGGTGGGTTGTTGGAATGGGAAATACACATATTGTAGAGAGGAGAACGATGCCCTTTTAGGGGCTATGAAAGATACTCTGTGTGGTGGGGTGATCCCTGTGTTTTGGGTCTGTGAGTACCGGCTCTGTACTTGACTGTTTCCGATTCCACCTTGTTGACTAAATTTTCATCCACCTTGTCCAGTTTTTGAAAATGCATCGCTCTGGTCCGGTGCCCTGTTGTCTCCACCCTCCTCCCACAGACATAGTCCAGGCGGGCAGTGCAGAGGACGTGGAGGAAGCAGCGTTCCGGTGGATGGAGGGGTATGAGTTCAACCGCACTCATGCCACAGCCCAGCTGCTCAAGCTGCTCTTCCAGGTAACCCTTGTAGCACTCTCCTTTATTGTGAATTGCATGTCGCTCTGTTTATCTGGATGGAGGGGTATGAGTTCAACCGCACTCATACCACGGCCCAGCTGCTCAAGCTGCTCTTCCAGGTAATCGACTTGGCACTTTCGTGAGGCAAGCAGCCATGTGCCGATTTTGATTGTGAGGCGCCTCATGTGCAACATGTGCTTGGTAGCCATCATCACATGTGTATGTTTGTGTCGCCGCAGCCACATCCCTGACAGGCATGTGGGGTGCAGGTGGTAATGGGTGACGATGCGATCCTCTCTCAGAGGGAGTGCGGGGGGTGGATGATGTCGTGCAAACCGAGTTGACCTTTGAGTCGACTCAAAAGCCAACTTGTGTGCCATTTTACTCGCACCCATGGCAGGCGTGTGGGGTGCAGGTGGTGATGGGTGACGATGCGATCCTCTCTGAGGGAGCAGGGTGGATGACGTCGTGCAAACCCTCTTGGGCTTTTGAGTCGACTCAAAACTTGTGTGTGTGTGTGTGTGTGTGTGTGTGTGTGTGTGTGTGTGTGTGTGTGTGTGTGTGTGTGTGTGTGTGTGTGTGTGTGTGTGCATGCACGTACGCGCATGTCTGTGTGCTGCTGCCCTACCCGCCGCATCCCTACCAGGCGTGTGGAGTGCAGGTGGTGATGGGAGACGATGCCATCATGTCAGAGGGGGTTGGTGTGGATGACGTCGTGCAAACCCTTGAGGGCTTTTGAACCAACTCAATACTTTCCAATGTGTTGCGTCCTGTCCGCATCCCCTACCAACCAGGCGTGTGGGGTGCAGGTGGTGATGGGAGACGATGCCATCATGTCAGAGGGAGTCGGTGTGGACGACGTCGTGCAAACCCTCGTCGACTCCGCCCGCCAGGTCGCCCTGCTCGACCATCTGCACCGCACTCCACCGCACCACAGCCACCACCACTCCACTGCCAACGACGGCAAGGGCAGCAAGGGTGGCAGTGGCAAGGGTGGCGATGGGGCATCGTTCCGCACGTCATTGCTGCTGTTCTGGGATGCGCTGGTGGTGGCGGGGGGGCGGGAAGGTTCTCTCTTTGACTCCCAGCTCCTGCCCACGCTTCTTGACTACCTCGTTGCCCTCTCCTCGTACGTTCCCTCCCCCGTTGCTTTCTGCTTGTGCATCTCCTCCCTCTGCCTCTTTCTGCGCATCCCTGTTTTTTGCTGCTCTGCTCTTCGTTTCCGTCTTCGTGTGTATAACGTCAGCCCGCCGCCCATTGTGCGTCTCTACCTCTCCTCCTTGTCTCCAGTTCCTCATTCTCACCTTTGCCGTCTGACAGAACATGCTTGATTCACTTTCCCCGAACTCCAGACCTACTCCCTCCCCTCCCTTCCCCCTTTCCCCCCCCTCTGCCTCCCCTCCCCATCAGCTCCTCCCCTCGCATATTCCGCCACGTGGCAACACTCGTGGTGCTGCAGCTCATTTCGTCCATCATCGCTTCCGTGCTCTCCTCGTCCCTCCTCTCCTCATATTGCGTCCGCGTCCCCCTCTCTTCCCCTTATTCCCCCCAGCTCCTCCCCCCGCATATTCCGCCACGTGGCAACACTCGTGGCACTGCAGCTCATCTCCTCCATCATCACCGTCGCTTCCGTGCTCTCCGAATCGCAATCCACGGCTCAGAGGCAGCTGCAGGCCGCGATCCGACGGTCGGAAGAGCAGGAGCAGCAGGCGACAAGAGCAGGGGCGGAAAGCCGAGGAACAGGAGTGAGGAGGAGCAAGAGGAAGGGGTCTACTGGGGGAGGTGGGGAAGGACGAGGGGATGGGGACGCCGGGGAAGCGGCAGGACTGGGGGATGGGTCTGAGGGGGCAGGTGGGGGAGGTGGAAGTGGAGGGGCGAGCAGGCGGGCAGCGGTGGAGCTGCAAGCGAAGGTGGATGCGATTCATGGGCAGGTGGCCATGCTGGAAGGGGTCATGCGGCGAGGGTTCACTGGGTGAGTAATGGGTGATGCGTGGTGCAGAGTGGTGACAGGGGTGAGAGTCCACTCAAAGGCACATTGGAATTGGAGGGAGCGGCGAGCAGGCGGGTAACAGTAGAGCTGCAGGCGAAGGTTGATGCGATTCATGGGCAGGTGGCGATGCTTGAAGGGGTCATGCGGCGAGGGTTCACAGGGTGCGTGAGGAGTGATGAGTGGTGGGTGACAAATGGTGCAGAGTGGTGTATGCCAGCACTGGAATGGTGCTGATTCACCTTCTGCTCTTCTGCCTACCTTCCGTAACCCCCATCTTAGCCATCGTCACGCGGACTCCAATAGATTCTCAAAATCCTTCTGTAACCCAACCCCCTCTTGCAGTGCAGCATCATAACGCATCGATATCGCGACGTGGATCCGGCCATCAGAGCAGCATGTGTGGCGGCGCTGGGGCAGTGGGGCAGTGGGTGTCAGGCACGACTCCCATCACTCCTCCCACCCACCTCCCCCTTTTGCACCCCCCCTTACTGGCATCCTGTATTACACCCCCTCACAATCCCCCCGCCAGCATCATCACGCATCGCCATCGGGACATCGATCCGGCCATCAGAGCAGCGTGTGTGGCGGCGCTGGGCCAGTGGGTGACGCGCTACCCGTCGCTCTTCCTCGATGATGTCTTCCTCAAGTACCTCGGCTTCTCGCTCAATGACAAGGTGGGCACCTAAGCAAGGTGGGCAGTGGGCAAGGTGGACAGTGGGCATTGCGGTGTACAATAGATTATCACAAGGCCTGCTCACAGCCCTTCCTCTTCCTCCATGATGTCTACCTCAAGTACCTGTGCTTCTCGCTGAATGACAAGGTGGGCGGTGGGTGCTGTGCAAAGCTGGTAAGGTACGTGCGGTGCGGCAGTAGGGTGCTCGCATGCTCACACCCCTCGCTCTTCCTGGGTGATGTCTACCTCAAGTACCTCCGCTTCTCGCTCAACGACAAGGTGAGAGCTCTGCAGGATGAGAGCTCTGTAAGTTGTCATCAGTTAACTCAAAACCCTTCACGTAAACCCTTAAGTTGTCGTAGTGCGTCATTTCTCGTTGATGTCCGCTTGATTTTCTATTCCAATCTCCCTCTGCCAGGTGGCATCCGTCCGCCTCACGGCCCTGTCAGCGCTCCAGTCGCTCTACGCCAGCGAGGACAATCTGCCGGCGCTCGGCGTCTTTTCGGAGCGCTTCGTGCCACGTGTGCAGCAGATGGTGGATGACGTGGATGCTGACGTGGCAGTGGCTGCTGTCTCGTTGGTCCAGCTGCTCGCCAGGTAAGCTGCTGTGGATGCTTACATGCTTACATGATTGCAGTACCTGATTGTAGTCCATTACATATCAGCATGCTTCCATTCTTGCGCCCACCAGGCCAGCCGATCGCTCTCTGTTTCTCACTGCCCCGCAAACGACTGATGTTGCTTCTGAGAATCCTCAAAAGCAAAAAGCAACATCAACACTGCCGCTCAGACTCGCCGCCTGCCCTCATCTCCTCGCTCACCCTCCCCTACCTTCTTTCTTCCCTGCTGCTCCCTCCCAGCAACGACACCCTCCCACACAACCGTGCCATGTCTCTCCTCTCTGATCTCCTCACGGACGACTGCCTGCCGCTCAGACTCCACTCCTGTCCTCATCTCCCCATTCTTCCCTTCCCCCCCCCCCCTTCTCCTTACTCTTTCTCCCCTGCTGTGTTCCCTCCCAGCAACGACACCCTCCCACACAACCGTGCCGTCGCTCTCCTCTCTGATCGCCTCACGGACGACTGCCTGCCGCTCAGACTCGCCGCCTGCAACGTCCTCTTCCTCCTCCTCCTCGCCTCCTCCCCCAGCCCTGCCTCTCCTGCTGCTGCTGAAGCCGCTGCATCCGAAGCAGGCCCGAGGAAAGGCAAGGGGGGAGGCAAGAGGGTGGATGAGAGGGGAGGGAAGGGTGGGGAGGCGGAGGAGGGTGCAGGGAGGCAGGTGGTGGTGGTGGTGCGAATGCTGCAGACGTGTGGGGATGCGGTGCAGGCTGGGTACGTGGTGGATGCGCTGTGGGAGCGAGTACCGGCCCTCATGGTGAGCCCTCACTCTTCATGGTGAGCCCTCACTCTCATGGTGAGCCCTCACTCTCATGGTGAGCCCTCACTCTCATGGTGAGCCCTCACTCTCATGGTGAGCCCTCACTCTCATGGTGAGCCCTCACTCTCATCGTGAGCCCTCACTCTCATCGTGAGCCCTCACTCTCATCGTGAGCCCTCACTCTCATGGTGAGCCCTCACTCTCATGGTGAGCCCTCACTCTCATGGTGAGCCCTCACTCTCATGGTGAACCCTCACTCTCATGGTGAGCCCTCACTCTCATGGTGAGCCCTCTCATGGTGACTGTGTGGCTCGCTGCATGTGAATGCTGCAGGCGTGTCGCTATGTGATTGGCTCGCTGCATGTGAATGCTACTGCATGCGAATGCTCTTTCATTCCCTTCCATCCCTCCCATCAGGACTTGAAGTCAATTGGGAAGTTGCTACTGCAGTCAGACACCCAAGCCACGCCCCTCTCCCCCTCCTCCCAGCCGCTCTCCCCCACTCCTCCCTCCTCCTCCACCCCCTCGTTCCCCTCATCGCCTCCTCCTCCCGAAGCCGACACGCCCACCCTCGCCCTCCTCCTCTCCCTCGCTGCTCGCAAGACCGTGGGATTGCCGATTGTGCCGCGGAGTGCAGCGGAGGTGAAGAGAAAGGCGCCTGTTGCACTGTCCAAGGCCAAAAAGGTGAGTTGGTTCACGCACCCACACCCTCTCTTTCCTCCGCTCCTCCTCTCCTCGCCCTTCTCCTCTCTCTTGCCTCTCTCAAGACCGTTGTGCTGAGGAGTGCTGCAAACGTGAAGAGAAAGGGCTTGTTGCTGCAGTGTCCAAGGCCAGGAAGGTGAGCCGCTGTTGAGGCGCCTCAAAGGTGAGCCAGTGACGCATTCCTCTCTGTCCTCAAATCGAACTTGTCACAAGCAATTCCCACCACGTACCTCCACCACCTCCGCTCTCTATGTTTTTTTTTACTTCTCAGAAAACATACGCAAATCCAACTTGTCACAAGCAATTCCCACCACGTACCTCCACCACCTCCGCTCTCCTCCCCTTCCCACCAGGAGCGCCGGGCAGCAGCGGTGATGGAGATGACAGGGGCGCTGCTGAAGGTGAGGCGGTGACACATACCCATTACCCACACTCACGCCCCCGCCTCCGCACCCCCCGAACCCCCTTTCCCCCCACCCACCCCTTGTGGACCCACCCAGGAGCGCCAGGTAGAAGGGGTGACGGAGATGACAGGGGCGCTGCTGAAGGTGCGAGTTGGTAACACACGCCCACACTCACACCCAACCCTCCCCCAAACCTCCTCCTCCCCCCCCCCCTCTCTTTCCTCCCGTCCCTCTTGTGGATGGACCAGGATCGGCAAGCAGCAGTGGTGGCGGAGATGACAGGGGCGCTCGTGAAGGTGCTTCCGCCAATGATGAGGCGCCACGTGGCGGATGAGCGCGTGCTGCTGCGGCTGCTGGAAACAGCAGAGTGTCTTGACGTGGGGTCGCTGGCGCATAGGCAGCAGCAGGAGGTGGGTGGGGAGATGATTGCAGTTTGTTAGATTAATCGGGTTGCATGTCCAGTTGTAATGTGGGAGTGGAAGCAGCAGAGTGTCTGGACGTGGGTGCGCTGGCGCACAGGCAGCAGCAGGAGGTGAGTGGGGAGGGATGGCTTTTTGTCAAGTCTGTTGGTGTGACTCCTTGCCCACACGTATCTGTACGCGTCTGGACGCAAGTTGACGCGTCTGGAGGTGGGGAACCTTGCAGACCAGCAGCAGCTGGGGGGGGTGAGTGGAGTGGGGAAGGCTGGACTCTACGTGTGTCAGCTTAAGGTGACTTTTGAGTCGACTCAAAAGTCACTTAAGTTGGTGTCAGGTGCTCTGGTGGCAGGGGACTGCAGCCGGCTTTTGCTGTGGTTCTCAAAGGTGTTTTATTGGCAGAGGACCGCAGCAGGAAATGAGTGGATGAAAACCCTTTTTTCTTCCTTACCACACCCACCCATGCACGCATGTTTCAACGTTTCCATGCTCACCCATGCACGCATGTTTCAACGCCTCCATGCTCACCCATGCACGCATGTTTCATGCAGTGTAAAAGGAACCTGTTTCCCGTTGTTCCAAAAAGAAACCCTCCCTCTCTCTCTCTCTCTCTCTCTCTCTCTCTCTCTCTCTCTCTCTCTCTCTCTCTCTCTCTCTCTCTCTCTCTCTCTCAATTTCTGGTTTTGTGGTTACCACCATCCACCAGCCTCTCCTCGCGATCCTCTCGGCGGCGCGTGACAGCCTGGCGCGCCACGTCAGCACGGCGGTGATGGCGGCAGCGACACGTGTGCTACTGCGGTGCATGTGGCGTGCTCAGGGAGACATGCGCGAGCAGGCGGAGGAGGCAGTGAGGGGCGCCGTGCGCAGTGTGGTGGTGGGGCGAGTGAGGGAAGAAGCACTCACAGCTCTGGAGGTGAGTTTTAAAGTAAAGGCGGGGGAGCAGGCGTGAGGAGCGCCGTGTGCAGTGTGGTGGTGGGGCGAGTGAGCAAGGAGGCACCAAGTGCTCGTGCTGCTGTGGAGGTGAGTTAGAAACTCTGGTGAATGTGGCGCTCCCATGGGGACATGCGGGAACAAGCGGAGGAGATTGTGAGGGGCGCCGTGTGCAATGTGGTGGTGGGGCGATTGCGAGAAGATGAGGTGACTTTTGAGTCGACTCAAAAGTCACCTCGTGTGCAGTGTGGTGGTGGGGCGAGTGAGGGAAGATGCACTAAGCGCTCTTGAGGTGAGTCTCAAATTATCGTTGGGGAGCAGAGGGGGAGGCAGTGAGGGGTGCTGTGCGCAGCGTGGGGCGATTGAGGAAGGAGGCACACAGCGCTCGTGCTGCTGTGGAGGTGAGTTGCAAACCCAGGTGCATGTGGTGCGCCCATGGGGACATGCGGGAGCAGGTGGAGGAGGAAATCGTGAGGGGATCGTGTGCAGTGTGATGGTGGGGCGATTGAGGGAGGAGGCATAATGTGAGTTTCAGAATATCCATTGGGGAGAAAGTGGAGGAGCAAGTAGGGTGCTGTGCCAGTGTGATGGTGGTGCGATTGAGGGAGAAGGCACACAGTGCTCTTCCTCACCACTCTGGAGATGGGTTGGGAACGCAGATGCACCCTACGAACTTCATGCACTCTCCACCCCCTAATACCTTCATGCATCACGTCTCTCTGCCATCCCCCTCCACCCACCCCACCCCAGGCCACGTCAGGCACCCCTGCAGCTGACGTGGACACCTTTTCTCTCTCGGTGGCTGCTACTCGCCTCGCTGTCTTCCTCCTGCAAGCGGACCCTACCCCCTTCCTCCCCGCCCCCGCTGCTGCCGCTGGTGGCACTGATTCAGCTGCTGCTGCAGATGGGATGCAACCACTGGACCTGTTTGCTCTGCTCCTTCGGTTGCTGGAGAAATTTCCTCCTTATAAGCACCCTCAGGTCAGCATACGCTTACTTCCTGTGCACTCTCTGCTCTTCAGTCCGCAAGGGGGTCTTTTTTTTTCTCTGCGAAGTGCTGCGGTTTGTTTCCTACTGACTCGATTTTCTCACCCTGCATTGCTGCTGCCTGACTCCTCTTGCCACCTCCTCTCGTTCCCCTATTGGTCCGTCCAGCTGGCATCGCCAGTGCTTCGCTCGCTGGTGCTGCTGCTCGTGTGGGGCTTTAAGAAACTCGTCACTGCAGTGGGCAAAAAGGGGACGGCAGGTGATGGGGCAGACGCGGCAGGGAGAGACGCAGCAGGTGCTGCAGGAGGTGCTGAGGCTGATAGGGAATCAGGGGGGGAAAGAGGGCTCAGTGTTGGTGGTGTGAGTGAAGGGGTGGGTGAGCAAGAGGAGGAGGTGAGGGAAAGGCAGGGGCGGCTGATGGGTGTGCTGGTGAGGCTCATGGAAGCAGGGGCGAAGGGAAGGATAGCAGTGAACGGAGGAGGGGAGGAGCAGGGCGATGAGGAAGCCGCGGAGGAAGAGGGAGGAGGCAGTGGAGTGGAAAGGGAGGGTCAGAGAGAGCAGCAGCAGCGGTGGCGGCAGCTGCAGCAGCTGGCAGTAGAGGTCTTGGAGCATATATCGGACCTGTGGGTTCTCTTCTCGCCTCATAAGCTCGCTCACTCGCTCCTACACCCACTCTCTGTTACAGTCACACCTGCCAGCGTCAACGCCTACTGGGCGGCATTCAGTCGTCTGCTTCCCCCTTGCTCAGCAGAGAGGGGACAGAGCACACAGGAGAGGCAGCAAGAGAGGGTGTCGGAAAGAGGGGAAGAGAGAGTGGTGGCGGCAGCAGCCAAGCTGGTGCTGTGCGGTGCTGTGGACCCTGAGCTGCTGGCGCCTGCTGTGCTCTCACGGCTTGTGGTGGTGGGGAGGGGCGAGAAGACAGATGATGGGGGTGAGGAGGGGGAGGAGGGGGAGGAGGGGGAGGATGAGGAGAGGGAGGAGGGGGTGGCACGGCTGTTTTTGTCTCATCTGCAGCAGAGGAAGAAGCGGGCGGCAAGTGAGGGAGGGAAATTTGAGCTGTGGCGGATTTTCCTTCAGGCACTGAAAATGGTGAGTGGGCGGGGCGGTGCTTGGATGTCCGTGTGTAGTTGCTTCTAAGTGACGTTTACTTTCCTTAACCAGGTCACTCTTTAATTCATTTCCCTTGGCTGCCCTCTCCTGTCCTCCCCTCCCCTCTCCTCCATTAACCCTCCCCCTTCCCCAACATCAGACCTTTATTCCCACTCTCCCACTCATCTCCAACCACTCGCACACAGAGGATGACGTGGCACCATCTCATTCGCCAAGCCCAGCATCTGTAGGACGCTGTGCCAGCCTGGCAGCCCGGCTGGCAGCTGTAGCAGCCGCCCCGCAGTTCTCTGCGCAGCGATTGGTCGAGCAGCGGGCGGCGATTCGGCAGCTGGTGCAGGAAGGGGTGGCATTCGCCTTTGAGTCGTTGCCCGACCGGCTGGCGTTTCTCGAATGCGCGCTTCTACCGTTTTCTGCGAAGCTTCTTGGAAATGACGCCCGAAGCATGTGAGTGTTGGTTCCTCATAATGTGGCATTGTGGTGCATGGTGTGGTGTGGTGTGGTGTGGTGTGGTGTGGTGTGGTGTGGGTGTTATGAGTGGTATGGGTGGTATGGGTGGTATCGGTTTGGTTTTGGTTTTGGTTCCAGCTATTCAACAGCATCTGACTTCCTTGCCTTGCCTCCTCCCTCCCCATCCTTTTCCCCTGGTCAGTCTCAATGCATTAGAGGAGAGGGTGTCAGCCGTGGATGAAGATGTGGCTGATGACGTGGCATCATCTGAGCCGTTGATGGCCTTCACGTCTGTTCTGACGGAGAGAGCAGCGACAGCACCGCCACCTGCATCTGCTGCAGCTACAGTTAAGGAAAGCGTGGCTGATGGACCGGCAGGCAGGGCAGCACCTGGTGCTGCAGATGATGCTTCAGGTGCTGTGTCAGATGAGGCAGGAGGTGGAGCAGAAGCAGACAGAGACATTCACAGGGAGGGCGTTGACGAGGGGAGAGGGGGGGTGGGAGGGAGCGGAGAGGGCAGGAGACGGACACGTCATGGTGGTGGTGTGGATGAGACTGCATCTGCTGTCAAGCGCAAAAAACTCTCCTTCTCTTCTGCTGCTGCTGCTGGTGGTGCTGTTGGTCCTGATGCTGTTGGCGCTGATGCTGGTGGTGCTGCTGGGGCTGCTGGCGGTTTGGAAGAGGAGGAATCTGAAGAAAGTGCTGGGGAGGAAGGTGAGGGAGAGGAAGAGGAGGGAGGGGTGAATGAGTCAGGGGGAGAAGAGGAAGGGGAGGTTGGAGAGGAAGGGTCAGCGGTGGGGAGGGAGGATGGTTCAGGGCCAGGGTTGAGTCAGCCAGTAGGAGGCCCCGTGTTGGTGGCTGAGCCACTGGGAGGCGAGAGGAAGTATGTGAGGAAGAAGAGGAGGGGTTCAGCGGTGGACGGGGGGAAAGAGGAGAGGAGAATGAAGAGGAGGGAAGAGAGGGGTGGTGATGGGTCGGAGGAGCGAGCCGATGTTGGAGGTGGAGAAGGGGGTAGAGAGGTGGAAGGTGGTGGGCAGGAGTGGGAGGCGATAGGGGAAGAAGTGGACACAGATACGCAAGGCAGAACTCCTGATGCGACTCAAGATGAAACGCAAGTGGAAGAGAGTACCCAAGATGCCTCTCAAGATGAAATGCGGGTGGAAGAGAGTACCCAAGATGCGACTCAAGATGAACCGCGAGTGGAGGAGAGCACCCAAGATGCGACTCAAGACGAAACTCAAGGGGCTGTGCAAGGGAATGAAGCAGGAGAGGATGGGAGGGAGATGGGAGGGAGGAGTGCAGGGGGCACTGAGGAGCAATTGCCTTCCTCTTTTGAGGCTACAGAGGAGGAGCTTCCTTCCTAAAGCGCTTTTCAACACTGAGATTAGTGGTGGTGTTTATCAGTTGATTGATATAGTTTCTTCTCTAGTAAGAAATGTATCTGAACATGGCCTCAGGGCCTCATGTGATCTGCCTTTGTAGAATTACCATAAACACTCGCAAGGTATGCCTGTCTCTCTAAGAACAAGGCAATCTATAAATACTCCGCTCATATCGCGTCCGCTCTCCGTCTCCCACAGCCGCATCCGCAATCGCGCATCCACAGCACCGTCCTTTTGAAAGTCCCCCTTTATAAGCATAACACCCGCTTCAAGATGTGTCCAGTTTGGTAGTGTAGATACCGTATCCTTCCACATCACAAATGTTCGCTTCTCCACTGGATTCCCGAAGTGCTCTTCCCATTCGAGTTCTCTCTCCCTTCTCGTTTCCTCATCTTCCTCTTCCTCCTCACCGACTTCCCCCACCCTCTCGTTCTCCCTCCGCTCCTCCGCTGCCCCGATTACCACCTGCGCCCCGCTCGTAAGTGGCCACTCCTCCCAGCACTTAAAAGCGCTTCGCTGTTGAGTGCTTCGCCAAAACGCCAGCTTCGCTGCCACGTCATCCATCTCCTCCTCAAGCTCGTCCTTCACAAAACCAGCACCCGTCGCCCCTGAATTCAATTTCGTGCCCCCATTCGACGCCCCGGTTCCCAAGGCCCAGCCGCCTGTACTTTGCGCGCTTGCCCCCCTCCGCCCAATCCCCCTGATGGCGCGCAGAGCGTCCCACAGATCCGCGGGTTTAGCCGTTCTTCTTCCTTTCCGCCCCTTCCCCTTTCCCCTCCCCTTTCCGCACACGACATCCCCCCTGACTCCCCCCAACCCCAAATCCCGCCAAGCTTCCGCCTCCGCGCTCTCCGCCCACTCAGCTTCTCGCACCAGCCGCTCCTCCGCCTCCTTCCGCTCCCCCTCCGCGGGGTCGCGCGCAATGCGCCACTCCGCCTCGTACGCGCCCGGCCGAAGCGAGAAGGGGAGCTCAATGTCGCCCCTGATAAGAAACCGGTTGGCGGAGATCAGATGGGGGACGGACGTGGGGAAAATCGCGCCCGGAATGCCAGATTCCCCCAGCTTAGGGTTTGAACTATCATATTGATTAGAAAAATCCCCAACAGGGTTGTTTCTTGCAGCCTCGGCCTCCCCGTCCCTGTTAAACGCAGGTTGCTGTCTTCTCCTGTCCCGGTTCCGCCTATTTCGGCGGTTCTGCTGTCTGTGACGCGACCGGTGCCCCTCATTGTAGGGAAGGTTTTCGTTATTAGGTGCCCCACGACCCGTTTCAAGAAACCATTCAGTATCATCATCATCATCATTGTTCTCATTTCCGTTTGTTCTCATCCCCACCACTTCAAGCACCTTCGCTACATTCACACAGGTTGTGAGGGTAGCGGTATATGGGTCCATGCTGACGTGGAAACGGCCATCGTCCACGTAGACCCCTTGGCAGAGCCTTTGACACACCCATCGCTGTGTAACGCTGCTGACGTGGCACCTACAACCCTCTCTGCTGGAGCTGCTGCAACTGCTGCTGACGGCACCGCTGCTGCTGCTGCTGCGGGCCAAAGTGCTTCTGGTGACGTCATCATTGCTGGAGCTGCTGGTTCCGCTACTAGCGGAGCTGCTGCCGTCATCATCACAAGAGCATGACGTCAGGCGGCATACACCTGTGCACATCGCAACGCGATGCGCCTCGAGAGCCTTCTGAAAGCAAGTCGAGGCGCATAGAGGAGGGAGGAGACGGCCCCAGCTGACGTCAGACGCCGCTGCTGCCGCCCACGTGCGAGACACGTGAGCCAAGCGGCAAATCTGCGCGGGAGTTAGAAAGGAGAAGATAGTTGCGAGACTGTCCACGTCTAGATTACTCATCTCAGAGTGAGTCATCAAAGTCGCCATATTGTTCGACACGGACGGACGAGGCAAGGACGCTACGAATGCTAAGGCGAGCAAGTGAGAAAATGCGGGGCTAATTAGAACCTGAGTATTTGTCCTTGAATCTGGGCGGACGTTCACTTCGAATGATGTCAATGCTGCGGCTGCTAGCCTCAGCCCCTAAGAGCTCCTCACTTGTGCGTGCGAGCTCATAAAAAGCAACCACATGTTGACTTCAATCGATCATCGCGTCGCGTCGTTAGTTTCTGAGAAAGCGTGGCGTGTACTTCCCGCAAACAACCCCGCTAGTATTCGAAGGTTGCTTCCCCGTGGGGAGGGGCGAGAAGGGGGTTTTACGCCAACTGTCAGAATGTGAGTGAGGCTCTGATTGGGCAGCTCAAATGCTAATGCAAGCCAATCAACTGCATAAGACCTTTCTGAACACAACGAGCACTGGGGTATTTGCACCTACGCAAATTTTTTACGCGTATCAGTGATATTTATGGCAAGGATTTCTCATGAGTGGGGACCACCGACAGCCAACTCAGCGCTGCCTCGCTCCACCTCATGTTCCTCCCTTTCCATACCGCATTGAGGTATAGAGAGAATCCAGCTTGTCCCATTGCAGCACATCGCATCGCATCCCATCCCATCCCACATCACTGAAATCACACGCTTACCATCCTCACCTTTCTGGCAACAAAAGACACCCAATCACGCAAGGATCTGAAAAGAGAGAATTGCTCCAGAACCTGGATTGGTGATTCATCCTTGCTCGCGTGACATCGAATTACTCGAGTGGCCACCAAATTTGGTGATGATTACTCGAGTGGCCACGCCAGGGGATTCCCGCTTGTTTTTTTTTACCCGGCGCATTACCCTACAAGGGTTTGTGACCCCGAAACCTCTACTGATTAATGCGCGATCTTCAATATCCGAAATTTATGATCGTGACCCCATATGTCCGCGCCTGATTGGACGCGCATTGCAAAACAAAGCACCGCTCATATAATCGACCAATCATGCGCTGTCATTAAAGATCCCGCGCATTGACGACCGGGCATTGCAGTTTATGATCTTGGAAATATATGATCGGGCATTGATATATGATTTGCCCGACCATTAATGGCCGCGCATGATTGGTCTATATGCACGTCCAATCAGGCAGCTACTTTATCACTGATTGAACAACAACAATTATAAACATGAATCTGGACATCCCATCCCACACCCCATTTCTCCCCCTCCCCCCCAAATCACAACAGCGTATCCACCATATACGGGGCCTCCACCCAGAGAGCCCCGCCTTTCACATCGACATCGTCCCTCTCCCGGTCCACCAAATCTATGTTAATCCCCCCCCCATGGAAGACGCCGCTCGAAGCAAGATGACTCGGGCTTGCGCACGTTGTAACGCTACCCCGATGAGCGCCTTCAGTGACCCTAAAAGATAAGGGTTTAGGGTCATTTTGAGTCACGAACATAAATTTCGAATATAAATCATCACCCGAAAACATCCATTATAAATCATTGCGTCGATTGAAAATCAAGCAATTATCGATACAGAGGTTTCGGGGATACGAACCCTTGTAGGATAATGCGCCGGGAAAAAAATAAGGCAGCGGGAATCCCCTGGCGTGGCCACTCGAGTAATTATCACCAAATTTGGTGGCCACTAGAGTAATTAGATGCCACGCGAGCAAGGATGAATCACCAATCCAGGTTCTGGAGAAATTCTCTCATCTGAAAAGCAACTTCAAAATGTGGCAGCAAAATTCATAGCTAGGAGACACATCAGCTTGCACTGCTCTGGCACATTCACAGCTGAGTGCGGGGAAACTCTCTCTCCTTCCTCCTCGCGTGTGGTGACCGCGGCTCTACATTTATCGCGAATTGCGGTAGTAACACGACGCATGCATCGTAGTGAGTGCTAGTGGGTTCTCGTCATCGCGTTTGGCTTGAAGCGTCGTCAGCTCGTGTGGTCCCCTCTGCCTCTCGCCTGACTCGAATATAGACTCAACGTGGTTACCAGGTTACGCGGCCTTGATTCCTGATTCCTGCGTTTGCCCTTCGACTCCTCGCTCTGCGACGATGAGTTTTGCCACGTGCGACCTGTGCGACGACAATCACGACGCGGTCATGCGAGGGGAAATCCGCGTTTTAGAACCAGGCCTCGTTTCTTACGGCGGCCGAACCGCGTCGTGGGGCCGAGTCGTCACTTTGAAGCTCTTTGAAGATAACACCTTAGTGCGCTCCGAGGTCGAACAGCCCGGCGAATCGCAGATTTTAATAATCGACGGTGGAGAGAGCCGGCGCTGCGCGTTACTGGGCGGCAATCTGGCTGTCGAGGCGGCTAAGAACGGCTGGGCGGGCGTTTTTGTCAGCGGGTGCGTGCGTGACGTGGACGAGATTCGCGGGTGCAACGTGGACGTGCGAGGGCTTGCCACGTGTCCTGTAAAGAGTGTGAAGAAGGGGCAAGGGGAGAAAAACGTTCCTGTGAAAGTCCAGGGGGTCATGGTACACCCAGGAGATTGGTGCTACGCCGATAATGACGGCATTATCCTTTCGGCTAAGCCTCTTGTCCCCCATGGATCGCGACAATAGTCATGACTCACTACTGCTGGGCGGCATAGTCGAATTAGGAAACAGCAATGGTGGGAGGGAAATCAATGGTGGGAGGGAAATCAATGAACGAATGGGGCACCTGGGATGGGACGGAGCATGTGTTAGTGTGTGTTTGCATGAAGTTTTGGATTCAGCAATGTCCCTTTTTACTCCCCAATCATGATACCTTACATTGCTATGAGCTCATGAACCGGAATGCACAAGAAGGCTCTCAGTGCTGAAAATAGTATGACAGCAGGACATGCTCAAGCATGTATATGAGAGTTCACTGTGCCAACATGGGCTTCCGGCTGTACCAAATACTGAACCTCGAACTACTGTACCATTATTGCCCAAAACTCCTGTACAAAGCACCTCTAGCCCAATGAAAAGAGGAGCAGCATCAGTTGGTGAAGAGGCAGCGCAGATCATGCTCTGTCAGCCGCGCCGCCCCAACGCCTCTTATTATCCACCCACTGTGATGGAAAGGGTTCCTGGTTGACTTGTGAGTTGACTCAAAGGTCAACTCAGTTGGTGAAGAGGAAGCGCAGGTCGTCCTCTGTCAGCCGGCCCAACGCCTCTGATGATCCTCCCACCGTGCTGCGCCGGATGTACAAGGAGAGGGAAAGGGGAAGGCGGGAGGGGGATGGGGATGGGGGTTGAGAAGTACGGTACTTGATGTTTTGATGGAAAGTCCACCAGGTTTTTAGCCAGTAAGGGGTTTGGAAAGAGAGACACACGTAATATAGAAGATGGCTTGAGACAGACCCCCTCCACAAAGAAGATCAATCTGACTAAGGTATGCCATCTGATCCACAGCATGTTGCCCACTTTCTCCAGAAAAAAATTACAGGGCAGCCAACTCACCCATCAAACACCAGTTGCTTCTTCTCTTGCAGCTTTATAATGCGCTCCTCTATTGTGCCTGCTATCACAAACCGCGTCACCCTGTACGTGGGTGGGGGTTAAGTCGTGGTGGTGGGGGCGAGAAATTCATAACAAGATGGTGGGGCATGCAAGGATAGAGAGAATAAACACACCAAACATGAAGTTCATCTGGACCATGACAACAAAGCCTTTCGAGACGCCTCCCACATTAGGCTCACATACCAAGGATGTCATCTGGAGCTTGTTGTAAGTTGTGTAAAATCATCTCACAACTCACAAGGTCCTACAAGTCCAACTAGCTCCTTGACAGGTGCCTCTCACGAAACCTCACTGGAAGGCCCATCAATAAGATTGCCTTGTGTGTACTTCCAAAAATTGCCCGATGCCGAGCCTACCTGACAGGCTTGAACTGCCCGAGCCTGTGAATTCTGTCCTGCGCTTGCTGCTCCACAGCAGGGTTCCACCAAGGGTCCATCAGAAAGACCTGCGTTAGAAAGAACAAGGATGGGGGATTGCGAGCATGTGGACAAAGCAATGGAAAGCAGAGATTCATCTTCAGGGTTCATGGTGCGAGATTTGGCAAAGACTCATGCACGGCTTCACAAAGTGGGACCTACTGCAGCTGAAAAGCGTCAGGGCCCCACCATGGGTGAAGTCACACACGTAGCACATGTAGGTCCGGCACATGTAGTAGCACACGTAGCACATGTAGGTCCGGCACATGTAGTAGCACACGTAGCACATGTAGGTCCGGCACATGTAGTAGCACACGTAGCACATGTAGGTCCGGCACATGTAGTAGCACACGTAGCACATGTAGGTCCGGCACATGTAGTAGCACACGTAGCACATGTAGGTCCGGCACATGTAGTAGCACACGTAGCACATGTAGGTCCGGCACATGTAGTAGCACACGTAGCACATGTAGGTCCGGCACATGTAGTAGCACACGTAGCACATGTAGGTCTGGCACATGTAGTAGCACACGTAGCACATGTAGGTCCGGCACATGTAGTGGCACACGTAGCACATGTAGGTCCGGCACATGTAGTAGCACACGTAGCACATGTAGGTCTGGCACATGTAGTAGCACACGTAGCACATGTAGGTCCGGCACATGTAGTAGCACACTTAGCACATGTAGGTCCGGCACATGTAGTAGCACACGTAGCACATGTAGGTCCGGCACATGTAGTAGCACACGTAGCACATGTAGGTCCGGCACATGTAGTAGCACACGTAGCACATGTAGGTCCGGCACATGTAGTAGCACACGTAGCACATGTAGGTCCGGCACATGTAGTAGCACACGTAGCACATGTAGGTCCGGCACATGTAGTGGCACACGTAGCACATGTAGGTCCGGCACATGTAGGTCCGGCACATGTAGTAGCACACGTAGCGCATGTAGGTCCGGCACATGTAGGTCTGGCACACGTCCACTGCAAGGTGAGAAGAGGGCAGCTTGGCGCGCATCTACTTATCTCTCCCTGAAACTCAATACTTCTTTTTCCCTTCTTTCTTTTTTGCCTCGTTACTTGCTCCTTTAGCAGGAAAATGCCCTGATAATAAAATTTAAAAAAACGAATGGAGCAACTCACGTGGGAAGCAACGGTGAGGTTGAGAGCCACTCCTCCCGCCTTAAGACTCATGAGGAACACCTGATGGCAGGGGAGGGAAGGGGAGAGAGGATGGGAAGTGCAGTGAGGTGAAAAGGGGAGAGAAAGAAAGCAGTGAGAAGATGAATGGGGGACAGAAGCCAGGAAACGGAGGAAAACAGAGGAGGGCACTAATTACTACCTTGGCTCTTGTTTTCAAGGGTTTGTTTTTTTACAGATTGTTACCACCAGCACAATGCCAGCAGAATGAAAAGAGAGTGTCAGAGGAAGATCTCACCCGGCAGTCAGCATCGCGAGTGAAGGTGGAAATGATGCGATTCCGAGCGTCCATTGTCATGCTGCCATCCAGCTTCACACACCGCACTCCCACCTGCATGAAGCAAAGGAGGAGGTCAGGGGCGACGGGGGGAAGGCGAGGAGCAGAAAAAGGGAGAGAAAGAAGGCAGTGAGAAGATGAATGGGGAATGAAAGACAGGAAACGCAGGAAAACAGAGGAGGGCACTACTACTCCCTGCATGCAGCAAAGGAGGAGGTCAGGGTCGAAGGGGGGAAGGCGAGGAGCAGAAAAAGGGAGAAAAAGAAGGCAGTGAGAAGATGAATGGAAATAAAATCAGGAAACGCAGGAAAACAGAGGAGGGCACTACTAACTCCCTGCATGCAGCAAAGGAGGAGGTCAGGGTCGAAGGGGGGAAGGCGAGGAGCAGAAAAAGGGAGAAAAAGAAGGCAGTGAGAAGATGAATGGAAATAAAATCAGGAAACGCAGGAAAACAGAGGAGGGCACTACTAACTCCCTGCATGCAGCAAAGGAGGAGGTCAGGGTCAAAGGGGGGAAGGCGAGGAGCAACAAGAGGGGAGTCTGTTACGACTCATAGATAGCCCTCTCTTCATGGTGAACCGTGAGAGCATGGTCATGCACGCTGCTGACCAGAGTACCCTGGATGGTCACTGGACGGACACCCATGATACATCATGCACCCGGTATGCAATGAGTGAAAGCCACACGTGGTGCAGGGGGTATGCGATGAGGTGCAGGTCGCACCTGGTGGAGGTGGTATGATAGGCAGTAAAAAGGTACAATGAGACATATAGGCGATGCCCACCTGGTGCACGTGGTATGCAATGAGAGGTGAAGGTCGCACCTGGTGCAGGCGGTATGCAATGAGGTCGAGCATGGACGTGAACTGGCTGAACACGAGCGCCTTGGCGCCTGGATCCCTCTGCACCATCCCGTCCAACTCCTCCCTCTGCCATCATGCCATGCCATGCCACGCCATGCCACGCCATGCCAAGTGCGACGTGCCATACCATGCCACGCCATGCCACGCCATGCCAAGTGCGACGTGCCATGCCATGCCACGCCATGCCATGACATGCCAAGTGCGATGTGCCATGCCATGACATGCCATGCCATGCCATGCCATACCATGCCACGCCATGCCATACCATGCCACGCCATGCCATACCATGCCACGCCAATCACAACAAAAGCACTAAGGAGAACTGCAAGACAGCAGAACAAGAATGGAGGTTCACCACTTGAAACCGCATGACGAGGAAGGGGAGCAGGGGGAGGGCAGTCCAGTAAGGGGATCAAGAAGTAAGTACCCCATCCGGGCCTCACCAGCGCTTCAATCTTGGTGCTGCTTTGGAACCGCGACAGATCGAGCCGACTTGGAATGCGAACGGAGCAAGTGGAGCAAGAAGGAGAACACCCTATCACATCGCAGACTCACCAGCGCTTCAATCTTTGGTGCTGCTTTGGAACCGCGACAGGTCCATCCGACTCAAAATGCTCCCTCTCGCCCGCACCACCCCTCCTGCCAACCGCCCCCCTTCTCTCCCCTTCTCCTTCCCTCCATCCCCACCACCCCCCACACCCCCTTCCCCAGCCACACCGCCACCATTTCCCCATCCCCCGCTCCCCTTCCCCCGTGAACTGCCCGCTCTCCCCCCATTCGCAGTGCTTTCAGGGGGAGAGGCGGAAGAGGCGGAGCTGAGGTCGACAGTGAGGGGGGCGGAACACACGGGGCACTCCAACGCCCCCCTGCTGCCGCCACCACCACCACCGCCGCTGCTGCTGCTGCTGTGAGCTGCTATGAGATCTGTGATGCAGCCGCGACAGAAGGTGTGCAGGCAGCGCGAGGACTGCAGCAGTGAGTTAAGAAGAAACGGGCATGAGAATGCGTGGGAGGGTGGGTGGTGGGGGAACAGGGGTAAAGAGAGCAAGTTGGTTAAGAAAGAAGAGATGGGAGAGGGGGAGCTGAGATCGACTGTGAGGAGGGCAGACCACACAGGGCACTCCAACAGTATCCGTGTGACTTTTGACAATTCTCAAAAGTCACACGGATATAGACGGGAGAGGGAGAGCTGAGGTCGACAGTGAGGAGGGCAGACCACACAGGGCACTCCAACGCCCCCTTGCTGCTGCTGCTCATGCCATTCCCGGCGCTGGTGCTGGTGTTATTGCTGCCGCCACTGCCGCTGCTGGTGCTGCTGTGAGCTGCTATGAGATCTGTGATGCAGCCGCGGCAGAAGGTGTGCTTGCAGCGTGAGGACTGGAAGACGAGAGTGCGTGGGTGGATGATGGGGGAAGGGGGGGAAGCAACATTGTAGGTAGATGATGGGGGGAGGGGGGAAGCAACATTGTAGGTAGATGATGGGGGGAGGGGGGAAGCAACATTGTAGGTAGATGATGGGGGGAGGGGGGAAGCAACATTGTAGGTAGATGATGGGGGGAGGGGGGAAGCAACATTGTAGGTAGATGATGGGGGGAGGGGGGAAGCAACATTGTAGGTAGATGATGGGGGGAGGGGGGAAGCAACATTGTAGGTAGATGATGGGGGGAGGGGGGGAAGCCGCATTGTTTGAGATAGGAGGGTAATTTGGGGGAGATCACATTGGTTGCAAACGGGCACGGCACGGTGAAGCAGCAGCTTTGGCAGAACAGAACGTGCACATTGACTTGAACTGACCGACATACCACGGGGTCCTCTGCATAGTCACAACAGATGTGCTAGGAGTCAACTTAACACACACCTGATAAGGCAAGCAAGGCACCCGGCAACCACTCAACGCTAGCTACCGACGTACCACGGGATCCTCTGCATAGTCACAGCAGATTCCACACACTCTTGTTTCCTCCTCCTTTTCCTCTTCCCTTTCCCCCTCTCCTCCCCCACCAACCACTCCCCCACCACTTGGCCCATCGTTTGCCCCTCCCCCTGCCCTCTCAGAAGCAGCAGCGGCGCCAGCAGAGGCGGCAGCAGTCGAAGCGGTGGCGGCGGCGGCGGCAGCAGCAGTGTTGTGGGAGGCGGAGTGAACGACGAGGTAGGGATGGTCCACCGCCTGGCGCAGGCGGATGAGGAGGTCGAATATGTGCGCGTAATTGTTGAGTAGTGTTCCCGTGTCCACGTAGCTGGGGGGAGGGAGGCAGAGGGGGAGGGGAGGAAACGGGAGAAGAGAAGGCGGATGAGCAGGACGTATATGTTCGCAAAATTGTTGAGTATCACTTTTGAGAGTTCTCAAAAGTGATTCCCAAATATGTGCGCAAAAGTGTTGAGTATGTGCCTGCGTCGACATAACTGGGGGGGGGGGGGGTGTGAGAAAGAGGGTGGAGACGGGGAGGGAGAAAGGGTCGAAGAAGAGGGAAAATTAAGTGGCGCAGGCAGATGCGCAGACCATATATGTGCGGGTAGTTGTAGAGTAATGTGCACTGTGCATGCATCCACGTAGCTGGGAGGGAGAGGAGGAAGAGGGGAGGCAACAGAAGAAAGAAAAAGAAAAGACACTTTGCGGAGGTGCTTGAAAGGAACGGACGTCTATACAATCCTTTCAACACAGCGCTGTAGCGACGGGTAACCAGAAGATAACGTACAGCAGGATGTGAAGGATACTCGTGACGAGCACAGACACCAGGTCATGGATATCACGGATGGAAGGGAAGTGAGACACGTCGAGACACAGACAGGGCAACACACAGCACGGAGCTTGCAAGCATATCATGCAGACTGGGCTGTGGTTGAGTGAGGACTGACGTGGCGAACTGTGATTGGCTCTGTGTGTAGAGCGCCTCATAGAAATCCTCCTCGCGCGCGTCGAATCGGTCTCTGCGCAGCGTGGACTGCGAAAGGAAGCATGGAGGGAGGAGTGAAGAAAGAGACTTGGGATGCAGTGGGTTGAACGGAACAGCAGACCTGTCGGACACACAAATGTGCCTGTAAGAATTTTCGAAGGCGACACACAGTGCAAATTTTGAGAACACTCCGAAGGGAGCTCGCAATCAGCACTCACAGTTCTGGGTGGCAAAGTGAGGTCCGCCGCCCGTTCAGTCTTAGTGCGGCGCAGCAGAACGCGGTCGAGCACGCGGTGCTTGAGCAGCAGCATTGCCCTCCTGCCATCCCCACCGTACCCATGCTTCATTATTGGGTTCGCCACGAACTGGGGGGAAGCGGGAGGGGGAAGCAGAAGGAGATAGAGTGGAGGCCAATGAGATACCCCAAGCTGCACGCGGTGCTTGAGCCGCAGCACGGTTCTCCTGCCATCGCCCCTGTACCCATGCTTCATTATTGGGTTCGCCACAAACTGGGGGCGTCAGGGGATAGGCAGAGAGAGCAGGGGGTAGCGAGGAGCAGACAAACAAGATTGCGGGGCAATGAAGCCGAGAACTAGGTGCCTGAGCAGCAGCAGTATGGTCCTCCTGCCAATGCCACCGTATCCAGGATCATTGTGGGGTTTGCCAAGAACTGGGGGCGTCAAACAGGTGTAGTTGGGGAAGAATCGTGCTACAGGGGGCTGCGGAATAAACCCCCAGGCAGGCATCTGTGCGCGCGCCGCCGTGCCTTCTGATCTCGTGACTGTGAACTTGAGCTTTTGATTATTGAGTCCATGCATGAATAGACTCAAATGTCATTCAGAAACTCCAAAAAAGTCGTTGATTACACCTCAAACAGGTTCCTGCGAAATAAACTCCAACTCCAGAGGCAACTCAAGGTCGGTGCCTGCATGTTAGGAAACCAACAGGATCCTCTCACCTTGTTCCACCAGCAGAAATGGACCAAGGGTGAGTGGCCGCACTGGTCGCACTTGCGGTTGTGAGCAGAGAACCTGCAGAAAGGAATGTCGGGAAGGCACGAACAGGCCCAAAGGATTTTGAGCTCAATCATGGCTTGCAGACCACCACACCCTAACCGCACTTGCGATTGTACGCAGAGAACCTATAGAAAAAAGGGTTTAGAGACAGTCGTTTACAAGCCCACGACACACTTGTGGTCGAGGGAGTGGCAGCCACAGTGGCGGCAAAAGTAGAACGAGTGAGGGTCTGTCTGCAGGAACCGGATCAGCGAGTACAGCTCCCCCACCTGGTTCTGTGGTCATTTAACAGAAGCATCAAAAGCCAACTCACTTGTGGTCCAGGGACTGGCAGTCACAGTGGCGACAGAAGTAGTACGAGTAAGGATCAATCTGCAGAAACCTGATGAGCGAGTAGAGCTCCCCCACGCGGTTCTGCAAGGGCGTGCCGCTGAGCGCCCACTTGAAGTCGGAGCGCAGGCCAAAGACAGCTCGGGCAGTGTTGCAGCGGCGGTCCTTGATGCTGTGTGCCTCGTCTAATATGATCCTCCTCCATCGCACCAAGTGCAGTACGGACGCTGGTGTCGCCTTCCCTGGGGGTTTCTTCTTCTGATTGCCTCTGGAAGTCGATGCATCCACCTGGCCAGCTGTAGTTGCACCGCCACTGCTCTCACCGGCACCATTACCGTCACCACCACCTTCAGCGTCATCGTTGTCGGCATCATCATCATCGTCGTCATCATCGACCACTTTCGCTTTGCCCTTGCCTGACACATCCACTACCTTTCCCTTGCCCTTGCCCAGGCCCTTGTCTTTTTCCTTGCGCTTTCCTTGGTCCAACTTTCTCCCTTTCCCCTTCCAGCCCCTCTCCTCGTCCTCCTCCTCCTCCTCCTCCTCCTCGTAGTCACTGTCACTCTCATCTCCCCCCTTCCACTTCGCCTTCCCACCTTTCCCACCCTTTCCCCCTTTTCCCGCTTGCCCTTTCCCCCCTTGTCCTACCCCCTTGAAGCTTCTCGGCAGCTTCTTCTGCTGCTTCGCCTGCTTGGCCGTCCGCTTCGCATTTGGCCCGCAGAAATACTTTTGGTGGATCTCCAGCCGGTCAGGAAAAAACATTTTCTGGCACCACTGGCAGGGCACCTTGGAGGGGAACACAGCTGCCCGCATTTCAGCCTCCACAATGGAGAATGTGGTTAGAACCACGTCATACTCCTCTAAATCCTTCACGCTAATGGCTCTCTTAGGCCCATGATACACCAGCACCTGAAATAGGGTTTGATCATCACATCACAACACAATAAACAGATGGGGAGAGGGGGACAGCAATGGAGAACATGGTAAGGTGAGCAAGGAGTCAGTTCGGTTATTGGCCAGGAGTGGGTAGCGATCCTCAACCTTCCTGAGTGCAGGGTGAATATTTGAGACGTCTCACAAATTCACTTTCTACACGGACGGAAATGGAGAACATGGTGAGGCGAGCAAGGAGTCAGTTCGGTTATGGGCCAGGAGTGCGTAGCGTCCCTCAATTTTCCTGAGTGCAGGGTTCAACCAACCCCCAGTCACCCACCTTGACACTGTCTGGGCGCGTGAAGCGAGCAATCTCCTGCCGCCACTGCAGCACTGCGATAAGCGGGCAGATCACCAGCGTTGCCTTCACTGCTCGCCTCTCTGCCTCAGATGCACCTCCCCCGGATGAACCTGGACCGCCAGCCGTGGCTTGTGCAGCGACATCAGCAGGAGCAGCGGCTGTTGATGGTGGCAGTGGCTGAGGCAGCACTGGGGTGACAGCAGGGGCGTGTGACTGTAGGTGACGGCTGGTGACTATAAGGGAGATGGCTTGGATGGTCTTCCCCATGCCCATCTCGTCCGCTAAGATGCCGCCCTTAATGGGTCCTTGTTCCTGATCAAGACAGATGTATACATGAAAAGTACACGCTAAAAACATGGTCAAAACACGTTCAAAGAATGATGAATACATCACAATGACATAAAGGAGACACATAATACAATGGAAAAAATGGGAAAGACAAATTGCATCAACAATGGCATAGTAGACAGTGCAAAAACTCATTAATAGACAGGTAACATGTGACAGAAGCTTTGGAATGAGGCTCGGTAACACCCATACCTGCTTGAGGCTCCACGCAAGCCATTCCTTCTGAAACGGCAGCAGCGGCATAAGAATATCAGGAGCAGGCTCCTGCTCCCGCGGCCTCTCCCTCTTCTCCACCAGCTGCTGAGGCGTCACCTCCCCTCTGTTGCACGCTGCTAGATCCCTCTCCCACTCCGCCATCCGCTCTTCTTCCACCTCCTCGCCCTCTAAATGCACTGGCCGCACCCACGCTGCTGCCTTTGCCGCCCGTTTCCGCTTCTTATCTTGCTGTTTCTGCTGCTTTTGAGATTTCTTCCCATCGCCGTTGCTGCATCTCTTCATGTTTCTCCACGCCCGCTTTGCTCGAACGCTCAGCGCCTCATCCTCATCAGCTTCCTCCTCTTCCTCCTCCTCTTCAGATGGTAAGCTCGCAAGCTCTTGCTCCTCTTCTTCCTCCTCTTCCTTCCTCTTCTTCTTCCCTGCTCGCGTGGTCGCATTCTTAGACCAACGCTTCATCCGATCTGGATCGTCATCACAATCCTCATTTTCCTCATCGTTCTCAAACTGCACCTCCCAAAATGACCTCTCATTGTCTTCACTCGTGCCGTTTACATCCAACGCACCAACTTCCTTCACTCTCGAAAACTCGCGATCCTGCTCCTCCACATCCTCGCTAACAGCGTCCCCGTTATCCTCTTCCAGATCGGTGGCAGCCCAACTGTCGTCAGAGTCAGATGCTACTCCTTCGACTTCAGACAATGATTCGCCGGATTTCGAATCCGCGTCCACCATGTCACTCGCCCAGCGAAAAGACGACAAAGATGTTACAACTGTATCTTTCGCCTTCAACTTTGCCGAAAGGCCTTTCATCTTCGCCGGATTCGCCTGCTTCTTCCCGCCAGACTCCTGCTTTACCTCTTGATCCGTCGCTAGGACTGCTTTATTTCCTGCTCCATTGCTGTCCTTCGCTGTTAAAGTCTCTCGCTTTGCACCTGATGATTTAAAACCCGCGAATCCGTATTCTAGCTTCAATGGAGGTCTCCTCTGCCTTGCGGATTGCCTGCGAGCCGAGCTAGTCTCGACCGTTACCACCTCAACGCAGTCTTCGTTTTCGCCAGCCGACGCGCTTGGCTCCACTTTAGCTCGCTTCGCCTGCCGAGCCATTATGGCTTCTACGTTGCAAGCTGGAATCTCAACCTATAAACGCGATCACGTGCGTGAAAAGCGGGAATTTGATCAACGAGCAGGTCAAGTCGAGGAAAACTGAACCGTGATCCGGCAATGAAAAAGGATCGAGGAGGTACGCGGAAAGGTGAGGTGCGAGAAGCTCACGCACCTAGCGAAAATGATGAGCAAATGCGTGTGTGGAAAGAAGATATGCAAATGAAATTCCTTCCCTTCAAACGAATCCAGGCCCGAGGTGCAAGTGATGGATGGATGGGTCATGGAAGGCCAGCAGGTGTGGGTTCGGCGAGCAAAAACTGAAACGTCAGCTTCACCCCAATTTGCTGACTGAAACCGTCTATGTCTGTTCGTGGCTCTGTTCGGTAGCCGCTCAATAACAGGAGGTTCAGTGTGGTTCAGTCCCGAGCCGACCCACAAATTACACCTCCCAAGCCAAGTACAGCCTTTTCCACGAATCCTGTCTGCGTGGTTCCCAAGGTTTGGCAGGGTGGGGGAGGAGACGTGGCGCGTGGGATGCGAAGGGGGAGCCAGTTCACAAAATACTCGATATACAGTCTCTCGTAGCAATTTCCTATCCGTAGTAACATCACGTTCCTTCCAGTGTTAGAGAGATATACATTTCAATTACTAGCTCCCCGCTATTCCCCTGCGCTTCCGCCATCATCCTTCCCTGTTTTCCCCTCACCCCATTCCCTAGGCGTGTTGTGCCCTAACATAGTCACACCGTACTTTCCACCTTTAGGGGTTCCTCCGTCCCTAATCTCTCTCGCGACTCCGTCGACCAAGTCACCGCGGTGCGAGTTATTTTCGGACCGCAGTATGTTGGGTCGAGCAGCGGTTTTCGCGCGCTCCTTGGCCCGCGGCCAGGGAGGATCGATCGCTGAGAAGGCGTGCAAGGTAACTTGGTAACCACATCGCAACAACGCGGAGCTTTCGCTCGCCGACACGTACTCGATGCCATGCGACTACTCTTCCTATGTTACGAACGATCGTTACAGAGACGATAGTATTTTCTGTCTCGTTGCTGCAAAAAAAAAAACGCGTCTAATACTCATTAGCACTCGGTGTCAACTATACTCCATAGCTTGCGAAATGCAGCATTGGGATCGTCACGGTTTCGGATCTGCAGCTCGGATCCGCGTGCCTCCTGATCTGTCGGTCATCCAGATCCTCCCACAAGCCGACTGGCCGCATGCCGTCTGATTTAGCTTACCAGTCATCCTGGATCCGTGTGTCTCGGTCGTCTAGACTCTCGTACCAAGCAGCTCGTGTTTCTAGCATTCAAGCAGTTAAAGAGTCCATTAAACAAACGTGCATTTCGTTGTTTCCTGGGATCTACGCATCCCTGCTGATCTCGCTGAGCTCCAGATCCGCTTTCGATCGCTCGATTGTTCTTAGCCGTCGACCTTGCTCATATCTCGCTGACTCCACTATCTGGCTCAGCGCGTTATCTTGCTGGCACGTTACCGTCAAACGGCATTGCGAACCCTGTTTGGAAGCTACTTGCATAACTTCCTATGGAGGAGATCCGTCCACGTCCTTCCGAACCTCCCAGAACTACTTTCTGGTTTTCTTCCAAAGCTCTCTGCCTCTTCTTTTGAGTCGACTCAAAAGCTGTCTGTCTCTCCTGATGATCCGTTTACCCTTCCGTCCATAACTCCCTATCGTTCTCTGCCTAAGTCTGTTCTGTCCTCCTGATATCTCCCGCCGTTCTTTCAGCCATTCAGCACCAGCGCACCGGCTGTGGCCGCCGCGTCAGCAGCCGGCAATGAGAACACCACCAACGACTCGCTGACGTGGAAGCTGCTGCGCGCCACGGGTGCAGTGGGCGGCGCGGTGCTAGGCGTGGCGGCTCTCGCTGACGTGGCACGCGCTGACGAGGCGGAGCACGGGCTTCACGCTCCTGCTTACCCGTGGCCCCATGACGGCATCTTCAGCTCCTACGACCATGCCTCGTAAGGAGTCTCGTTCTTAACCACGACTTTTGAGCCCGCCTTATACTAATACCGGCATACCATCTATAAGCTCCCCCTCTCCCCTTCCCCCTCTCCCCTTCCTCCTCTCCCCTTCCCCCTCTCCCCTTCCCCCTCACCCTCCCCCTCCCCCCCTTCCCCCTCCCGCCCCTCCTCCCCACCTTTACAGCATTCGGCGCGGGCACCAGGTGTACCAGCAGGTGTGCGCGACGTGCCACAGCATGTCGCTGGTGTCGTACCGCGATCTCATCGGAGTGGCGTACACGGAGGACGAGGTCAAGGCGCTCGCCGCTGAGGTCGAGGTGGAGGACGGGCCCAACGACGAGGGCGAGATGTTCCTCCGCCCAGGGAAGCCCTCGGATAAGCTTCCGAATCCGTACGCGAATGAGCAGTCTGCGCGGTTCGCCAATGGTGGAGCTTACCCTCCGGACCTCAGCCTGATCAGCAAGGTACGGTGCTCTCAACTCCGTGTTCGAGACGATATGAGTCGACTCAATAGCCCCCAGTAGAGATGGAAGACAGGCCCAACCCAACGGCGAGGTCAAGGCGCTCGCCGCCGAGGTGGAGGTGGAGGACGGGCCTAACGACGAGGGCGAGATGTTCCTGCGCCCAGGGAAGCCCTCGGATAAGCTCCCCAATCCGTACGCGAATGAGCAGGCTGCGCGGTTTGCGAATGGCGGAGCCTACCCTCCGGATCTCAGCCTGATCAGCAAGGTACGGTACTGCCCCTCCTCCTCTTCTTCCCCCTTCTCGTCCGCGCGGTTTGCGAATGGCGGAGCCTACCCTCCGGATCTCAGCCTGATCAGCAAGGTATGTCTTGCCCTTCCCCCCCCCCCCCCCCCCCCCCCCACACCCCTCCCCCTTTTCGTGCTCTCTCGTTCTCGTCAACCTCACTGAGACGCACCACGACAGGCAGAACTGCGTCCATGTTCTCCTGACATGCCCACGTCCCCATGTGTGCTACCATGTCGACTCGTGCTCAGCTCAGTAATACCATATGGTCTCCCACCCACCCTTTCCATTCCCAAGCGCGCCATGACGGGCAGGAATACATCTACGCCCTGCCTTAGCTGAAGAGCTTTGAGTTGCCTCTAAACCGAACACCGTATCTCCCCTCCTCTCCCCCTCTCTGCCACACCGTGTCACCCTTGACTCCAGGCGCGCCACGACAGGCAGAACTACATCTATGCGCTCCTCACAGGCTACCGCGAACCCCACGTGCCGCCGTGACTGAGTCGTGCTCAGTGATACGATATGCTCTCCCACCCCCTCCTCGCCCCCCCACCAGGCCCGCCATGACGGGCAGAACTACATTTATGCGCTCCTCACAGGCTACCGCGAACCCCCTGCTGGTATCTCGGTGAGTGGGTTGCGCGATGCCTCATGTGTGTCTCCACCCACCACACACTTATTTGTTGAAGGCGTGAAAAATAAAAAGTTTTCTCACAGGCTACCGCGAACCCCCTGCTGGTATCTCGGTGAGTGGGTTGCGTAGTGCCTCGTGTGTGTTGTCTCCATGCACATTCTCTAATGGAGTGATGTGGAGCATGCAAGCGTGAAATTTTCGAAGTACTTACATCAGTGCAGTCGTCTAACATTTGATAACATAATGTTTTCATGTACGATCATTCTTACCACAGCACTCATTCTGTCATGACTTCAGCGCTTTTCATTGAATTCACCACCCCACTACCCACCCCCTTCCTCCCCTTATTGGCAACTTTGAGTTGACTAAAAAAGCATCCTCATCTTCCCCTCTCACCACCCTCATCCCTACTCCCGCTGTCGTCCACCCTATCACCTCCCCTCCTTTGGGTGCGCAGGTGCGAGAAGGCCTGCACTACAATCCGTACTTCCCGGGCGGCGCCATTGCCATGCCCAAGATGCTCAACGATGGCGGTGTGGAGTACGAGGATGGCACGCCCGCTACGGAGTCCCAGCAGGCCAAGGACGTTGTCACCTTCCTTGCGTGGGCTGCTGAGCCTGAGATGGACGAACGCAAGCTGGTGAGTGGCTTCAAAGGGGGTAAATCGTGAGATGTGAGATGTGTGGTGTGTGGAAACTGCACTCTGTGTATGCATGGTGCAAGGAGCAGTGTGGAGTACGAGGATGGTACACCCGCCACTGAGTCCCGCCCAGCAGGCTAAGGACGTTGTCACTTGCCTGTGCCGCCGAGCCTGAGATGGACGAACGCAAGCTGGTGAGTGGCTGAGTGGGTGGCTTGCACTGTGCGTGCATTTCAAGAGGTGATGCGGAGTACGAAGACGGCACACCGGCCACGTAGTCCCAGCAGGTCAAGGATGTTGTTACTTTCCTTGCATGAGCCGCACTCACACAATAACTGTTTCCACCCAACCAACCATCCATCTGTGCCCTCTCCCCCGCGTGTTTCCCTGGCAGATGGGGGTGAAGTGGATCTTCGTCCTTTCACTCGTGTGGCTGCAGGCCCTATACTATGCAGGGCCGTTCTGGATGCTGTTTACTAAGCGTTTCAACGTCCATCTGCGCCCTCTCACCACACCTTTCTGCCCATCTGTACCCTCTTCCCCCCTCGTGTGCTCTTTCCATGACAGATGGGCGTGAAGTGGATCTTCATCCTCTCACTCGTGTGGCTGCAGGCCATCTACTACAAGCGGTGGCGCTGGGCACCCATCAAGTCCCGCCGGGTTATCGTCGACGTTGTTAACTGATCGATTCACTCTGTTAGCGAGGAGTCATGTGCTGCAAGCTGTCAACGGCGAGTCATCGTCAAATACATGCAGATTGGAGATGCCAATTCAGGGTTAAATGATTGTCATCTGGGAGGAATGCATGCTTGTATCGAGGTAGGAAGTGAGCAGCGCAGCCATAAAATACATCCCTTTCACCCCTCCATTATCTGCCACTCCATGCCATGCCATCCCATCATCTTCCGTTGTATACCACTTCACTTCCACCCATCTCCTTTCGCAGCTGACTCCAAAAAGCGTATGGTTTTATGAATGTTTCCACCTGTATTGTATCAGGCTAATGATAGCAATGCATCTCCACGTTAGAGACTCTCACTTTCATCTTAGGGCGTATTCCTACGGCCTCCTATCAAGAAACCTCCTGTCAAGATTGTACCTTTTTTCCTGGTAAGAGTAGCGAGAGATTTTGGGTTTAGGGAATTTTCCAGTGAGAGCTTGATAGGAGGTTTTCTTGATAGGAGGATAGGAGTACGCCCTTATGTGTACAGCAACAGCCAGTCATGTTACCTGAAAGTGTTAATGAGATCTACAGCGACTATTCCACCAACCACTTCACTGACGACCACAACCTTGGTTTTCATCAAGCAAGCGAACCAACCAAATCCTTCATGGTTGCGGCCATAGAAATTGACGGCGGGCTGGCTGGACCGCTAGTATTTGTTCGTGCGAGACGAGCTTACTGTGAAACGGTGGAATACGATGACGTGCAGTTTGGAGCTGTTCGTCCTTTTCACCTGTTTGAACCGCTACTCACCTGCTGAAGATCCCTGACAAATGACAGGCAGGCCGGTAGGAAGAAATAACTACCTGTCCTGCTGATGATCGCTGGAGTTTTTAGTAACCAGTTTCTAACATCTCGTCGTGGAAGAGAGCTTGTCGGTAGGAGTTTAGACAGATTCGCCCTAATTAGCCGTTGATTGACTTGATCGCTTAGTCGACTGCACTCTAGGTCTGATCCATTTTCACTGGACAGGCTTTGGGCCGTCATTCGCCAATTATGTAACTCATTCTGGTGCTTGTATCATTGTAACCGCCATTTTAGCGTCTCAGGCAATTGCACAACTGCCTTCCGGTGACATTACCAATAAAGGAAATTAGTCCTTCCACTCATGTCAAGGAAATTAGTCTAGAATGGCGCTTGATTATCGAGATCAGATCGGATCGGATCAGTCACCGCCTGGCTTGTCAGTATTAGTTTTTTTTTTAGTCGAGTCGAACGCATACTGGAGGGTAGGCGAGGATAGGGGCGAAGATAGGTCGAGCCGTTCGCACTGATACTGGATTTCAGTTAAATTCGGGGCTTCGCAGCTCAACATTACCCATCCCGTGTGATGGTTTTCCAGGTCGAGTGTAGAGACCTGGGCGCATGGCGGGAATAACAGGTCCAGGCGGCTCGCTCGTCGTCCTAATTACTCTATGACTCGACCTATAGGATCGATTGCATTGTAGTTGCGGGTACGAACCATCAGGAATTGTCAGAAATTGTCGAGAATAGTCAGGAATCGTCAGGAATCGTCAGAACTCGTCAGGAGTCATGGCGGGAAGCGCTGGTCGAGGTCGCTTCCTCTTCGTCTTCCTGATCGCCCTCGTCGCGTCGGCCGCGCTGCGAATCTGGCTCGAGCTGCAACGGCAACCGGGACGCCAGCATACCCGTCAAGAGCAGACTCGACAATTGGCATGCGTTAACCCTAGAAACGAACCGATCAACTTGCAGACAACCTCTTCTTTGGATTCATCAACTTCTTCCTCCTCTTCCTCCTCCTCCTCCTCAGTACGGTCGCGGGGTCTTCTTGCACCTGAGCCGCCTCTTAGAGGACCTTCGTGGCAGCTTCCGCGAAACCTCGCGAGATTATTCCCAGGTCCGAACGGCGGGAGGGTGGACCCTTCGCAATTCCGGCTGCATATTAAAGTGCTGGTGTACGATCGTCCTGACGTGGCAGCTCGATGCTTAAAGGCGTTAGCGAGTGCTGAGTATGACGGGGATGTGGTAACCCTAGATATTTTCGTCGACCACACGTTTGGTAACCGTTCGGGAAAGTCCGCCTGGACGAGACGAGCTGCTGATCGGGTTGCGGTGGCTCACTCGTTATTGTCACTGTTGGATAAATTCACATGGCCGCACGGACCGAGGAGTGTACTGTACCGATCCCAGAATATGGGGATTCAGCCGCAGTGGTTGGAATCGTGGTGGCCTGAGAGCGTGAATGACGTGGCATTTGTGGTGGAGGATGACATGGAGGTTTCGCCGCTGTTTTATCGATATTTGAAAAGGCTTCTTGGAGTGTACTACTTCAACGCGTCCAATTTCAACCCGAGCGTGTATGGGGTCTCCTTTCAACGGCAGTTCTTCATTGCGGGTATGCCATGTGGGAATGGTGGGATGATAGGCATGATGGAGGGATGGTGGGTATGGTGGGTATGGTGGGTATGGAGGATGGGGGATGGGGGATGCGGAGTGGTGGGGATAAGGGGAGTGGGTAATGAAAAGGGGGAGTGGGGGTGGTGGGGGATGAGAGATGGGAAATGGTGGGAAATCCATCAGCAGAGCATTGAGATTCCCCCTTTCTTCTTGTCCGTGTCATTGTCCCTTCCCTGCAACACTTTCCTGATTTACCACATCACAGCCCTCCTTACCAGGCTTCAACAATGGCCACAGTGCACGCTTATAAGGCGCCTCAAAGACACCTTTTCCTCCTTCGACCGCATCAAACCCCCCCTTCACACCTCCCTTTCACACCCCCCCATCGCACTCCCCCTTCACACCCCCCTTCACAAACCCCTTCCTCAGGCTTCAGTAGTGGTCTTAACGTGTATGACCCCTCCGACCCTTTCCTGTACCAGCACGTGTAGCCCATCCCTCTCCCATTCACACCCCCCTTCACACCCCCCCTTCCCCAGGCTTCAACAGTGGTCTGAGTGTGTACGACCAGCCGGACCCCTTCCTCTACCAGCACGTGTAACCCATCCCTCTCCTCTCCTCTCTGCATCAGTGTTCCTTCCCTGTTTGTTCCCTCCCCAACCCCCCTCCCCTGCCTCCCCTCTTCCCCAGGCTTCAACAGCGGGCTGAACGTGTACGACCATCCGGACCCCTTTCTCTACCAGCTAGTCGGCACATGGGGCCAGTTCCTCCTCCCAGCCCCCTGGAAGCAGTTTCGCCTCTGGTACGACATGCGCCGCTACAACTCCACCCGAGAACCCTCACTCGACGGGCTAAAAACCACAGTCTGGTTTAAAAATAAGGGGAATCGCCTCTGGACCCCCTGGATTATCAAGTGGGCGTATGCCAAGGGTATGTTCAATCTTTACCCCTCGCCGCCCGGGAATCTTTCGCTCTCGATCTCGCACCGGGAGAAAGGGTCGAATATGCCGAAGAACCGGGGGGCCGATGCCGCCCTTTTGACCCCCCAGAAGCTGGCTGCCGCCCTGGCTGCTGCGTCTTCATCTGCTGCGTCTGGCTCAGCAGGAGGGGCGGCAGGGAGGGGTGCAGCTGGCGCTACAGCCGGAGGGGCGGCAGGGAGGGTTGTAGCAGGAGGGGCGGATGTAGCATGGGCGCGGTCGATCAGGGCGTGGTGGGTTCGGCCTCTGCCGGTGCTCCGGAGGTTGGAGCGGCATGATCTATGTTTCCGGCAGTTACGCTGGTTACCACCTGCGAAAACGCTGGAGGAGTTTCATTCCCTGCTGAACGCTGTCGCTCCGGTGAGCCTGGGTGAGGGGAGAGAGAGTGGCAGGAAACAAGGGGTGAAGAGGGCGGGGAGATTAAGGAGTTGTTTAGGATGGGCCACAGGATGGGCTCTCAGCGTCTTAGATGAAACAAAAGATCCGTGGTTACTATCCTTTCTCATAATATTTTTTCGACCTTCTTCCCATGTTACATTCCCTCCCTTGCACACTCATTCACTCTCCTTACCACCTTTTTCCCCTTGTGCTCTCTCCCCTTGTCTTGTCTCTTCAGGAGAAATATGTGTCTCTGATTGTGGTGCCTTTTGACGGTCGAGATCTCATCAACAACTGGCTCTGCCACATCGACGGCTCCGGCGTCTCCAACATCATCCTCATCGTTCCATGCGCCAGGCTGGCAGCTGAGCTGGCAGCACGTGGCTATGCTGTCTTCTACCTGCCACCTGTCACCCGTCGCAGGATCTTGCGACACCTGGAACGGAGCAATGGTGCTGTCTCAGCAGCTGCAGGCGCTGGTGATAGCAGTAGCAGTGGCAACAGCAGTAGCAGTAGCAGTAGCAGCAGCAATGGGGGTACGGATGAAGGTGGAACTAGTTTCGGGGGTATAGGCACCATCACCAGCATTGGCATTGACAGCCTGTTCTGGAAGGATGATCCATCCTCAGATGGCTATACCTCCACCAGTGCAGCAGAAGATGAGGAGGATGGGGAGGGGGATGGGGACAGTCTTTTTGGCCGCACGAGCAGCAGCGACAGCAGTGGGGATGGTAATGGTGACGGTTCAGGTAACCCTGTGGGTGTTACGGGCTATGGAGGGGCGGAAGAGGAGGAGGAGGATGAGGTGAGGAGGAAGAGAGGGTTGGAGGATCCTGTTGAGGTCAGCAGGAGGAGGAGATTGAGCGGGCGCAACCACTGGACTGCCCGACACGTTCAGTTAGTTCTAACCGCTCTTTCTCTCGGCTTCAATGTGGCTATAGGGAATGCGGATACTATATGGAGGGGTGATCCCTTGGCAGCGGATACAGTCACGCGTGTTGATCCGAGCTTTCAGATGTGGGGTCGTCTGGACGCCGTTGATTTCAGCTCCTCGTTCCTCGTCGTGCGATCCTCACCGTCGACCATAGCTGCGTGGGGGCAGCTCGAAAAGTTTTGCACGCGGACCCCGCTGCTGACCAACGTGCTTGCGGGCAGCATGGTGGTTAATTTCGACGTGGGGGAGGTGGAATGTGGGGGAGGGGGGAGCCGGCAGCAGCAGCAGCAAGCAGCACAGGTGCTAAGTAACACTGTTAGTTTCAAAGAAGCAGGGACGATACCCTTTGGGCCGCAGGAGGGGGTGAGGGTTCCGAAAGGTTGGCTGTTGCCGGTGATAGTGCCTCCTTATGCGGGTAAAAAGGAGGATAAAATTGCATCGCTGAGAGGGGCTCGGCTGTGGGTGATTGATGATTTTGATCACGCGTGTAAGGCTGTCACGTGTAGAAGACAGTTCTAATCTAAGACAGCACTTACACTCTTTCGTTTTTTTTTTTTTTTCGTATAAAGAGATTTCATAAGATTGCCTACAATATGGTTGATTATTCAGACGAACCGCTTGAGATTGTTGTGACCTGCATGAGACGTTCTAGATGGCTGGGAGGCAGTCAGTTGTATTGTCACGTGCGTGTCTGCTACCATTGCCAGCACTGCACTGCACTGCAGCCATGATTGAGAAGCCGTTATTACGGTACTGCCTGATATATTCCAAGTTCTTGGCTGCCCTGTTCTGTCTGTCCTCCCAGTGCTTGTGGTGCATGCAGTGCAGAAACCAGCACTACAGTGGTAGCCCCTTGACTGATTAAGTTTACAGCTTTGGTGCTTGGCTGTAACGGGGGGGACGAGACATGTTACCAAAATATACAGTAGACTACAGAATGGACGCAAGCAACACATCAGAACATGTGAGGCGAAAGGAAAATACAGTACAAAAAGCCATGAATGAATGATCAGTACAGTACAGTAGCCGTACTGTTGCTGCAGCATGCAGAGAAGAGTAGGAAGCACTTGATAGCGGCTGCTTGGCTGGTGGCAGAGATGCAAGGCGTGAGTATGAAGTTCCCAGCAACTTAACCACTAGGAGAAGAGAGTAGCAAGCACTTGGTGGTGGTTCCGAGGCTGGTGGCAGAACCAGGAAAGATGTCCCTCCCCTGGCAGCTCATACAGCCTCACCAGACGTGACAGCTGCTGCTGCAACATGTGGAGCAGAGAGCAGCACTGAGGCCACTAGACGCCACTAAGAGAAGAGAGTGGAGAGCACTTGGTGGTGGTTCTGAGGCTGGTGGCAGAACCAGGAAAGATGTCCCTCGCCAGGAAGCTCATACAGCCTCACCACATGCGGAAGCTGCTGCTGCAGCCAACGCTGCAGCGAGAGAGGCACTAATACGTCCTTCGTGCCATGCCATATGTGCACCAAGAACGGAGGGGCGGGGGACGGCGAGGACGGGAGAGGAGCGGTCGATGGGGGTGGATTTGCGGTGGCAGAAGGGGATGTTGCCTTGGATGATTCACATGTGGAGTCTCGGATACTGGCGATATCGCCGATGTCTTGGGTATGATCAAAGCACCCAGTATCACAGATGTCTTGGGTATTATCAAAGCATCCGATATCACAGATGTCTTGGACATTGAAGGGCCAGGGGCGGCTGAAGAGTTCAACGTCCTTGGCCATGCCCTCGCCATGCGCTCCCATAAGGAGCGACTCGATATTGTCGTTCAGCAGCGCCTGTGCGCCCTGCGCGCGCAGCAGGTACTGGCGGTCGGCGTGTGAGAGGCTGTGCTGCAGGCGCTGAACCCATAAGGGACCTGGGAAAGGGGCGGGGAGAAGGGAAGAACGATGTTGCAGATTAAAAGGCGGATGAGCCCATGGGAGAAAACAACTGACTCAAAAATTTGATGCTAGTCGCTGAAAACAATTGCACTCACCAGCCAAGGCAACGAAGTTACAGATGAAGAGGCGGATGAGCCAGAGAGGGGCGTAGCGGCCGAAGGGGCACAGCAGCCGAAGGGGCACAGCACGTACTGAAATTCATAGAAAGGCACTCACCAGAGAAGGGAACGATGAAGTTGCGAATGAAGAGGCGGATGAGCCAGAGAGGGGCGTAGCGGCCGAGACGGAGGGAGCGGCGGGAGTGGGGCGTCATGCCGGCGAACATGGCCTCCCTATCCTGCTCTGATATTCCCTGTGGGAGGGGAATGAATGGAGGGATGTGAGGGGGGAGGGGAGTGCGAGGAAAGGGCATGTTCCAGCAGGAAATATCCCACCATCACAGCATCCGGACGGCAAGGGTCATGCAAGCATCATGCCTTTCAGCACAGTCTACCTACCGTTCAGCGAAGTCACACCTACCCATTCACTAAAGTCACACCATTATTCACTACAGTCACACCTGCCAGTAGAATGAGCTGAAGGGCGCCCACATGGCGATTCCCAGGATGCGGTGGGGAATGTAGTGCGCTGCCGCCCAGCAGTACGCTCCTCCTGCTGAGTACCCCAACAGGTAGAACCTGATTGGGGAGAAGAGGAAAGGAAATGTCACTGACCACTCTCACTGACCACTCTCACTGACCACTCTCACTGACCACTCTCACTGACCACTCTCACTGACCACTCTCACTGACCACTCCCACTGACCACTCTCACTGACCACTCTCACTGACCACTCTCACTGACCACTCTCACTGACCACTCTCACTGACCACTCTCACTGACCACTCTCACTGACCACTCTCACTGACCACTCTCACTGACCACTCTCACTGACCACTCTCACTGACCACTCTCACTGACCACTCTCACTGACCACTCTCACTGACCACTCTCACTGACCACACTCACTGACCACTCTCACTGACCACTCTCACTGACCACACTCACTGACCACTCTCACTGACCACTCTCACTGACCACTCTCACTGACCACTCTCACTGACCACTCTCACTGACCACTCTCACTGACCACTCTCACTGACCACTCTCACTGACCACTCTCACTGACCACTCTCACTGACCACTCTCACTGACCACTCTCACTGACCACTCTCACTGACCACTCTCACTGACCACTCTCACTGACCACTCTCACTGACCACTCTCACTGACCACTCTCACTGACCACTCTCACTGACCACTCTCACTGACCACTCTCACTGACCACTCTCACTGACCACTCTCACTGACCACTCTCACTGACCACTCTCACTGACCACTCTCACTGACCACTCTCACTGACCACTCTCACTGACCACTCTCACTGACCACTCTCACTGACCACTCTCACTGACCACTCTCACTGACCACTCTCACTGACCACTCTCACTGACCACTCTCACTGACCACTCTCACTGACCACTCTCACTGACCACTCTCACTGACCACTCTCACTGACCACACTCACTAATTGGTCACTCTGAATCGATCCTCTCTCTTGTGCCCCAGAACAAGGTCCGCACAGGAGTGCACGTGGTCTTCTGACCACCCACACTGACCACCCACACTGACCACCCACACTGACCACCCACACTGACCACCCACACTGACCACCCACAAGGTGATTGGTGATTAAATGGTGAACCCACTCACTTGCATCCCAAGGCAAGAAGATCCGCCAGCTCCTCGAAGTCCGCACAGAAGGAGTGCAGTGTGAGGGCTGGCGCGGGGTGGGACTGTGGAAACCGCTATCACATACCACCTGCACGTGCTTGATCACTCCGCATCTATCCACTCACTTGTGCCCCAGCGAGAGCAGATCCGCCAGCTCCTCAAGGTCCGCACAGAAGGAGTGCAGCGAGAGGGCTGGCGCAGGGTCGGACTGGCCGTACCCTGGGCGATCGATGGCCACCAGCCGGACACCGAAAGAGCACAGAAGCTCGTCCGTCACTCCTGAGAGAAGGGGGGGGAGGGGGGGGAGGGGAGGGGGGGGTTTAAGGGTTTAGAATCCACAAAAAAGTCAGGGTAAGCAGCATCCGGGAATTTGAATGCACGTTGTCATTCGAAGTGTCTGAAATTTTGAGACTTTATCTCACCTGGCATGTTGGCGAGTCGCGACGATCCCAGGCCATGCAGCACCAGCAGCGTCCGCGTCGCCTGTGCTGCGCCCATCCCTTTCTCCAGATACGCAATTCGCCGCCCGCATCGCAGGCGCACCGTTGCGGCGCGCGCACGAGTCGCCACGACGGCGTGAGGCAGCGAGTAGGTGACGTCCGGCGTCGGCGTGCGCAGTGGCGGCGTCCGCGCTACAGGGGCTGGAGGCTCTTCGGGGGCTACAGGGGCTACAGCCTCTACAGGCGCTTCAGGCGCAACAGCCGCTGCCGCAGCTGGCGCGGGCCCGCTCCCCCACGCGGCGAAGACAGAATTCACCACTGTAGCTTCCGCCACAAGCGCCGGAGGAGTGGCTTGCGCGGAATTTTCCGCCATTGCTGTGTCAGTGCGGGATGCCAGGGGCGCAGTGAAGCAGCAGGCGCGAAATACCGAAGCCGGAGAGTATGTGATGTAACGTGATGTCAAACCCAGGAAATCTAGTCTTGAGACGTCTCAAAACGAGTATGTGCCGTACGCGATGTCAAACGCAGGAAATGAGGAATGCAGGAAATCCGCACCACAACGGATCAAGCGGCGGCGATCCTCTGTCGGTCAGTCGCCTCTCGTTCCCTGTCGTCACACGACGAAAAGAGGCTTCCACGAACGAGCGTAGAGCCATGCCGTGGCCCCATGCCCACGCCCACTCGATAGTTCGCTCGGCGCCTGGCTGGCGCCACGCTGTGCAAGGCTCATCCACCTAAACACAGGCGTGGTGCTGTGTTTCGACGCATGCCGCACATTGCGGTGGAATTTGCAATAATGTGTGTCGCAGTAACTGGCTCGATTTGTGTTGAGCTGAAAAGTGGGTTCACTTCGTTTGTATGTTTTGTGGCCATAAAGCGCAGTGCTGAAGCGGCTGATATCGAGGATGTGTACCCTCGGAGGCCGCCATGAATGAAGACGCTAACCAGAGCTTTCGGCACGATCGAAAAAATAGTGGGAGAAATAATCGTCTGTGCCTTTTTGTTAGAATGTTAAATCACTTTACATTGTAAAATTATCTTCTGAAACATCAAAATCTGTTCTTTCACTCCCTTATCCCATCTTATGTTGGCAACTCCAAGGTTTTCAAAATCACGGCACTGCCACAGTGGCGTCTTTGCGAGCCGCTTTGGGTCACGGAAAAGCTGACGCGGCCCGACGTGGGATGCAGAGACCGTGCGAGCAGCCCCATCGATATCTGCCTTGCTGTTAGATCTGACGGTAGAAAACAATTTTCAGATAGCAATAGTATTCAGAGATCCTCCGATACGATTGGCCCTTCTCCCGCAAACTTTATCGCGCAACTCTCAAGGGTGGCCTCGAATCCTCGATCTGACCGACCTGAACGCGCACGCAGGGGCCAGAGGCCTTTTCCGCCCGCCTTATTTTGAACTTCAAACATAAGCTCTTCCCCCCTACTTTTGCTTCCGCCCTCTACGCACTCTCCTCCCAGTCTGTCATATCGCTCACCCCCTTGCATTTCCCCGATTTCCGCTTCGTCTGCCCCAACTTCGCGCGTTTCGCTTCTCCGCAACCCTTCCCCCTGCCTCCCCCCTCATCGTCCGCCCATGTACCTTCCCCTACCCTTTCCCCTTATCCCTCTGCCCTCCTTCCCCTTCCCCTTCCCCGCTTCGATTTAGTGAGCGAGTGACCATACCACAACGACCAGGTCTGGGTGCTCCCAAGTTAGTTAGCATTTCAGATCTCAGACTTGGTTTGTAGGGTAGGCTGACCGAAAGTCCCGCTCAGCCTTCTGTCAGGGTAGCACATTGGGAGCATCCACGCCGTCTCTGCTATCCAATAGATGTTATTATTCTTAACATCCGTTTGCTAAGTTAGTGGTTTTTTTTTTTTGCCTTACGAAGTTCATGTAAGCACCTAAGTCTAAACGCTTTATCCGCCGATTGCCGTGTAGTCTGCTAATAGCCCCTCAATGGCGAGTCAAGCCATCGTCGCGATGCGCATATGCGCGCCTCCCGCCCTTGCGCCCTACATGGGCGCGCGGTGGCGGAAAGCTCCCAATACCCCGCAGTTCAGCACCGCCTTCGTCGTTCCCATGCGGCCGAAACGCGTAACGCGTAAGTCCGCTAATCTACCACCGCGTCCTATCACCAGAACGTTATCAGCGACGTGGAACAGGCTCGTTGGAACAGGAGCCTGAAAGGGGGAAAAGGGTTCGTGTCGACCAGCTTTCGCGTCGTTTAATCGTGCTAGTTATATACCATACGTGTCAAAATGCAGCTTATGTACGGCGGTTGGTCACCGTTGTGGGATATCTGTCATTGTCGTCGTCCAAGAGTCTGGCGATGCAGCCGCCGTACTTTAGTGCACAGCGTCAGAACTTAATCCGTCACCCTTACACTGCAGCGAACCTTTTTATAGACGTCGCAAGATGTAGAACTGGCCTGACCTCTCCCGTTCGCGTCTCGCCCACGTGGCATTGCTGGACTGGCTGGTGCTTGCAGTGAGCTTCAGGCGCAACTGCCGTCGCCCGATCTCCGCCATCTTCCGCGCTCAGCGGTACGTTCTTTGCCCTCGCATTAATACTTCATAGGTTACCTTCTTACATTCTCCGCATTACTTCCGCCGGCAGCTTCCGCGTTCCTCCCCCTCCGCATCTTTCCACCTCCTCCGCGTTTCTTTCCCACCACTCCCCAACCCCCCCTCTCCCTTCCCCCGCGCATTACTCCACCCTACACCCTCCTCACTGTCAAGCCACTCACTGCACTGTTTATCCCGCTGTCCCTTCTTCCCCTTCCCTCTCCCCTTTTCCACCCCTCCCCTTCGTTACTCCACCCGACACCCATCTCACCTTCAGGCCACTCACTGTACTTTTTTTCCCGCTGTCCCTTCTCCCCGTTCTCTCTCCCACTCCCCTTTTTCCCTGGCACTCTTAACCCGCCCCGTTCGCGCAACTCCGCTGTTCTCTGCGTTTTGCCCTGTTGCGCAGAGCGGGCGAGACGCGACCGGGAGCGCGGTCGTGGATGGAGCGCATGGCGAAGGCGGCGGAGGAGATGGCGCGCGGCGCGGAGCGCGCGTCGAAGGAAATGGCGAAGGTGGCCGCGGCGACGCTGGAGAACCACAGCAAGGTCCGCTGCGTGGAATAATGCGGAGGGGGGTGGAGTGGGTGGCGGCTCGGAGGGGGTTCGGGAAGTTAAGTAGCGAGTCTGGGTGCGGCAGTTAGCGAGACGGGACGCGGGAAAGAGTAAGCGAGGGAGGCGGGGGTGGTTGGAACGAGGTGGAGTGGCGAAGGTGAGGCGGGACGAGGTGTGATGGACAGGCGACGGGTGGACCTGTGCGAATGTCGTGGTGCTGTTCCTGCCTTTCTTGGACTCGGTTTCTTGCACCCCCTCTCCTGGTTTCATCCTCTCCCGTTTTTATCCACTCCGCTTGTCTTCCTGTCCCGTTCTCTTGCGTGGATTCCACCAGGCCATCGAAGCGGCGTCGCCGCTGCTGTCGCAGATCGTGGGGGGAAACGAGAAGGCGAGCAACTTCATCGCGAATCTCATCGTTCCGCACGGTATGCATTTGACTCATCCATCGGGTTTTGGGCGGTTAACTTCGCACGACTCTATTACAGGTTATCCTCTTATCGTGTTTTACTGTAACCGCACCGCGTTCTGTTTTCTCCGCCACTCTCTCTTTGCAAGCCTAACCTTACGCGTTTTCCGCACCTCTCCTCTTCCGCCGTGCGCCAGCCCCTGGAGCCTCCGCCAGCGGATCTTCCGCCACCTCCCCGCGCTCAGCAGCTCCGCAGCAGTTGGCGGAAGACCACCTGCGCGAGGTGTCCGATGACGTGGTAGCCCACGTCAGCATCAAGCCTGCCAACGTGGCGCCGATGACGTCATCGTTCACATCCCCGTCATTGGGCGACGATGATTCCGCTGCTGCTGCTGCGGCTAACGCGGATCCTACCTCGGTCCCACTGGAAATGCGCAAGGTGCGCATGTGATGAATGGTTAACGCTGGGACGTAGTGCAATGGCTGTGGGCCGTATGGAGCATGCAGGCTTCATGTTACTCTGTTATTCCGTCCGTGATACCATTTTTTTTTTTTAATCATTATTGGTCCTTGCAGGCGGGCGCGCACGTGCTGGAGGGGCGGGAGGAGCGCGGCGCAATGCGCGCGGAGCTGCAGGCGCTGGAGGCGCGCATGGACGCGGCTTCCGCGGCGGTGGAGGCGGCAAAGAGCCGCCGGGGGGAGCTGCTCCAGGCGCACCCGGAGGTGCGTCTTAGCGCTGGGGCGGGGAAAGACGGGGGAAAGGTGGGGTGTGGACTGGTGACGCGTGGGGTGTGGGATGGGGTGACGCGTTCTCAACAGTCACCTTGTTGTTCATTCCCCCTCCCATAACTCTCTCCTCTCACCCGCCTCCTCCCCTCGACCACCTTCTGTTCCCCCCGTTCCCCCCAGCTGCGGCAACGTGTGACCGACGTGGTTGAGGGGAAGGTCACTCCACGCGCCTGTAGTCACCCCCCTCCCCCACCTTTCCCCCGTTCCCCCCATTTTCCCCCGTTCTCCCCCATTCCCCCCCGTTCTCCCCAGCTGCGGCAACGTGTGACCGACGTGGTTGAGGGGAAAGTCACTCCACGTGCCGTCACCGTCACCCCCACGGCTGTAGCGCCGTCCTCTCCGTCTTACGCGCCGTCTAATGCGCCGGGCAACTCGGACGCGGAGGGAGAGGCGCAGGAGGAGTGGGAGGAGGCGGAGGAGGAGCAAGCGCAGGCGCAGGGGGGCGCGCACGGGGCCGCGCAGCAGGGGATGGTGGCGGGGTCGGTGCAGGCGCTGCGGGCGGGGCGGCATAGGCAGCGGGAGCGGCTGCAGCGACCGGGCGTTGAGAGGAGGCGACAGCACGCCGCTCAGGTGGGTGTTGGCAGTGAGGATGGCTGACTGGGGAATCGGGAAAGGGGACGGTGGTAGGTTGTAGGCAGAGAGAGCGGCTGCAGCGACCGGGCGTGGAGAGGAGAGGATGGGGGCAGGGAATGGGGTATGGGAGGTGCGGATTGGGGATAAGGATTTGGTGGGGAAGGATTTGGGGAAGGTTGTAGGCAGAGAGAGCGGCTGCAGTGGGCAGGCGTTGAGAGGCATCAGAGAGGCAGTGCCAGCACGCTGCTCAGGTGGGGAAAGCCTGAGGAGCGTGCGTGCGTGCTTTTGAGGCGCCTCAACTTTTAAGAATTCGCAAAAGTGATTCTCAGGTGGGGAAAGCCTGAGCAGCGTCCGTGCGTGCGTGCTTTTGAGGCGCCTGAAAAGCATCAGAGAAGGCGACAGCACGCTGCTCAGGTGTCTACTTTTGAGGCGCCATTACTCCCGTCCTCAAAAGCAGACGATGATAGTCGGTGACACCACGCCGCTTAGGTGGGGAATGGACGAGAGGAATGGTGAACGGGGGAAGGGGGAAAGCGGGGAGGGCTACTGACATGGTGCGCCTCCCTCATGACATGATGACATGGTGCGCCTCTCTCATGACATGATGACATGGTGCGCCTCTCTCATGACATGATGACATGGTGCGCCTCTCTCATGACATGATGACATGGTGCGCCTCTCTCATCTCTCGTTCAACTTCCTCTCGTATCTTCTTCTCCCATCTCCCACTCTCAACTCCCCACTCCCGTTTCTCTGTCACTGACCCCACCAGGTGCGTCTGTCTGTGCTGCGCTCACTGGCAGAGCGTCACGGTGTGCTGGCGCAGAGCACACTCGCGAGCACAGTCGCGCAGGCAGCTCTTTCCAATTTCCCCTCTCATTATTCATTTCCCGATTCCCATTCATTTCGTGTGCCCTGCTCGCCCCCGCCAGGTGCGTCTGTCGGTGCTGCGCTCGCTGGCAGAGCGACACGGTGTGCTGGCGCAGAGCACAGTCGCGCAGGCGACAACTGGACAGGCAGTAACTGCACAGGAGAGCGAGCCAGTGCAGGTCGCAAGGGAGGAGCCGCAGCAGCAGCAGCAGCCTCATCAGCCTGTGGTTGACACGGCAGCACTGTCGCCTGTGGAGCTGGAACTGGTGAGAGCACCCTCCCTCCCCTTACGTTGTATCCCTGCCATGCACCTCCTGCTGCCATGCATCTCCTAGTGACATGTGGCAGCAGCAGCAGCCGTTGCCGCTGCTGCCTGTGGTGGTCACGGCAGCACTGTCCCCTGTGGAGCTGGAACTGGTGAGAGCACCTGCCATGGGATCCCTGCTGCCTCCCCTCCCATGTGCCCTCCCCTCCCCTGCCCTGCCCTGCCCTGCCCTGCCCTGCCCTGCCCTGCCGTGCATCCCCTGCCGCCTGTGGTGGACACGGCAGCACTCTCTCTTGTAGAGCTGGAACTGGTGAGATCACCTGCTGGAACTGGTAAGATCACCTGCTGTGCGCCCTCCCCTGACATGCACCTGCTGCTGCCTGCCATGCACCCCCCACCGGCCATGCACCCCCCACCGGCCATGCACCCCCCACCGGCCATGCACCCCCCACCGGCCATGCACCCCCCACCGGCCATGCACCCCCCACCGGCCATGCACCCCCCACCGGCCATGCACCCCCCACCGGCCATGCACCCCCCACCGGCCATGCACCCCCCACCGGCCATGCACCCCCCACCGGCCATGCACCCCCCACCGGCCATGCACCCCCCACCGGCCATGCACCCCCCACCGGCCATGCACCCCCCACCGGCCATGCACCCCCCACCGGCCATGCACTCACTGCGCCCTCCCCTTGCAATCCCCATGCCTCTCTTCTCTTTCCCTGCATTCCCACCAGGTCAAGGCGGAGGAGTCATGGGACAAGTATTTGGAAGCAGTCGCGTGGACCAAGGCGCGTCTGCACTCACCCTCAACTGCCTTCCTCTCTCCGTCCCTCTCTTGCTCTCTTTCTCTCGCCCGTCCTTTCGCCAGGTCAAGGCGGAGGAGTCATGGGACAAGTATTTGGAGGCAGTCGCGTGGACCAAGGCGCGTCTGCACTCACCCTCAACTGCCTTCCTCTCTCCGTCCCTCTCTTGCTCTCTTTCTCTCGCCCGTCCTTTCGCCAGGTCAAGGCGGAGGAGTCATGGGACAAGTATTTGGAGGCAGTCGCGTGGACCAAGGCGCGTCTGCACTCACCCTCAACTGCCTTCCTCTCTCCGTCCCTCTCTTGCTCTCTTTCTCTCGCCCTTCCTTTCGCCAGGTCAAGGCGGAGGAGTCATGGGACAAGTATTTGGAGGCGGTTGCGTGGACCAAGGCGCGTCTGCACTCGCTGCGCTCGTCCGCGCCCTCCCCCTCCGCGGCGGCGCTGCTCAGCATGGAGGCGCAGCTCGTGTCTTCCCTCGCGTTCGCGCAGCAGCGCGCGGACGAGGAGGCTGCGCGCGTGGCGCAGCTGTGCGCGCGCGTGGGCGCGGACGCGGGGGAGAGGAGGCGCAGCAGGGAGGAGGGGCTGCGGAGGGCCGCGGAGGCTGGGGCGACGATGGGGAAAGGCGCGGAGGGGGGGCCGGGAAACGGGGAGAGGGGGGAGCGGGAGGGAGATGAGGGGAAGAGGGTGGTGAGTGGCGGCAGCAGTGGGGGGTCGTTGGCAGGGATTGGCGACATGATGAGTAAGGTAAGATGCACAAGGGATGGTGAGACTTTTTTCCCCATGTATCCCATTGTTTTAAGCACCGCTTTAAAAGGCTTTTCTCTCCATGTTTCCCGTATCCCCCTCCCACAGCTTCTCTATTTCGAATGCCCTGTCTCTTACTTACCTCCACCCACTCTTCCCTACCCCACCCTCAGCTCGCCAACATCCAGCCGATGCTCGAGTCAATGGCTGCTTCCCCTCTCCATCTGCCCCTTCCATGTGCCCCTTCCATCTGCCCCTTCCATTGCCCCTCCATTTCTCAAACCGTGTCTTCACCACCCACTCCCCCACGCCCTCCTCCCTCCCCCACCCTCAGCTCGCCAACATCCAGCACACGCTCGAGTCAATGGCCGCCTCGCCACCCTCCCTCGCACTCAAGGCCGCTCTCCCCTCGCTCTCCCCCGTCTCCCCCTCCTCCGCTTCAGCCCCCTCCCTCTCCCCCATCTCCTCCTCCTCCTCTTCCCCCTCCCTCTCCCCCTCCTCCTCCCCCTCCTCCGCCGTTGCCTCCCTCTCCTCCTCCTCTCACACTCTCTCTGCCTTTCTTGCTTCCCTCAAGCCCCCTCGCTCCTCCCGTTCCTCTCGCACCGCCACCTCTGCCCCTGCCCTCGCCACTGCAACCGGCACTGCTGTAGCAGCTGCACCTGTTCGTTCCACAGCAACAGTCACAGCAGAAGCAGCGGTGGGGACGGCAGCAACAGCAGCAGCAGCAGCAGCTGCGCCGTCTGCTTATAGCACGAAATTTGTAGGCAGGAGGGCGTCGGGTGGTGGGCGGCATCGTTCGGCCGAGGAGCGGGAGAATTACCTCAAGGTGTACGCGCGGGCTCTCTTCCCGTCGTACGTTGACACGTCAGCATCGCCAGCTCAGCAGCAGCACGGAGTGGACGGATTGGTCCGGGAGCTCGTCCTACATGGCGCCAGTGAGGACTGGGCCCGAGGCTACATCGCCGAAGCTCTGCTCCGGCCGAACGTGGCTGCACCCAAGCCTCTGGCTGTTGCCATTGCATCCGGGCCTCCCTCTCCCCGTGCTTCTGCTTCACACGTATGTTTCCGCTGCTGCATTGTGAGTTGTCTTTTTTTATATCCTCTCATGTATATTTGTGCTGCTGACACTTGTATTGAGTTGCCTTAAATCGAATGTCCTCACATTTATGTGTACTGAGCAGGGAGCAACACAGAATCGGCGACTAACACCCACCCACCCACCATATTCCCTGTTGTCTGCTTCACTGAACCAAACTCCTTTCTTCTCTATCTCCCCCCCCCCCCCTCCCCTCCCCTCCCCCAGCACGAGTGTTCACAGCACGAGCTGCAGCAGTACGCACAGGCCATCCGCAGTGCCTATGTGGATGCATCCATGAGTGCCTCTGAGCGCGAGGTCGGCACCAGCCTCTTTGTCGAGGTGAGGCAGTTCCCTAGACACCCATCTGAGTTGTAGTTATAGGCTGAGTTGCCTCGAGCTGTTAGCCATCCATCGCGCCATCCGCAGTGCCTATGTGGATGCCTCCATGAGTGCCTCAGAGCGCGAGGTCGGCACCAGCCTCTTTGTCGAGGTAGTCATTGAGGCGTCCAATAGGCACTGCTGGTAAGTCGGTTTGTGAGAGAGGTGATGTTTTTCTCTGATCACCACTATTGGTAGTCATTGGTTTTGCTGAGCAGCCTCGAGGAATCAGTGACTTTTCTGTTTTTGAGATCTCTCGAAAGCCTTAGAGCTGGGTTTTCTCTGCCCACCCACCCCCATCTTCCGGCCTTTCCCCCCGCTCTGCCCTCCCCCCAGGAGTTGGTGGTGATGGGGGCAAAGGAGGAGGAGCAGTGGGCGAGGGTTTATGAGGCACCATCCCTCACCATCTCATTCACCGCATCCCATCCGTCTGTCCATCCCTCCCATTGGTCGATTATCCTCCCAGGAGCTGGTGGCGATGGGCGGCAAGGAGGTGGAGCAGTGGGCGAGGTCCTTTGTGGCTCAATCGCTGGCCACAGAAGTGCGCAAGCGCAAGGTCGTGCGCGCTTAGAGAACCTGCTTCTAACGAGTACAGCCGTCAAGGCGGTTAAGTCAACTCCGAATGCTCTCTCCTCAAGTCAAGCCAAAGTTTGCCTCAAGACAATCTCATTTCAAGCTCACTCAACCTCCATTCAAGCTCATGTCACCCTCTAGTCAGTCTCAAGTCAACCTCAAAGTCAACGTCAAGTCAACATCAAGTCAAGCTCAAAGTCAACCGCAAGTCAACCCAGTCAAGCCAGGCCAATCCGAAGGCGCCTTCCCAGTCGACCGAGTCTTCCAGACGCCTGATGGTTTCAACGCAGCAGGCACGGCATGGCTCTCTTCCATCCATGACGAGTGTCAGCACGACTCGCCCCCATCCGTGACTCTCTGCTCTGCTGTCCCCGCTGTCTTTTGGGTCGGCACACAAGTCGCTTCGCACTCGCTGCATTGCCGTGCAGAGTTGCAGGCTGCCCTCGGCCCGTATGGTGCTTTCTGAGGGTTGTTAAATGCCGCCTGCAACTCTGTGCTGTTGCTGGTCTTGCTGGCATATGAGTCGGCCCGCCTCTCTAGTCGCTGCACTGACCGTGCTGGCATATGAGTCGGCTCAGAAATTGCCTCGCACAAGGAAGCTCGCCACCTCCCTGATGCCACTGCTTTTCTCTCTCTGCCCAATCTCAACGCAGTTGCCCTGTCAATTCTCTACTGCTGCTTCTTACTTACTGGTAGAGTGGGCAGTGCACTATTATGAATAGCCACTCTACCACCTTACAAATCAGACGTCCTCCACCCTGGGTGTATCAATCCAGTTATTTTTTTTAATTCTAGTAACCCTGCTCCTTATTCTTTTTTTTAGCAGCCCATCTTTTTATCTCCAATCATTTCATTGCTCCTGTGCCAAGGCGCCTCCCACCTGTAAGGTACATAGGGTGCCATTTAGTGCTGTAGTGCTGGGTGTAAAAACATTTCAACAAAGCAGGTGGGAATACGGTAAGGCCCTTCAAACCTGGTCTGGTCAGCTTGAATTTTGAAGAGACAAGGGAGATGCACAATATCTAGCTGGTAATGAGAAAATGTACAGCAAGACTGTACCAGTGTTATGAAGAACAAGTCTTTACTGGAGTGCAAGCAGAGGAGCTTCAACATTCACACAAAGAAGGGGCTACATACCACGAAGTCTATCTGGACTAGACATGGTCGCTGCTGAAAAACAAGTACTACCGGTGCCCTAAAAAAAAGCCAGGCATGTACTAGAACCTATATACACGATGTAAAACCCCCTGTCCAGAACCATCCAGCTGACTTCAGCATTTAAGCAGCCAGAATTGTGGTGTTCTGTTCTTCCACAACCCCATCAGCCATGTTAGCTGGAAGTGCCTCCTTGAGCTTCTTTGGTGGTGCCAGCCCTAGGCCTGGAGAGACATGCCGTGCACACAAAATAGCGAGAGACATGTGGCAAGAAGAAAGCACAGAAGCATACAGGTGAGGAAATGAAGGAGAAACCCATGTACGGTAGCTGTGACCTTCAGAACAGAGGACAGAAGCATACGGATGAAGAACGTGAGAAGAGTATCTGGTGTAGAAACATGACCAGGAAGGAAAAAACATAGCCTACAAAACTAGAGCTTACCATCCATGATAGCCTTGAACGCCTCCTGCTCACAGCAATCAAGAGTACGGTTTAAGATTGTAGCAACACAGAAACACAGGTTACAGGCATTACAGCGAGAGAATGCACAAGGAGAAATGCAATGCAGCAGCTATCTGGGACAAACCTCACGGGAACATCTGTCAGACTGCCTCTCCCGAGCCAATCCCCTAGCTCTCTCACCTCGCCCTTTGTCAGCCTCGGGTTGTGCTTTCGCTCCTCTTCCACTGATGTTACCTGCCATTGGGGTTCATCCATGTCAGCACTATATCAATATATTCACAAAAAAAACCCAAGGTGGCATTTGCTGATGCACAGTTGCATTCGTAAATAGCAGGCAAAAAGTAATTTGGTTCTTACAGTTCGGCCTTGGTAGTCATGTGCAGGGTACAGGAGCGTGTCTGGTGGAAGTGACAATATCTGGAGGGACAAAAAAGGGGGACGAATCCTGTTTATCCTGCTCATATAACCATGATTTGAATCCACATTATGGCTCCATTGATCTGGTTATCAGCTCACCTGACAGTGGACTGAACGGTACAGCTCAGCAGCATCTCCTTCCTGAACAATGTACAGAGGATGTTAGATATTGGAGGATGCAAGTAATGAAGTGGAAAATGAGAAAATATAGATTTCAGCATGTGCATGCCCCTGCTGCAAGGATGCAGTTGTAACAGTGAAAGAGCAAACTAGACCCTGGAGTTTAACAAAACACACCTGAAAGTCTGTCCTTCCACATCCTCTTATAAGCAACGCATCTCCGGTGAACGCCATCCTCGTTAAGAGCTTGTCAAAGGAGAACCCAGCACTTCCCAGGCGCTCCAAACCTCCATCACTTGCCCTCCACACGTTCCCTTCAAGAGAGTTCTCTAGTGCTGCTGCAAACGGCGCGGCTGTCTTGGTACGCTCCACCAGGACATATGTCACACACCCATTCGTGTGGCCTGGTGTCGACCGGACCTGCAAGACAGATTTGGGAATCAGATCGTCATGCCTTGGAGATACCAAACTTAAACCATCTGCAAAAGCGAACTTTCAAGTCTAGTGTCAGGGAGGATCTTTTTAAGCACGAACCAAGGAAACTCTGTCCATCTGATCCTACTCGTGATTGCATACAGCAAAAGAGTACATACAGAAACACAGTGTTTGCTACTAATTCACCTGGAGGCCAAATCTGCCAAAGGCTATGACGTCACCGTGGCCCACCAACACGTCAGCTCGAGCTCCACTAGCAGACGAAATGACGGACTTGATGCCAGGTACCCGTTTCTTTGATCGGGATGGGGAGGGAGAGTGGATGTTGGACAAACGGAGGGAGGTTAGTGGGATAAGACAAAGATAAAGAGAGCCGGAAGACAAAAATATGGAATGGCGAGCTATTTTGATGGACAGTCGTGTGGGAGGTGTGCAGTGAGAAGCCCCAAAAGTTTCTTGGCGCCGATGCCGGGGATCGAACCCGGGTCTCTCGCGTGACAGGCGAGAACTCACCACTATACTACATCGACACGCCCTTCAATTCTCTGCAAATTTATATGGTTTTTACAAAACGGCTGACCTAATGGATACCTTCAGCAGACCAGTTCCAGTGACGTGGTCTGCGTGTGCGTGTGTGTTGAGGGCGAAACGAAGAGTCACTCCGAGCTCCTCAGCTAGCCGCACGTCGCGGTCAACGGTCAAGTCAACGGGGTCGATCAGCTGGCAACAGAGCGAGTAGCGGGTAAGGATATTTGAAAATACTACGTTAGCCTGTGTAAGAATATGTTGATTTCCAGAGGCATGACTCTGAGATGAAGGTCGTGCTTACCACGCCGGGTCGCTTCGGTGCAGTTTCGTCAGCCAACAGGAAGGTGTAGGTGCTAGATTCCTTTTCAAACAGCTGACGGAAGAGAAGCCGTGGCGGAACTAACTGCGCAGCCATACCCATGACTCGGCAGACCGCCGATAATAACTTAAGCAATCAGTGACGCACTGAGGAGATATAACGCGAACCGATACAGTGAACTTATTTGACCGAACAAATGGCAGGTGCAGCAAAAGTGATTACAATTTCGGCGATATCCGAAGTACAGTTTGAACTGTCAGTGACAGGTTGTGGGATAAGCGGACAAACTCAAGGGCTACGAAGTCGATGGAAAATGGAACTACGGCGAAGTGAAGAAGAGACGGTCCAATTTCAAGGCCTCGTGAACACTTCCTGGCGTTTCGGACCGCCATCTTTCCCTGAACGGCCGGCGGAGAGCTCAAGGTAAACTAGGAAGCAGAGTCCCAAACTTCCTCGAGCCATCCAGGCCTCAAGATTGCCGCGCTGCTCAGTTTGCTGCTGGGCCTGCTATGCTGGATTTGAATGTGCCAGTCAGCGCGAAATTGGGATCGAGCCGCGACAGGAAACCCACTTCTCGTGCTGACAATTGAGAGGCTGTGTTGCATTGGATGGTAAGCATTGCTGACGTGGGTGTCTGCTGGCATGGGGCTGTGCAAACGTCAAGGTACCAATGTATTCATGATGTGGAGTGTCTGCATTCATTCCCTCGATCCCCTAGCAGTCAGTCACCATTCAGCGATTTGTGCTCATTCAGTGAACAAAGCCGCTTGCATAGAACAATGAATATTACGCAGGGTTGGGTTCGGTGGATAAACAAAGACTATATAACTTGAAGTGCATACATTGGATATAAAGTCCAACTCTCAAACAGTACAGGAACATGAATTTCAACCTCCAGCAACCTTTCCTTCCGTTGAAAATCTGCTATTTCTTTGTTGTTCAATAGGTAGCAGCTTCGCACAATCTTCCATTGAGCAATATCACCTAGGCCCTGACCCTGCTCTCTTGAATGATGCAAAGAACCCTCCGCGCTTCTCCCGTCTCTGTTGGTCGGCCTCTCCATCCTCCTCGAGCTGACGTGCACCACAAGGGGGAAAAAAAACTCCCCCCAGTCACGCAACATGGGTAGAAGATGAGTGATAACAAAACAGGACGACCATGGGAAGTGACCCAGATGTTCTCTAAAAAAATCAGGCAATCGGCATGGTTGGTGGAGGTCCAGCAGGCGGGAATCAACAGCTGCTTTGTGGGGGTGGCAAGTCAACCCAACCCAAACGAGATCTCACCTCCTGTGCAATTTCGGCAATGACTCGGATTATCTCTGAGAATTCAGGTCGGTCGGCAGGGTTGGTGGCCCAGCAGCGCTCAAAGAGATCTGCCAGCCGCGGGTGCGTGCCCTTGGGGATGGGCGGACGCAGGCCCTGGGAGGGGAGAATGGGGAACGAGGGAGGAGGGCAGAGGCAGAGAGGGAGTGAGTCAGGGAGGAGAGGAAACTCGGGGCGGTAAGCAAGGTTGGTGGCCCAGCAGCGCTCAAAGAGATCCGCCCGCCGCGGGTGCGTGCCCTTGGGGATGGGCGGACGCAGGCCCTGGGAGGGGGAAAGGGAGAGTGAAGTGAGCAAAAAAGAGAGAGGGGAGGAAGGGAGGTGAGGCAGGGAGTCTTGGGGTAACGGGGAGGCACGGAAGCAAGGCCTGACAGGTTTTGAGACAGAGACAGGGAATGGGGACGTACATACAGGCCCTGAGACAGGTGTGAAACCATGGTGGGACTAGGGAAGCAAGGGGGAAAGAAAGGTGAGAGTGACAGGAGGGAGGGATGGTGATGACAGTGGATGATGGAGGAGGACGGGGACTTACTCGTTGAACCACGCTGACTGCTGCCTGCAAGGGTGTGAGGTCTGGATAGGGCAGCTGAGAGGAGGAGGGGGGGGGGGGGGGGGGGGGGGAGAGAGAGGAGGGGGATGGAGGGGGGTGGGGGTGTGTGCACGTGAGTAAGGAAAGAAAGAATGGGGGTGGGGTAGGGTGAAAAACGGGGGGGAGGGGGCCCGGGAGAAGGGAGGTTAAATAATTTGGAGGGCTAGCAGATGAAAACTACTTTGTTAACGAAAAGTGTGAGGACAAGCTTCGATGGCAACAAGGGGATGTGAAACGATAGTTTTAGGCTGTTATACGATGAACACATGACGATTGCTATCCATACCTGCTCCTTCCCACATTCCACACCACCATCATGTTGCCCGATAACAGCCATAACAGCAATAACAGCCATCCTTACACCAACATCCCACACCACCATCGTGTTGCCCGATAACATCCATAACAGCAATAACAGCCATCCTTACACCAACATCCCACACCACCATCGTGTTGCCCGATAACAGCCATAACAGCAATAACAGCCATCCTTACACCAACATCCCCACACCACCATCGTGTTGCCCGATAACAGCCATAACAGCAATAACAGCCATCCTTACACCAGCATCCCACACCACCATCGTATTGCCCGATAACAGCCATAACAGCAATAACAGCCATCCTTGCACCAACATCCCACACCACCATCGTGTTGCCCGATAACAGCCATAACAGCCATAACAGCCATAACAGCCATAACAGCCATAACAGCAATAACAGCCATAACAGCCATAACAGCAATAACAGCCATAACAGCCATAACAGCCATAACAGCCATAACAGCCATAACAGCCATAACAGCCATAACAGCCATAACAGCCATAACAGCCATAGCAGCCATAACAGCCATAACAGCCATAACAGCCATAGCAGCCATAACAGCCATAGCAGCCATAACAGCCATAACAGCCATAATAGCCATAGCAGCCATAACAGCCAACCTTACACCAACATCCCACCTCACCAAGCCCTTCCCTTCGTCTCACTCTCACCGTGCCTGTCAGCATCTCCCACATGGTGATGCGTAAGTTTTCTTAGGCACCGCAAAACCCACACACGTATTTAAGTCGACTCAAAATACACCGTCAGCAGCTCACATTCCCATCCTCACTCTCCCCTTGCCCGTCAGCATCTCACCTTGCCCGTCAGCATCTCACCTTGCCCGTCAGCATCTCCCACATGGTGATGCCGAAGCTGAAGATGTCTGCCTTGTGGTCATATGCCCGATGCTCAATCACCTGGTGCGCAACCAGGGAGAAGGGGAGGAGAGCAGAGACTTGCATGTGTTTGCCTTGGGGTCATATGTCCGATGCTCGTGTTTACGTTCAGTGCCATGCAATAGTGTTTCAGTGCAGATATTTCAGATTCTGAGATGTTTCGGGTTTTACACCAGATGCCATCCAGGTGTTACCTCAGGTGCCATCCAGCGGTAGGTGCCAGTCTCTGCTGTCATGACGCCACTGTTGGCCTTCACTCGCGCCACTCCAAAGTCCGCCACCTTCACCACCTGGCAGACACAGGGCCATGAAAGAACAGGAATGCGTGAGGTACTGGAATTTTGTGCATGATTCCTTTCACGTCCACTGCACAGTGTGGTGCATCCCTTGTGCCACGTCCAAGCCCATGCGCAGCGCCAACTCATGCACGGAAGCAGAAGCACACACCACACTCTGCCCTCAGCCCTGTTGCTCTCATCATTCTCATGCATGAGCAGATTTGCAGGAAGTCCATTCCCACACGCACCCAACCGACTACCACACAAGCACACACAACACTGCACAGCACCGCACCGCACCGCACCGCACCGACACAACCCAACACAACCTTTCACTCACATCGTTCTCATCCATGAGAAGGTTTGCCGCCTTGAGGTCGCGGTGAATGATGTTGTTCTTGTGCAGAAAGTCCATTCCCTTGGCCACGTCCATGCCCACACGCAGCACCATGGGCAGCTTCATGCTGCCGCGGTGCTTGTGTAGATAGTCGTACACACTGCCGCCCACCATGAACTCTGCATGGGGGGCAGGCGGGTTGAGGCGGCCAGGAGGCCAGGAGGCCAGGGTGGAAGGGTGGAAGGGTGCAAGGGAAGAAAGGAACAAGGGGGCGAGGGAACAAGGGGGTGGAGAGATGAGCAGAGAGTGAGTGTCTCCCATGCCCACGCGCAGCACCATGGGTAGCTTCATGCCGCCGCGGTGCTTGTGTAGATAGTCGTACACACTGCCGCCCACCATGAACTCTGGAGGGGGGGCATGGGAAAGGGCAAAAAATGGACCAAGGGAGAAGAGGGCAACGGGGAAAACACAGAAACACGCTTAGCGGATTGTTGTATACGATGCCCCCGCCCACCATGCAAACCGTGTGGATGTGATAGGAAGGAGGGCGAGCAAATCTTGCTTCTGGACTGGATATCTCACATGGGTAGCTAGCGTCATACACGCCCACACCCACCCCAGGATTCTTCCCCCCCCCCCCCCCCCCCCCACCCACACACACACACCATATAGCTTGGGGAACAAATAGCTCACCTGTGACAATGGAGAGATTCGGGGGCTACGTGATAAATAAAAGTAGCGTTTTGAGACGTCTCAGAACACTACTTTTATCACGTGATCAAGTAGAACACTACTTCTAGCACGTGATCAAATAGAACACTACTTCTAGCACGTGATCAAATAGCTCACCGGTGACAATGGAGAGATTCGGGGGCTTGGTGCACGCCCCAATAAATTGAACGACATTCTTATGCCGCACCTTCCTGCATTGGGGAGTGGGGAAAAGAGTTAAGGTTGAACAACAGAGCAAGAAGAAAGTGTGCAAGTGACCCTGCGAAACTGGTGATGTGCACAGCAGAGGCGAAACATAGCTTGCACACAGACCTCCTCTCCTCACTCATCGCCTGATGCAAACCTCCTGAACAGAGCGAACTCTCGTCCACGATGCTTGCATAAGGGTAGCCCAATGCACATCTCCTGAGGAAGTTGCTGTGGACAATGTCTGCTTCTCCTCACTCACCCTCCCCCACCCCACTCACCCTCCCTCTCCCCACGCACCGCATGATGAAGACCTCCTGAGCAAACTCCTGCTGCAATGAGTCGTTCAGCCGCTCCGCCTTGAGAATCTTGATTGCCACGTCCTGCCCACAGTACGTGCCGCGGTAGCTGTGGGTGGGGAAGGAAAGACACGGAAAGGCAGACACGTAAGGAAACTGAAGGACTGGTAGTGTGTGCACATACACTCTCGTCTTGATCGCCACGTCCTGGTCACACTACGTGCCTCAATAGCTGCGGGAAAGGGAAGTAGTCAGGCGAAGGTAGAAAAACACGTGAAGAGACCCAAACATAGGTACGCATCCCTATCTGAAGAGAACAAAAATCGCCACACTATTGAAGTCACTCACAGGTCTCCAAACGACCCTGAGGCGATCTTATGCTGCAGCTTCAGCTGGTCGTTGTCAATCTCCCAGTCATCCCGCCCGTCCGATGGGATGCGCACGCGGGAATCCGCTCCAGACAAACTGGAGGCTGCCACGTGTCCTGCTGCCGCTGTTGTGGCTGCTGACGTGGACATGGGCACGCCTGCGGATTCTGACATGGCGGGATTTGATTGGCCGGATGCTTCTGGAAGGGTTGACTGCGAACCATTTTCGCCCGCTTGCTGACGGAAGGGGGAGGAAAGGCAGGAAAGAAAAATGGAACGGAAGGGAAGGAAGGGCGCGGCAATGGTGGGTTTAAAACGTGATAGTGACAGTGAGAGCTGTTGCACAAATGACGAGCAGCTTGCTGCACGGTGTGACAGGATTTTGAGATATCTCAAAACTCAGCTGCTGAGCGGTGTGACAAACCGCGCTCGTCTCAGGCCGCAAGTGCAGTGCATTGGAGTGCATATGTGGTGCAGAGCGGTGCTGTGCTGTGCTGCGGTGCGCTGCTCACATGTGCTGCTCGCTGCCTGCACGCATCTCCACCAGCTCCTGCCGCCTTTACAAGGTATTTCTTTTACAGAGACTCACAGGACAGGATCTAGACTTTTACCTGTGCTGCTCGCATGAGTACTGCTACCTGCCCGCACGCACGCATCCCCACCAGCTCCTGCCGCCTTTACAAGGTATTTCTTTTACAGAGACTCACAGGACAGGATCTAGACTTTTACCTGTGCTGCTCGCATGAGTACTGCTACCTGCCCGCACGCACGCATCCCCACCAGCTCCTGCCGCCTTTACAAGGTATTTCTTTTACAGAGACTCACAGGACAGGATCTAGACTTTTACCTGTGCTGCTCGCATGAGTGCCGCCCGCATCTCCACCACATCCTGGCACCCAGCACGCATGGGAGGAGGGAGGGGAGGGATAACGCGGAGGTTGGGCATAGAGGAAGGTGGGTGGGAGGAAGGGGCGGAGGGCATGGAGATGGTGGAGAGAGCGTGGAGAAGATTGGATGGGATAGCGAGAAGAAGCAAGTGGTAGGAAAGGGTTGGAGAAGGTGTGGACTATAGTTCTGAAAGAGTGGAGAGGAGGCAGCAAGTGGAGGATTTGGCATGTGGAAGAGGTGGCATGTGGAGGAGGTGGCAAATGAGAAGTCGCATGCATGAGCTGAGCACACACATCAAACTCGCACCTCGGAAGGCCAGCCGTCAACAACAAAGACGTCGAGGGAGAGCCCATCAGAGGTGGCGAACGAGAAGACACACACACGAGCACACACGCATCATCGCACATCATCACACGCATGTACACACCTCAGAGGGCCAGCCGTCAACAACAAAGACGTCGAGGGAGAGCCCATCAGAGGTGGAGAAGACATGCGCCTCACGGATGTTCAACCCCACGTCTGCCAGCACTGCTGAGAGCTGTAGTTGGGGGACGGATGAGAAGGGGAAGGGGAAAGAGGAGGAGAGAGGTGCGGGTGGAGTACCAATGCATCTTCGTTCATTTCCCATCGGAGGTGGAGATGACATGCTCCTCGCGAATGTTCAACCCCGCATCCGCCAGCACTGCTGAGAGCTGTTATATTGAGTGAGGGAGGGGGGGAGGGGGGGTGAAGGTGGGGGGAAGGGGGGAGAATGGGGGAGGGGAGAAGGGGGAAAGGAGGGAGGGTTGGAGAGGAGAGGGGCGCGTTTTGAGACACCTCAAACCTGGTCGTTCAGCCCCACGACTGCCAGCACTGCGGACAGACAGTTGCTTGGGGGAGGAGGGGGAGAGGGGGGGGGTGATGGGAGAGAGGGGAGGGGGGGAAGAGGGGGGAAGGGAGAGAGGGGAGGGGGGAAAGGGGGGGTTTAAGGTGGGAGAGAGAGGTGGATGGGAAGAGAGCATAGCAGGGGCAGTTTCAAAGTCGGGAAGGCTTCGGTTGCGCGGGGTTTGTCCTGACCAGTTTGACTGACGCTTGACTTGGTTCGGCTGACCTGACTCGCGTTTGACTGGGGTTGACTCACTTGACTGAGCAGCTTGGGGCGGTCCACAGTGGAGAAGGTGACTTCGTGCATGGGCACCTGCAGGAGAGAACTGGCGGCAGGGGGGAAAGCAAGAAGGGAAGGAGGATCAGAAGTGATGAAGATGGGGAACGCAAAAGAGGGAACAGGGGGGAGGAGAGGAAAGGTGGGGGGTGGGAGAGAGGGGGAGTGGGGGGGACAGAGGTGAGGTGGTATGAGAGGAAGAAAAGGCGATGAGGGAATGACATTGCAGGTTGAGGACAGGAATGAGGAGATGGGAGGGGAGCAGAAGCAGGGACGCATGGAGTATACGCTCACACATTCCCCCTTCCCTTCACACTATTTCAATAAACCCCTTCACATACATCCATCCCTTCCCCCACACACACTCACCTGAAGGACCCCTTTCCGTCTGAATGTCCATCCGCGTTCGCAGCTGCACCCTCCGGTATCCCCCCTCCCCCTGCCCCGCCCGCGCACATGGCGCCTCCCGCCAGCACTGGGGAGTCCAGATTCGGGGAGGACCCGAACGCTGGTGGAGCTAGCATGCTGGGGGACAAACGGGAGGAGGAACGGGGGAGGGAGACGAAAGGGGGGGGGGGGGAGAGCGGGAGGGGGAAGCAAAGAGGGGGGTAAGACGGAGGGAGGTCAAGGGAGTCTTGAGAAGGAAGTGGGTTGAATGAAGCAAACGGGGAAGGAGTTGGGAAAGGGGAAGAAGGGAGCAGGAAGAACCGGTGGGGGAGGTCCGGGAAGCTTAATCTGTTGAGGAGGACAATGCGTAAGAGACCCTCACATCCCTACCCCCTCACATCCCTACCCCCTTACCCCCCCTGCAGCACCATCGGCTACCTCAGAACCCTAACCTAAGAGCCTCACCGGCAAAACCCTGACCTTACAGCCCTTCACCTCAGAGCCCCTACCCGCACAGCCCTTAACCTCAGAGCCCCTACCCGCACAGCCCTTAACCTCAGAGCCCCTACCCTCACAGCCCTTACCCTCAGAGCCCCTACCCTCACAGCCCTTACCCTCAGAGCCCCTACCCGCACAGCCCTTACCCTCAGAGCCCCTACCCGCACAGCCCTTACCCCTGGCGTTTGAATTCAGCTGCTGCCTCGTCAGGCTCCATCGTGCCTCCCCCTGCAGCGCCATCGCCTCCTCAGAACCCTATCGTCACCGGAAAACCCCTACCCGCACAGCCCCTCACCACACAGACCCTCCCCGCACAGCCCTTACCCCTGGCGTTTGAATTCAGCTGCCGCCTCGTCAGTCTCCATGGTGGCCTGCCCCCCCCTGCAGCGCCATCAGCCCCCTCAGAACCATAATCTCAGAGTCTCACCGGCAAAACCCTACCCGCACAGCCCCTAACCTCACAGCCCTAGCCTGAAGCCTCTACACTCACAGCCCCTAGCCTCACATCCCTACCCTTGGCGCTTGAATTCAGCTACCGCCTCGTCAGTCTCCATCGTGCCTCCCCCTGCAGCGCCATCAGCCCCCCCTGGCAGGGCGGATGTGACCTGCGCGTGGAAGGGACAGACAGGGAGAGAAATGTTTTGAATTGACTCAAAAAATGCAGCGCCATCGCCTCCCCCTGGCAGGGCCGACGTGACCTGCGTGTGGAAGAGAAAGACGGGGAGAAATGTTTTGAGTCGACTCACAACACGCAGCGCCATCAGCTCCCCCTGGCAGGGCCGATGTGACCTGCGCGTGGAAGAGACAGACAGGGAGAGAAATGAGTGACACTACGAGGTTGCGGCGGCAACCATCTAGCATGTAATTCTCTAGGCATCTAAAAAATGGAGAGATACAAGAGGGAGAGATGGCCAATGGTTGGGTGAGGTCAAGACAGCACTGCAAGAGGGCTCAGCCGAGCATAAAACGAGCGGTTTTGGGTAGGGGGAGGGGAGAGAGGGGGCAGGGGGGTGTGGGGAGGGGGGGGGGAGTGGGAAGCGGGGGGAGGGGGGTGCAATGCAGTTAGCCGAGCCGATTTTGAGGTGCCTTGTCTGGCCCAACCAGTGACCTTGGCAAAAACGGAGGGGATCAGAGGGACGTTTCAAACGGAGCAGGTTCCAGCAAAGGAGAATTGGTGTGGAATAGTGCAAGAAACATGATGCATGGCATGGTACATGAAATTCGTGCGCGCCGACAGGTAGGATGATGGGAAAGGGTGGGAGGGAGGATTTGACCGACAGGCCAGTCACACAAGCAAATGAAAGTACAATTCCTTAACCTGCCGTAAACGTACACTTGCCGCTCAACAATTACAACTCGCCCGATTCCTGACTAATCCCAGACAGACAGTCTGCCTCAACCCCGATTCCGAACCTACCCGCACGGCTCGGACATGCACCACCGGCTGGCTAGGCATCTTCGCAGCTTCTTCGAGAAGCCGCTTGTGGGTGAGCACATCCTCTGCGCGCTCCGTGTTCACATCCAGGGCGTATCTGAATCGGACGGATACGATACAATCACATTATTGAATAATTTTGACAGTTACAATCAGTCACATTCAATAATATGATGTAAATGCATGCTGGAAATATGACAATGATTGTCACATTCCATGTTTTACTCGAGTTTTATGACAATCACTGAGGTGACAAGCACCAGAGCATGTTCACCAAGGGGTAAGCATTAGGAGTACGGATGGAACCAGCCAAAAATTACTCCCGGCCTTATAAATAAAATGACGGGATGATGGACATGTTTTATGCGCGAACGGGGTAGACCTTCAGGCATGACATAGAAGACGTTAGTTACAGACCAACAGAACACTCATGACGGAGATCAAGGAAGAAGTATTTCGCAATATGTTGAAGATCGTCGCTCATGATTCGGATAACATCCAATGTGTAGAACCATCAAAATGATGAGTAACAATGCGTACCAAGACGTCGACAAAGGTCGTGGCTTGAAACTGGTATTCTACAAATCTGACTGGCGAATGTCGGGTGCCTGACTCGTCCGTCGCACAAAGTGATTATGAAACGAGAGAAAAGAGGGAGTGAGAGAAAAAAAAACACACATGAAACCCTACCTCGTAGGCAAGCGGAGAAAGTGGGCCTGAAGGGCTTCCTCGAAGTTAGGCTGTTGAATACATGGATGATTGGCTTCCTGGAGTTTCCGAACCACCTCCTGACACACTTCCTTCTTCACGCGCTGTCTCTGCTTCTTCTCATTCTCCGCAGCGCTGCTCGTTGAGGGTTTTCGCCGGCTTCCCTCGGCTCGCTGCTGCTGCATCCATTGGTACGCTATCGCTCCCTAGATAAACCGATCGACAACACCTTACTCGCTGACCGACTATTCAACTATGACAGCTTCGCCAAACGTCAAACTAAAGCCTCATTGAAGCTCGATCCACGTCAGTACTCGCAGAAGTACTCAGCTTTAGCGAGTAAGTGGTGCTGACAAGAGAGTCCTCTAGGTCGTACGTTCCTGGGTTGTTGCTGGTGTGGGTGGTTGGTTGGACATGGCTCATGGAGAATCCATTTTCTGTGAAGCTGGTAGGCAGCGGGATTCTCAAAAAGTTGGTTTCCAGTGTACAGTCCGGGTTTTAGCTAAGTTCCAGTACAGCACCATGAGTTCCGCAAGCGTAATCTGGAAAGCGTAATCTGGCAACTCTTTCCACGTGGCTGTCAGCTCAACCAGTTCCTACCAGCTCTGAAAAACGTTCGACACCCAGATACACCTCTTTACAGCGATGCTGCTCACATTTACAGGTCAGCAGCATTTGATTCCCCAAATATAGAGTATTTGTTGGCATGGAGAGAGTTGGATACGAGCTTCGATTGGAGCTCACCTTATAATAAATACGCCTTACCAGTTGATTGGAACATCTAATTTGAACTGCTATTACTCAAAATCCAACTAATGTTACAGGCAACAGCTTCATGCACTATTGCTAAAACAAAGAAAAGACAAGGGTCCATAAGAAGCACATGCAAGCCTACATAAATCCAGGAACAATTCTCAAGAACAGGAAGGCGTACATCACAGACAGCGCTGCTCCGATAGGAATGGTGACAAGCCACGATGCCACAATCTCCTTCACCACATCGGCCCGTACACTCCCAATACCGCGGGCAAGGCCCACTCCCATCACTGCTCCAACAAGTGTGTGCGTGGCAGAGATTGGGAGACCCAGTCTAGATGCAACCACCACCACTGTAGCCGCTGAGAACTCTGCTGCGAATCCTCTGGTGGGAGTGAGCTCTGTGATCCTGTTCCCAATTGTTGCAATGACACGGTAACCCCAGATGATAAGACCAGCCACAATGCCAAAACCGCCCCAAATAAGAACCTGAGTGGCAACGCCGGCAGACACTGGAGCGGCAGCGAGGGATGAGGAGGGGATGGATGCGGAGGAGGAGGCGAGGATGGCTAGAGCAGCTGAGATGGGGCCAATGGCGTTGGCCACATCGTTTGCACCGTGAGCAAATGACATGAAGCATGCAGAGAGCACCTGCATGGAACAACACAGAGCAGGAGCCAGGTCAGCTTAAAACTAACCGGGCTTCAACGGGTAGCATGAAGTGCCAGGTTTGGGCAACTGAATGTGCGAGAATCACACATGCCACATGACAGTAATCAATCTCCTGCAACACAGCCATGCACCTCCCATGGCCCATCCTTCCCCCCAGCTAGCATCCAAAGGCGCCATACACAACGTCCGGCTGCATGCCCATGGACCCACAACCCTTTATTCAACTCCAGACACTCTCCTCTCCTCTCATGTGAGCCGACCATTGACCCTTGTATCCCTCCCACTTGACTACAGCCTCGCCCACGCACCTGCAGGTAACCAAACACGCCATAAACAATGCGCAGCTGCGTGCCCATGGGTCCGCGGCCCTTCTCCGGCTTCGGCTCCTCCAACTGCTTGGGGATCTCACAGAACTCCCCCAGCAGCTCGCCCATCTGCCGCTTCACCACGGCGGACATGGCCACCGCGGAAGCAGCGCCCGCGGCCAGGGAGAGCGCGCAGGCGCGGAGGAGGACCCCCCGGGGAGGTGAAGAGCGAGAAGAAGGAGAAGGCGGAGACACCCGCGAAGACGAGGATCGGCGCCGCTGTCGACGCTGCCTGCCCCGGATTGGACGAGCTGTAGACGAACTGAGTGTGGTGCCGGCGCGGTGGGGGTGAAGCGGAAGGGGAGAGGTGGCAGAGTGGGAACGTGGGGGGGAAAGAGAAGAGGAGAAAGGGAGTGGAAGAGTTTGGAAAAAAAAGGAGTGGCTAAGTCAGAAGTCAAGGGGACGAGGACGAGGTACCTGTTCGGTAACAACATGCTACAATTATTTAGAGCTACTGTCCAGCCACGAGACAAGGTTTCACCAACGCCCACTCGTCTCTGCCGTCTTGAATCATTGCTCTCCGCTCCCCCGTGGACATCATACTCTCCACCTTGCGCCAATAACTCGCACCACCGGCCACTGCTACGTTCACAGCTATTCTTTCCCGCCCCTCGTCCCAGTGTATCGGAAATTGAAATCATCCAGCCTCCAGTTAACTTCCAACCATCTTACATTGTTAAATGTTGCACGGTGATGTTGGCATCGCTTAAACAGCCAGATCTTTCCTGATACTTTGTTGACGATGAACGTGACGATGCTATTGTTTGAGGCATCAGAGCGTTTTAACCAGATTGCCTAAGGACGTGCATACCTTTCGGATACACTTGTAACGATGAAGGCGATGCTAGCACCGAGAACAGGCGAGACGACCCACGACGACACCACGCGAGCCAGCGACGACCAGTAGACGGCATTCCAGCCGCCGAAGATGATGCCGAACCCAACCATTGCCCCGATGATGCAGTGCGTCGTTGATACCGGCCAGCCGAAGTACGAAGCAACCTGTGCATCGTGGAGGAATACAAGGGCCAGTCAGCTTAGATTTCTTCGGATCCATGACGTCGGCACCATTCCTTTCACATTCTTCCTCCTCTGGTAAATAGACTCAGCATTGTTCACCCTAACCATCACCTGCTCCTAGATGATCAGTGTCTCCTTAACACCCCAGCGTCAATGGCACTTAGTATTGCACGTACCTGAAGCCACGTTCCTGCGGCTGCCAGAGAGGAGATCATCCCTGTGAACAGCATCGCGTTTTTCCCGGCAAACACATTTGCCTTTATGATTCCGTTCTGCATCGTGTGGCTCACGTGCGATCCAACCAGGAAAGCCCCGCCGAACTCCAAGATCGCCGCTGCTAGCACCGCTTGGCGTAGCGTCAGCGCTCCCGAACCCACTGACGTCCCCATTGCGTTTGCCACGTCATTCGCACCAATGTTCCACGCCATGTAGAACCCCAGGAGCAGCGTCAGGTAGGTGAGGCCTTTCATGTGAGGCGAAGCTGCGGGATTCCACGCGCTCATGAAGAAAGGAGCTACTACAGCGATAATGCTGATTATACCCGTGATCCCCATGGCCGTCTGAGGCGTTATTTCAAACGCTTCCGCCATGCTACCTGTCGATGAAACGGGATTGCTCGTAACGGCCGCTCCACTTTCTTGCAGCTGCTGTCTTCTAGCTTCCAGCCGTGCTTCATACTGCTCAATGGACTCGTCTTCTGATTCGAGAGCATCGTCAAATGGAGTAGCACCAGACAACGAACTGAGAGCCCTTAAAGAGCTGCGCCTGGTTGATCTGTGGAGAGGTTGGAATAAATGCGGATGAGATGACAATGACGAGGGGATCTGAGGTCTAAGAGCGGTCCTTAGGGGTATTTGAACCGGATGTTGACATCTCGACAAATGAGGGAGGTTGTGAGCATTTCGCTGACATGACTCATTTCTTTCACGAAGAGCTGCTCCAGATGCTTTTACTGCAGAGCCAGAAAATTGTGGAGCTACCGTCCTTAGCATTGTCAACCATGCACGACTGATCAACTCCCTAGGAAAAAACCCTGACCCCAGCCAGTACTTCAGCTGCTCAACCAAAGCCTCTGCAGGCTTTTCGAGTTAAAAAGCGCTATCGCGGGATGGCTTGCGGTCCTGATCTCCTAACTAGTTTTCGAAATCACAAGACGGAATAATGTAGGTTACACTGCCTCGATCGTTAGGATCATGGCGGACCAGCCAGCCCAGAAGCTATTTAGAAATGCTGGCTTTAGAAGAGTTAGCACTGAGCATATTTGACTCAAGGCATGTGGCCGTGGAATGGAGTGGGGGAAACGGGGAAAGATGGGGGAGAAAAGGGGAAGGCTGTCAGCAGACGCGGAAGTTTAGGGGGAAAGTGACGATGGCGCGGAACTTCCCGCTGGCGCCCGTAGATCCAGGAATCTTGTGGACCGATTCGCCTTGACGGCAGGAAAGTTTGTGACTGGTGGAGAGACGATCGAGGGTGGGAGCCGAGGGGGATAAAACCTGAGGTATAAATCGGCGCCACGTGGACGGTGAGTCACGCTTACGGAGGGCGGAGATTTAGCAGATTGGAAGTTGTAAATCAGCAATTTTTAAAGTGTGAGGTGCGGAGGTCGCGTACAGAACATCCACCACACTCCTAACGTCACCGATACTATGTTCTCCAAGACAAGGGAGACAATACGTCATAGAAACCAAACCATGAACACAAACATGATGTGAAGATGTTTACTCGCGCACCACATGAACTATATTAGTATTCAGCTGTAGTATAATCTTATAATTCTAACTAGAGTGGACTGCCAAGTCCTCCTTATTGGCTTCCAGCTGCAGGTCATACCGTTGCCCCTCTTACAACGGCGTACATCATGTCAGGAGCAATATAATCACAAGTCCGCTCAATGCGGAATGGCTCTCCAGGAATCTGCAACAAACCAGAAAAGGGTTCAGAAACAAGAGCGATACACTTCACTCAAGAGTCAAGACCACAATACTTCGGCCTCACCTGGTTGCCCGAGTGAATCTGCACGCCTGTGATCACAGCGTAGTCAGCAGTGGCTGGGTCGACAGTGAGGGAGATGAGTTTTTCCAGGTCATCATTGAGGCTGCCAGTGCAGCACGAGTCACCTCCACCAATGAATACTCCGAACCTCCCCGCCGTAGAATCTGGGGAGAAGAATGGCATCCCAAAAAAAAAAAAATCCTGATCATTGTGCAGATTTTAATGGAAGTGGAACAATCATGAGTGAGGGCTATAGACATGGAATGCAAACATGAAGCAACCTTGCGTTCTCAGGTTGTCTTCTGTTACCTACCAGTGACTTGACTTTCTTCTTAAGAAGCACGTACTCCTCGTCATAAGGGTCCGACACCGTGCCTTGCCCGCGTTGATGTCGTTCTGAATGGCAATCAGTGCTCCACATGCACTGGAGGGCTTGCCTCGGCCGCGCCGCAGCAGCGATCCCACCTCTCCCGATTCTCCGATGGACACGTGAGGGAAGGCAAAGAAGATGTCTGAGGGAGAGGGAGGTGATTGGTGGGAGAAATGAGAGGCAGATAAGCACAGGGAAACGAACTGCTGATGCTTGCAAGGACAAGCATATGCAGCAGACAATGGTGCAAACGCCTATGACTGACCCTCATCGTCACCAACCATCATGCACAGCTGTTCACTACTCACGACCAACCATCATGCATGGCCGTTCACCATCCACGACAGCACTCACGCATGAATCCCCCAGCCATGCCGGCACGCCCCACAATGAATGACCCCTTTATGCATGAAGGACCCATCACAAACGCCCCATCATGCTCACATCGCTCCTTCACAGTCCCATCGGTCTCGCAGCGAAACTCTGGCGAGTGCGACATTGCAGCCTTAAAGCCTGTGGAGCCGCAGTTGAGCACGCCGCCCAGCCCTGCGATATTGAACGACAGCCCAAATTCCTGGTCCACCAGGCTCACCACCGGCCGGCAACACCTCGTCCCGGCATGTCGACACCAGCGCAATGCAGTTGTCTCTGGCGGAGTGAGTGGAAGAGAATGGCGAGGGAAGAGACGTGATTGGGGGTTCGAGGGGAAGGGCGGGGAGCGGAAAGGGGGTGGGAAGGAAGGACGTTTGCTCTGGAAAGTAGGCCCAAATTGCAACATCCACTGTCAGACAAACTATTGTACTGGTACGGTCGGTCAGCAGCTAAGCCATGTCAGTGACGCCCTCCTTTTTGATAGTATTGGGCTATGATAGAGCTCTTCACAGTCCAGCTTGTAGAAGTCCTTTCTTCTGGTAACAATTTCCCCTCTAATCTAATTTAACCACTGCCGTTCGGTTATTTCCTTTCTTTTCAAGCTTTCATTTGCCCTCCCTCCTCAGCACCGAGCCGTTCCTCCCTTTTACCCACCCCTGGATCCATTCCATGCTGATGTTTGTGCAAACCCGATTTAGTACTAAGCCCACCGGCCTCCAATCACCCCTCGGTCTACCACGTGCCCCACGTTGCAGTGCACCGCTCGAAGCTCGAGCTCACCTTTTGAAGCCCAGCTTGCTGAGCTCTTGGCTCACGGCCTTCATGAAAGCCTCCTCCTGCATGGCCCGCGGGAAAGTCGCCGCCATCGCCGCTAGCGCAGTTGTTGCGGCCTGGAGGGCGAACGGGGCATTATGACGAAGCGCAATGACGCAATTGAAGGGGGAAAGGAGGCAGATTTGCAACGGAACAGTAATGGGATGGTGACTCAATTCCGTGAATTGGAAGCGAGCTTAATACTTCGACGTATTGAGCCACAGCGTGAGAAGGTATTGGAAGAGGTTATGTAGAAACAACTGTAAATGGGAAGTAAGGCTGCTTTCCATGCACATACTTTCTTGGCACGTGGCACGATGCCGCTGGGAGGAGCTGCTTTAGCTTTCTGCGCCCGCTTCCGCTTTAGCAGGACCGGATGTGATCTTTCTGACAATTAAATAAGACGCAACACCGAGCGCTCCGGCGCCTAGGACGGATGGAGCGTAAGGCTGAGCAGCGGCTATAGCGGAGGACACGTCTGGAGTGGAGGTGGACTGTGTGAATGTAACGATATTGGTTTTAAGGCGGTTCAAAGCGGCAGTAGCGGAAGACAGGTCTGGAGTAGAGGAGGACTGTGTGACTGTGGCGAGTGGAGCAGATGAAGGATCAGAGGAATCACTGCTCTTTGCTGCACGTGCGACTGAGTACCGTGAACGGCGGCGGGCGATGCGGTTTGATCGGGATGGTAGTGCTGTCGTAGACTCACGTCTGAGGCCATTGAAGGCTGGAGCGATGAGGGAGGGAAACAAATAACAAAATCAGCATAGTTGTGCAGCTTTCTGGCACTAAGCATAGTGGCCGTGCCTAGAGCGCTGCATGTGCCATCAGCATGATGGATTAGGAAGAAATTACAATCCGTAATGCAATCGAGGAGTCGTCGAAGGTTACGTACAAACAGCTACGGAAGCAGATCGCCTTTCCAGTCTCGCGCAACTGGGCCCTCTCAAGAACGGCAGTGGAGGAGAATCGTGAAGCAACGGCAGCCATTTTCGCCGTCGGCAAGCTCGAGGCAAGCTTGATGGAAACTAGTCACCAACTTCAAGGTTGCTAAATTTCACAGAACTATCTCAGCACATATAAATACTGTACTCCAGCTGAATATTAGGGGCTCACAACAACTGGTTTCCGCAGCATTATTTGGGCGAAGCTCATGTCGTCCCCCCACTAAAGTCCTTGTCAGGTTTCCCAGATTGGTCAATGCTTGCTCTTGAAGTCAGAGTAGTGCTGGATGGATGGCGTTCAACTCCCAGTGCTCTGCGTTTACTGGTGGAACGCCTGCAGAACCAGGAGAGTATCTTCCACACAATCATGAATTGCCACGCGGATGTACCCTCTATAGTGCTTGTAGACTCCCACTGTTATAACTGAGTTTATATTTCCATACTCAAAGTTGAATTTTGTTACTGCAACGTGCCAGAGAAGTCCACAACGAGAACAACCCCTCGTCTGAATTTATCCTTGATTCAGAAGAAATTGTCAGTGTGAGATAGGCAGTTCCAGCCACGTCATGTCAGCTGCGAGTATGTCGCTGGCCCTCCCATCCGCAAGGGCGAAATCCACGTGGATTCGCCACTTAGTCAGGTGCATTTTATTGGAGGAACCAGCGCTTCGCTATTCGCATCATTTTCATCGTGGGGGATCTTCTCGAAGTTTGTACACCACGAATTAGTCCAAAGCCCAAGCTGTTGTTCAAAAGCCCGTCTTGATCGGGAAATACCAACTTCGAGGCTCCATCTTCACCACAACCAATCGCTCCCGTCCAATCGCCAGCTTTCGAACCGACCCGAGTTCATCAAGCCGTGAAAACGAACTCCAACACGCGTCTACCCCTTTGACCAACGGTCGTTTCAGTGCATTCTAGAAATATTGGATACGTTATGGAGCGGTAATCTGAACTCATAGTTCTGGAACTCAATAAACCGAACGAAACCGTACTACAGTACGTGAATTGAAGACCAGTGTCGAGTAGCTACCTGAATGGGAAAAGCAGGCTGCATTACACACAAGCGACTAGGTTAGGCGACTGACTACTCACTACTTAGCCTGCTATCAGGACAGAACTAAGTTGACCAGATCATTTGTACGTGAGCTCTGTCCACTCAATTAGCTGCTAGTTTCCTTCCGCAGCAGTCTTGCACCACATCGACCTTTTTTCTTTCGACCAGCATTTCGTCGAAAATGGCTGCCATGGCTGCTGGAGTTGCTGCTAAACTTCCAAGTGCACTGAAGACCGAGAACGTTCTGGAAGCCAGCCAGTTCCTTGGTCAACCTGCCAGCACCCTCGCGTTCCCCGTCTCCGCATCCTCCGCCTCCCGTAACTCTCTGTCCACTCGGTGCGCTGCTAAGGCTGAGGGCTCAGATGGAAACAACGCGACATCCCACACCCACACGAAGCGCGCCGTGTCCAGGCGATTGATTCTCGGCGGAATGGCCGCCGGCATGGCCGCCGTGGTCGGCTGCCCAATCTGCGACTCGGGATCGCCATCCATGGGTGCCGCGCTCGCTGCTGATTGGAGCTACGGAGAGTTGTCAGGACCCAACGAGTGGGGTGCGGTGTGCAAGACTGGCGCTGCGCAGTCGCCGATTGACATCTCTTTCACGGCGCCTAAGATCGTGTCGGATAATAGCATTGGCAAGCTCGCCTTCGGGTACAAGCGCGCCGATGCCACGTTCCTCAACACTGGCCACGGCACCATGCAGGTGAGACAGCTGGGAAATACATGATATTGATCGCGCAGAGTCTGCATAGGAGAGATGAGCGCTGAGATGGCGCGCTACGGCATTCAGCTTGGGTTGCAGTGTTGAATATCGGCCTCGTGGCTACTATTTTACACTTCCCCTTCCAATTTCGTTTCGCTTGTCCTCCGCCTCCGTAACATCATAACATCGCCTCCCTTCACTCAACTTTCCATTTCTAAGCTGAAATAATTTTCGCGAATTTTTTTTAGCGTTTATTTAACGCTTGTTCTCTTACCTTCGCGTCGCAGGTGAATTTCCCGGGCGGCAGCAACACGTGCGAGATCGGCGGGCGCAAGCTGGAGCTGCTGCAGTACCACTTCCACGCGCCCAGCGAGCACTCGTTCAACGGCATCCGTACCGCCATGGAGGTTCATCTCGTCCACCGTACGTACGCCCGCCGTATCATGTCCATCTCATGTCATGTCATGTCCACCGTACGTTATTGAACAACATGCCGCTCCTCTACAATGTAACGCTGCTGCACCATCAGAGGGGTTCAGCCATGCTTGCTGCGAGCGACTCTCGAAACTGGCTCGTGCTGCTTCTCACTCACTCGTCTTCCTTCTTCCCTTGTTTCGCTTCCCTCGCTGTTTCCCATCTGCCCATCTCTTCCAGGCGATGCTGAGGGCAAGCTCGCAGTCGTAGGGTAAGCACCTTACGCCCTAATTCTAGCGTAGCAACAATGATTCTTCTCCGCATACTCTAGCTCGAATCAAACCCTCTCCATCTGTCTACATTTCCTCTGCTTGCACACATTCCAAATGGCAGTAGTGCTTCTCTCCTCTCCGCTTCCGCCCTCAGTGCCATCATTACCCTCCCTCCTCAATTTTTCCCCTTCTTCCCCTCTCTCCCCACCCCCTCTCCCTCCCCGCGCAATCCCCCCTCCGCAATTCCGCCCTCCGCGCAGGGTCATGCTGGAGGCGGACCCCAAGGCTCCGCGGAACCTCTGCCTCGAGGCGGCTCTCGCCTTCTCGCCCAACGAGAAGTTTAAGCAGATGTGAGTGCGGCACTGCGAGCTGTTTGGATTCAGCTACACTGCGGCTTTGAGTGAGAGTGAAAATTGGAGTGAGTTGGCGAGGACGCGAATGAGTTTACAGCGGAAAGGGAAATCACCCACCTCACTCGACGCTTACCCTCGAATTCACGAACTGCACTCTATTCGCACGCGTCCTCTTTCACCCCGCGGATGCGCCTGCAGTGCAGAGAGAGGTGCCAGGCCCTAGAAACGGGCAGTGCCCGTCAAAAGCCCACCTCTTACCTTTCCATCTTCCCATGTTCCTCCCCCTCTTCCCTCCCTCGCCAGTGCGGGTCCAGTGGAGTGTTTCGAGGTGCCAGCAGTGGGTGGGGGCAAGCCCTTGAAGCAATGCCTCAAGATCCAGATCAGCCCCGAGCCTCTCCTCCCCAAGCCTGACAGAGCGGTGCGTTTCTAAGCCTCTGCCGAGCCTGATATTACAGTCCTGTCTGCTGCAACTACCAGCTCCTCTCTCTGAGTTCACGCTTTGCCTATGGCGAGTCTCGTTACTATGATAATCTCAAACTGGCTGGCATGCTTTATGGCTCCGTGCCTTCTGCCATTTCGTCATTTGCAGCTTGACTTCACCAGCTACGTCTTACCTTTCACCTCCCTCGCCGTGCCACCGTCGTCATAATCACCCATCATCACCCATCATCACCCATCATCACCCATCATCACCCATCATCACCCATCATCACCCATCATCACCCATCGCCACCCATCGCCACCCATCATCACCCATCATCACCCATCGCCACCCATCATCACCTTGCTTGAATCATGGCGTGCAGGACGGTGCGCACAACTACATTCACTTACAAGGGCTCCCTCACCACCCCCCCGTGCTCCGAGGGCGTTGACTGGTTTTGTCCTCTGTAAGTCACTTGACTGCCATTGACTGCTATTGACTGGCGTTGACTGGCATTGACTGGCGTTGCTCTAGGCATATGCTCTCAATAATTTCAGTTAACGCCTGCCTTCATCCTCTTATCCCCTCCCTGTGTCCTCCTCGTCTCTCGTCCTATGTGCCCTCTTCTCTTGTCCTCCTGTTCCCCATTCTCTACCCCTCTCCACCATCCCCACTCCACCATTCCCTCACAATCCCCTCTCAAACAAAACCCAGGTGTGCAAATGCTTGAGTGATCCTTCCAGTTTCCCCACACATCCTCTCCGTCCTCCCTTCTTTCCCTGTCCCAAACATCCCCCACGTGCATCCCTGATGCTAGCTAGTCTGCTCAATACTTTGGTTTAGTCCTCTCTCTCCTCTCCACTATCCTGACACTGTTTCCGTCGACTCAGTAGTCTCTCTATCGTCTCTTCCCCGCCCTTTCCTCTGCAGCATCCCCCATGCGCATCCCTGATTCCCAAGTGGTTGAGTTCATGCGCTATGTCGGTGACCGCCAGACTCTTGCCCTTAACTCGGTGAGTGTTGTGAGACCTTCAAGACTTACTAAAGGCTGTTAGCACAGAGAGGCATCGGGCTTATTATAACCACCTGCTGCTGCTGTTGCTACAGCTCCTACTGCTGTCCCTCTCTCCCATCTCCCCGTTCCTTTCCCCCCTCTTCACTTGCTGCTGCTGCTCACACACAACGGCTGTATCTCCCCTCGCTCCTCCCCACATGCACCGATCGCAGAGTTTTGAGTCGACTCAAAAGTCACATTGAGTCTTCTCAAAAGTAGGATCTTTCACTTGCTGCTGCTGCTGCTCACTCATAACGGCTGTATCTCCCCTCCTCCCCACATGCACCAATTGCAGAGGCCTCGTCAAGACCTTGGGGACCGTTTCCTGGTCGTTGGCCCCGCCTAAACTCCTAGAAGTTATGTGTTGAATTGGTTGCTCTGTCAAATACAGTAGAGATATCTGCACAAAATGTATTCCTATAAATTATGGTAACTTTATCACTCTCGTTTCAGTAACACTGGATGCCTAGACTGGCTATGTGAGAGGGGATTGTTGCCCTGTCTGGCAAGTCTGCCATGCTAGCAGGGAGATGAAAATTCAAAAAGCACTGATTTCATAACACAGAGCCGAAGGTGAAAACACTTCCACACCATGTTCTCCTAAATGTAACTAGTCTGTGGTGTGGAGATAGACATTCAGGGGGACAGCAAGGTTGGGGAAGCTGGGGTGGTGTTTTTAAGGGGAAAGGAACAATGGCGGGTTGCTGTAGTTTAGGTAAGGTGACCACAGGTGGAGGGAGAAGCAGAGGAGAGATGCACTAGAGGTTGAAGAGTTTATACATTAGAAACATGCACCATAACAGCAAGTGATTGATTCTGAAGGTGGTATGGAGAGATGAGCCTAGCTGTTCAGGTCAACAGGTACGACCATTATTTAACCACTCTCAGGACTGCTGAACGTTTCCTCAATACCCCTTCCCAAACCCACCACCACCACCCCCCCAACCCACCCCCCCGCCCTCCCTCGCTCCCCCTCCCCCCCCTACTTTTTCCATGCATCTCCAAAAGCCAAGAGAACACAGAAGCAAACGCCAAGGAATCCCCTAATGAGCATGAATGACGCTCTCAGACAGAACCTCAGTTAAGTGTGAGTGTCAAAAGAATATCGGTTCTGGAGTGCATCAACGTGCTTCAGAGGAGCCGCCACCGCAGTCACCAGTAGTGATCAATGCGTTGCGTCGCGCCCATGGAGCTTGCTACAGAAGCACGGTGCGTCCTTGGATCTAGCAAACAGAAGCACAGAGTCTCCTAATAGCTAGCTCCATGTGCACGCTTGGAAAAAAAAAACTGTTTGAACCCGCGAGAACCTCCTCGCCGCACCTGCAGAGTTTCCAACTGCTCGGATCGGTTCCAACTTCCAACCGTTCACAGCGCGTTGCCAGGGAGCTTGCTCGACGCCACGATCTCGCTCATTTCCGTGAGCGCGTCCGGATTTGTCGCCGCCATGCTCGCCGCTTTTTGCTGCCACGGCGCGCGGTTGTTCTTCGTCTCGCTCGTGATCGTCGAAACGAGCCGGCGGGACGCCTTGGCGCTGATAATCGAGTTCCCTATCAGCTTAATCTGCGCAGCGCGGTTCTTCGAGAGCAGTTCCAGCTCGTTGCTGCGCGCCGCGCTCGTGTACGACTTTGGCCGTTTCGTACAGGCGCTTCGAGTTGTCGTAATCTGTTTTGGCGGAATCGAACGCCTGTTGCGCCGTCGCCAGCGCCGTATTCGCCGCTGTAAGGTCCGAATCTGCGGTGTCCTTCTCCGTCTTGGTTGATGCTTCGTCTGTAGTGGCCGCTGTAACTTCGGCATCCGCGGCAGTCACGACGGCCTGGCAGGAAGTCTGCAGAGCAGTGAGAATTCCGGCGTGATCCTCCCATGCAGATTTGATTGACTGCGCGATTGCGACCTCCACATACTTCGCGGCGGCCGCGGCGCGTAGCGCGGACGTCGGGCTCGCGTCGGCGGCTGTGGCGGCGGCCGTCGCGGCGGTGCTCGCGTCGGTGAGGTCGGTCGTAGCGGCGGTCAATCCGTTGTGGCGGCGGTCGCCGCGGCGTCGACCAGCACGGAAAGGGCTGTCGCAGACGTTGGTACTTGGTTGCAAGAGCGAGCCGCGCTACAGCCGCGTTGTGTTTCTTCGTAGCGAGAGCCGCCCAGTCTTCCGCCTTCGTCTGCGCGTAGTCGAGAGGGGGGAACGCGCCCGCCGCTGTCGCCAGCGCGTCAAGCTTGGTTTCGTAGTCTCCCTTCGCGGTTGCTTCGTCCGTCTCCGTTTGTGTCGCTGCGGCCACCGCAGCAGTCGCTTTCGTTGAAAATTGGTCAGCTTGTTTCTGCGCGTACGCGACGTCGTTCTGAGCAGTTCTTGAATCTTTCGTGGCCTGGTCGAGATAGGAGAGCTTCTGGTTGCTCCCGCGATTTCTCTTCGCCTCCGTGACCGTGACGGCGAACGCGGAGAGCACGAGGAGCAGAAGCGCAGTCGCGAGAACGCACCGTCTGGCGTCCATGGTGTCTGAGCGTTAGTGGATTTGGCTGAGAGATGAATTAGGAGGAAGGACAAGCGTTAGAGAGAATATCTGGTATTTTTCGAGAATTCAGGAAGCTAATGTGCCTGTGTAGAGTTCGTAATGCGGATTTATTGATTGAGGTGGGTGCTTCAAGATGTTGGAACGGGCTGGGTTGGTGAGGTGAGTAGTGTGGAAAGTCAGCGATCTGGAATGAGGGGCAATAGGTGTGGAGCAATGAGGGCCAATTTTTTTGCTCTCGAACCGCGTGGAGAGCCAACTCGATGTGCAAACGGATTGGGTTGGTTGGGGTAGAGGAGAGGGAAGTGAAGAGGCAGACAGGCCGTAGTCTGAAGTTCGCCCACCATCCGAAGTCTTCCCACGCGGCTCGAAATGCTGGTTTTGCAATTTATTCACATTTCAATGTTTGCCCACGCGTCTCTATCTCAGGCTAACCGGCCACGGTCGCAGCTCTCTGCCTGCACGTCAATGTGCGACTTCATCGATTGGTGGTTTGGGGGGTTGTGCTTTCGGAGAGTCTGGTTACGTGCTACTTGCTGTTTGAAAGTCTTGACTTGCGCGACCTTGAGGCATGGCCGTTTGGTTATTGCCTGACGATATTTATCGCACCTTCGTGCGATTTTATGAGAAGATTTTATTGGTGGCGAAAACGATTCGGTTGGACACCTGTCATGCGATCCGGGCGACCTCTGTCGCCCGCCAAAAGCAGGTCTGGTGGCCAAAGTGGGGCCCTGCCCCACCCGGACACCATCAGCCCCGGAAAAGTTCTGATGGTGGGCAGACTTCATGGTGGGCAAACTTGAGAATGCGGTCTCAGTGCCATCCACGCCGTCCATTGAATTGGATGAATGCCGAAATCGAAGCGCGCAGTTGGTTGCACTTCTCAACTGCTGTGTGTTCCCATCTCGGCACACCCCGTCCCCAGTGTGCCGGGTTTCGAAGCTTCCGCCGCTCAGAAACAGTTCGAACCGATTCGCACCACAGATTTGTGGGCGTGCCGGTGCGTGCCGTGGCGTGGCAGTGCATGCACAGAAGCCGTGGTTATTCGTGGTACAAATTGTATTTTGAACGGTGAGAGCCTCGAAACTCGATACAGCGGGGCGTGCCAAAGCGTTCCGCACCATGTCCAAATCGACGAATTACAGAACAGCTCCTTCGTGAATGTGCACTTTCAACAATCTTTCGTACGAAATTGGGTACGGAAAACTCTGGAGAAAGTGAGGCGTTGACAAATCATCGATATGCTTTTCTGGTTGAGAGTCAAAAGATTGGACTGTCCGAGACCCACAGCCGCACCGCCATACGTCACCCCGTGGAAGGCTACCCTCCTAGCCAACCTGCTTTCAGTTGCTGGCCCGTGTCAAGTGCGGGCAGGGTATGTTCTGAGATGCAATAGGCTTGACGAGTGGTGCCTGCTTCCGTACTTGCTGACGACAATGTTTTGCGGTTCA